ATTCACACACACACACACACACACACACACACACACACACACACACACACACACACACACACACACACACACACACACACACACACACACACACACACACACACACACACACACACACACACACACACACACACACACACACACACACCACCCCCTACCCAAACTACTGTGTTATACAAGGTGGCAGGAGGTGTTAAACGTAATAGATACAGATCGGTCCTCCTGGGGTGAAGCAATGGGCTCTCGTTGTGGGGATGAATGTTCTGGGTAGTGGGGGTGGGATAGGTAAGGTAGGGTAGGGTAGGGTAGGGATAGGTAAGGTAGGGTAGGGTAGGGTAGGATATTTAGAGCCACGCCTTACATTCAATACATATTAGGGACGCTTTATCCCGCATCACTATCAGGAAGGTCGTCACTCCCTGGTTAAGTGAGAATTGAGCGTAGGACGTTAGGGTCAGGGGCCGTTTGGTTTAGGGCCAGGGTGAATAGGACCTGACCTGACCTGACATAACCTGATCTATCATAACATAACACAACCTGAACATAACATAACCTAACCAAACCAAACCTAATTTTACACCTAACCTATACAATAATCTTACGACTTTCAAACTCCTAGTGTAGGTTCGTGTGTGTCTTGTGAGGTTAGGTTAGGTTAGATGGTGGTAGTGGTGGTGGCGTGAGGTTAGTGTGGTGGTAGGGGTGTAGGATTGTGGTGGTAGTGGTGTTGGGTTGTGTGGTAGGCGTAACATGTGTTGGAGGAGTGTGAGGCGAGGTAGGTATGGTGGTGGTGAGGCAGGTGTGGTGGTGGTGAGGCAGGCGTGGTGGGGGTGGTGAGGCAGGTGTGGTGGTGGTGAGGCAGGTGTGGTGGTGGTGGTGAGGCAGGTGTGGTGGTGTGTGGTGGTGGTGAGGCAGGTGTGGTGGTGGTGGTGGGTAGGTGGTGGTAGGAGGCAGGTGTGTGGTGGTGAGGCAGGTGTGGTGGTGGTGGGCAGGCAGGTGTGGTGGTGAGGCAGGTGTGGTGGTGGTGAGGCAGGTGGTGGGTGGTGGTGGTGGGGCAGGTGTGGTGGTGGTGAGGTAGGTATGGTGGTGGTAGGAGGCAGGTGTGGTGGTGGTGAAGGCAGGTGTGGTGGTGGTGAGGCAGGTGTGGTGGCAGGTGTGGTGGTGGTGGTGGGAGGCAGGTGTGGTGGTGGTGGGAGGCAGGTCTGGTGGTGGTGGTGAGGCAGGTGTGGTGGTGGTGAGGCAGGTGTGGTGGTGGTGGTGAGGCAGGTGTGGTGGTGGTGGTGAGGCAGGTGTGAGGTGGTGGTGGTGAGGCAGGTGTGGTGGTGGTGAGAGGCAGGTGTGGTGGTGGTGAGGCAGGTGTGGTGGGGGTGGTGAGGCAGGTGTGGTGGTGGTGGTGAGGCAGGTACACACAGAGAGCCTCATTAAGTCAGGTTACAATATTTACTTCAGGTCGGTCTAAAGACTCATTAACAACTCTCCTCTCACACCTGAATATTAATTAAGCGAATCTCACCTCGATATTTTATGTGGCGACCATACGGATTTGACTTACCGACACACACACACAGATTTATACACAGACATACACGCACACACATTTTTATACACACACATACATACACACACACATACACACACACATACATACATACATACACACATACATACATACATACACACATACATACATAGATACATACATACATACATACATGCTGTTCGACACCACAACCACATCCAGTCAATACTACCTTTTTACACTGTCTCTATGTTGAAATGCCCTGTAGTTTGAGCTTCTCCCCACCTAATTATTATATATCATATTTGTATCACTTATGTTACATGTATATTATTTGTAAATCAAGAGAGCCAATTATGTAACTGTATATTTTCAGCCTTCCGGACATTGGTACTAGACTGTACATAAAATGCTTCACTTGGCATAACTTACATATAACACAACCAGTATATATATGAAATAAGATAAAATACATACACAACATTCAGACATACAGACAGAAAGTGTTGTATATATAAAACATAATTTGTGGGGAGAGGTTGAGGGTTCACCTGAGGGACGAGACAGGTTGAGTGTCGCTCGTTGGTGGAGGCGGGCCTCTGTTACACACACACACATTACCTGCCTAGTCTCCTCCCACGCTCTTCCTTCTATCTATGTGTAAACTTGATGGGTGTGGTGTGGTGTAGTGTAGTGTAGTGTAGGTGGTATGGTGTGGTGTGTAGTGTGGTATGGTGTGGTGTGTAGTGTGGTAGTGTGGTGTGGTGTGTGTAGTGTGGTACGGTGTGGTGTGTAGTGTGGTATGGTGTGGTGTGTGTGTGTGGTGTGGTGTGGTGTGGTGTAGTGTAGTTTGGTATGGTGTGGTGTGTGTGTGTGGTGTGTGTGGTGTGGTGTGTGCAGTGTGGTGTGTGGTGTGTAGTGTGGTGTGTGTGGTGTGTGTGTGTGGTGTAGTGTGGTGTGGTGTGTGCAGTGTGGTATGGTGTGGTGTTCTCTCAACAAAATACTTAAAACAGGATTGGGTTCGCTGTGTACGTCTGTCTGCCTGTCTGTATCTTTTAACAAATACAGGAACAACAGTTTTACCAACACACGCACACACACACACACACACACACACACACACACACACACACACACACACACACACACACACACACACACACACACACACACACACACACACACACACACACACACACACACACACACATACACACACACACACACACCACACACACACACACACACACACACACACACACACACACACACACACACACACACACACACACACACACACACACACCACACACACACACACACACACACACACACACACACACACACACACACACACACACACACACACACACACACACACACACACCACACACACACACCCCACACACGCACACACACACACACACACACACACACACCCCACACCACACACACACACCCCACACACGCACACGATAAACCTCATTATTAATCACATTCTCACCATTAGAGTTCGTTTACTAGATCCAGATGGTATTACTGTAGTTAATGTATTACTATCGTTTGTTTATTTATATACTCTACGTATATACTGTACTGCACTGTGGTAATGTGGTGGTAGGAGGGGGGGGTAGATGCATTTCTTTAAGTTTTTAAACTGTTTCACGGAAGACCATTATCGTTTTGTGTTTTTTTACATGCTTTCAGTTTTTGCTTCGTGATGTATGTACACAATGGAAGGTTACCAAGGATTTTTTTATTTATTGTTTTTTTTTTATTTACGTGGAATATGTGAAGGAATGATATATATTATAAGTGAGATAGAGGTTGTGGGAGAGTTCTTGTTCGGGATTTTTATTCGATCTCTCTCTCTCTCTCTCTCTCTCTCTCTCTCTCTCTCTCTCTCTCTCTCTCGTAAACACTCGAGACTAATCAATACACTAACCATAAAAGATGGAAAATAAATTATAACAGGAATTACTGAATCATGTGATTTGTTATATGTGTAATGTGTGTGAGGGGAGGGCACTGGGTGTTTGGTTTGGGCCAGGGTGGTACGGACCCAACCCACCCCAGCCGTAACCAAAACATCCGTACATACCAAACCAGTTATATACCACTGACTGACTCACCAAGCTATCAACAATCATTATGGCGTGAAAACAAATCAGACATTTCAATTTGTTGTGAGAGGACAAGTGTCACAGCGTTTAGGGGAGGGGTGTCATGAGGGATTATACCATACACTCTAGGACTGAAGTATAGTGGATAAACAGACAGACAGACGCTGGGAAACTATACGTAACCTCTGGCTTTGGGGGGGGATCATTAGGTACAGTAAGAATGATATAAATAAAATAAGAAAAGGTGAAGCAATACCCACGTTATATAGTTGAATATTATAAAGTTTACACCGAATGTCGCTCATACGTAATGCAGTACTTAGTTTATAAACCAGTGTTGTGGTAGACGGGCTGGGCCACTGCTAGGCTAAATGACTTGCAGAATGATCACAAGAAGTTTCCTTTTACGGTGAGGTGGTGTGTGTCGTGTTCAGAACCTATATTGGTCAAACTTCCCACGAACATGAAAATTTTATTACTGGATACTATAAAGCCGCTGTGATGTTTTTAATAACAGTTTCTGGTGAAATCTTAAAAAGTCAAGTGGTTAAGTAACAGTTTTCGGCAGTGTTTTTTTTTAACGGTGTTGTTTTATTCCTTAAACAAAATGTATTGTTAATGACACTTGATATAGCCTTTGTCTTAATTGTATTAGATCAACAGTCGTTTATTGCCATGGTAATAACTTCAAGGTGTTGGGTTATAACTTAATGGACATAATTCGGGACTTTTATGCGAGGGATCACTTCTGTGTGTGTCGGGGTGAACAAGTATATCTATATCAGTCTCGTCAAATGAAATCTTGTTAAACGAAACCTTGTTAAATAAAACCCCATTAAACTCTGCCAACACACTGTTTACGTACCTACATGTACGTGGCCGTGTTGTGTGCACATGTGTGTGTGTGTGTGTGTGTGTTGGTCGTATAATTTCCTTAATGGTTTACATATTCAGGGGTAAAGTTGGCAGGTGGCGGTGGGAGGTAAAAGAGGGGCCGCCGCTCAAAGGTTTTGCCGAGAATTGTAAAATATCTTGTTTTTACTAAGTTATGCACCTGCTTTACTGAAGCCCGGGAAAATATTCTCTCTTGATCACTATTGACAGTTAGTGAGACGAGGCGTAAAATGTTCAGTTTTATTCAGGAAAAATTTATTAATTTATAATTACACTTATAAAATGTGGAGGAAACTTATCCGAATAATCATGATGTTGGTCCTATATATATATATATGTATGTGTGTGTGTGTGTTAAGGTTCTAGGGTCGTTTAATACTTCAATATTCCTGTTGTCCTTCACGGGTCAGGGTCGCTGTTTCTTATGAAATTATTAATATCTGTTTGTTTGTCTGTCTGTACAGGGAAGTACGTGGGGTCACGACCTATCAAGTTACGGAAGAGCACTTGGAAGGACCGTAACGTGGATATGGTGCAGAAGAAACAGAAGGAGAAGCAGCTACTTGGCCTTAAGTAGACCACTAGACTCCCCGCTGACCACCTCGTCTTGACGGTCATGGTGTGGCGCCGTAAGCCGTCAGAAGATCCTCGCTACCGTCGTTCTCCCCATTCTCGTTCACTTTGCTAAACTGACTTCTAAATAATATTTATAATTATTCCAGACAGAACTCATTTGTACAAACAGAATTTCCGGTAAATAATATAATGTTTATACAGAATCTTCCAGTTTTAGATCATTTTAGCTGTTAAACATTCGACTGAACTCGTTGGAACTTAAAACTCTTTAAGTACAAGAGCAATAAGATCTTCTGTGCTAGACGACTATCATGTACACACTGCCTCATGACCGGACCAGTGCTCGCCCACTGTGTGTAGGGAGGGTGGGGGAGGTAGTCACTTCGTTACACACTCCGCTTCAGTTTTTTAAGCTGTAAAACAAAAGTAAAAATTGCAAGTAAAAACCTACTTTGTGAATTGTTCTTTGAATAATAATATTTTTATGTCTTGTACATATGTAAACTGTGCAAACGAATAAACATTGTTTTTTGACACCAGTGTTTTATACACTTGATCTCTGACGACATATGGGGGACAGTTTAGATATTTACTACTCCATGACGATGAACTGTAATGCAAATAACTGAAACATGTTATAATAATATAACTTAATGATAATATAGACCTTACTCAGGTAGCCAATGTTCCATATTAAATTAATATAGCACTTTAGTGTTTGGATGAGACAACGCAACACAAATCTAGAATGATATACAAAACATTATAGTGAGCCGACTTAAAAGGCTGGACAGATAGGTGAGGTCAGGTATGTGTTGACCTCCAGGCTACTATACATCCACGCAGGTGAGGCCATCGGGGTTGAGGGTGGCCTCCAGCCTCCAGGACGATACACCTCCCTCCTGCACTTTAAGATACCATCAGTTATAATTAATCCTCCCCCACCAAATTAATTAACACCAATTACTGGCTCCCTCTACTGGTGAAACATGTAGTAACTGACCTATAAATAGTTCCATCCATGTTTTTCAATCGTGACAGTTCCTAAAAAAAATAAAAAACGATAGAAATAAATAGACTCGTCAACTGTCCATTAAACAAAAGAGCCTCATGATCCGTGCTTGTATCCGGGGAGAAAATAACAACTGTCTTTTACGTATAAACGAAAGAACATTAGATCCCACATTTCTTGTATTAAACTATTGCTGTAACTGGAGGCTGTGGGAAACCATTAAACTGACTCACTGAAGCTAGGACGACCTGAAAGTGTTGGTTATAACTTGTTGATATTGAGCTCAGGAGACTTCCGAAGCCTTGAAACATACTCTCTCTCTTTTACCTCAGCTGGAAGGGAAACATTCTCTTTATCTTTCTCTCTCTTACCTCAGAAGGAAACATTCTCTCTCTTACCTCAGTTAAAAGGGAAACATCAAGGAGAATAAACCACCAGGAACTGTATACATGAGAAGATGACTGGAAACACACACACACACACACACACACACACTGGTGAAGGCTCCTGGTCTTGCATCAGATTATACTTCGTAAATAAATTAGACATGATAAACCTTTGAGACACTGGAAGACGCTTAACTCTCCCTGGAGTATAGTTACAGTACAGTAATGTGTTCTTGACGTTGATATGCCTACTGTTGTTATTTTACTACAGCAACTGCTACTGTTGTCATTTTACTACTGCTACTATTGTCGATGTTGTTGGTAGTGTAACCAGGGACCGTAGTAGTAGTAGTGGCAGCCCTCACGGACCACATAATAGCCCAGAATGCAACAGGGGAAGTGGATACCAGTGAGGTAAATAAGATTCGTAGGTCCATTACGAGAGCTCGACAGCACTGCCAAAATGATAAGTTGCAGCAACTGTTGCTGCAGGTACCAGAAAATTTGAAAAAAAATGTAGCTATAGCGCAGGAGGTGGGCACCTCGAACTGGTTAACTACGTTACCGATAAGGGCAAATAGTTTCAGTCTTAATAAAAAAGAATTTACAGATGCCATTGCTCTAAGGTACGGTCGGCCAGTAGAAGGTTTGCCCTCCCAATGCATGTGTGGCTCTTCCTATGATGGCGATCACGCCATGGTGTGCAAGAAAGGGGGCTTCATATGCATGAGGCATGACGAGGTAAGGGACCTCACAGCAAGTATGTTGAAGGAAATCTGCAGGGATGTCATGGTAGAACCGACCCTCCTTCCATTAGATGGTGAGATCTTCCAACACAGGACTTCAAACACATCTAACGAAGCCCGTGTGGACGTCAGTGCTCGAGGATTCTGGACGCGGGGACAGCGAGCTTTCTTCGACATCAGGATTTTTTATCCCATGGCCACATGTCACCGTAACCTAGCTCTCGATGCTGCACATAGGAGGAACGAGAACGACAAGAGAAGGGCATATGGGGAGAGAATTCAAAACGTTGATCAAGGCAGCTTCACTCCTCTAGTGTTCACAACCTCTGGTGGGATGGGACCAAGTGCAAGATGTTTCTACGCCAGACTCGCGGAGTTGATCTCCGAACAGAAGCAGCAGCCCAGAAGTTATGTTACAGCCTGGATGAGATGTCGACTGTCTTTCTCTCTCCTTCGGTCAGCTTTGCTCTGCCTCAGGGGAACGAGAGCTTCTGCCCCAACTCCGACAACTGCTGCAGATATTGACTATGAGGCTACTGTCACTGAATGCCGCATAGATCTGCGGCTCAACTAATTTAACACAGATAGGATAGCTACTTATGTATTAGGATATTTAATATTTAGGTAATTAAATGGTGGCGAAGGTGTGGCTATTGGGGGAGGCTGAAGGCCACGTTCTAACAAAAGTAGTAGTAGCAGCAATAGTAGTACCGTTCAACGAGTCTTGTGGGCATTAAGAATAAGTACAGTAAATTTTTAGACATACTTGATTTTAATCTGATCTATATCAAAACACTACATTTATAGCACCATCATTCACCTTACAGCAATTACCCTGTTACCTGTACACGGCACACCTAAACCAGTCCTCTGTAGTATCGTATATACTCGCCAGATGCCACTAGTGTCCCAGGAGTCGGGTAAGGACAGGTCTAATTATCCTTCTCTCCTCTTCCCTAATACCTTCCTCCTACCTACTTTAACAAATGAGTGGGAGAGGCGCCCGGCAGGTACCAACTATGGATGTCTTTATAAAATGCCGAGTCTTTACGTTCGTCTTGAATTCTTATTAAACATTCTTGCGTTATTTTCCCGCGGTCGAGGGTGACGAAAGGGTCTATTTATTAGTTCCAGTGATATTTTCTCGTTGTTTTGGGGGTCTGGTGATAATTTAAGTGAGTTTTTTTAACATCTGTTAGCGATATTTTAACTGTTTTTTAGTCTGGTGATAATTAAAGTAAGTTTTTGTCTATCATAACTATACTAGGTGAAGAAATTTAACCCACATATTTCTAAGAATCTTCGTCAACTGAAATACTTTATTTTGAGAGAATGAATGGTGCCCAGAGATAATTATAGACCAAAAATACATAATAAATTGTAAAGGGTGTAACCTGGGGACGTACTTATCCCCATCACGGGAATAAGAGAAACAGGAATAGTTTTTCCCTTTTGTGATACAGAGAGAATTTGAGTAAAGTCGGTCAGGTTTATTTTTTTTTTTAGTTATTTAGTTATTTCATTTTATATTGTATTTTCCCAACCACGTTGTTTATATCTCCCCACCTTATGACAGAATAGGAGACAGTGAACACCAACCTTCATATATTTTGGTATGTGTAATAATACTACTAATAATAATAATTAACGGTTTATTGAAAGAGCTTGGCAGCCAGAAGGCTGAAAATATACAGTTACATATTTGGGGAATGGGTTTCGAATTACAAATAATATACAAGTAATATAAGTGATACAAATAAGATATATAATAACTAGATGGGGAAAGGCTCAAACTACAGGGCATTTCAACATAGTGACAGTGCAAAGAGTAGTAATTACAGGGAGTCACTACACTGGTTTATTACAAGTTATTGATAACTTTTACAATGGTTGGGACTGGGCTGTTCTTATGGCGATCAATTCGTGCACGTATGGGCTGGATGTGGTTGTGGTGTCGAACAGCAATTCTCGGGCTAGGGATCTCAGGTGGTAGTAGGAGCAGGTGTCGAGGATGGTGTAGAAGCTTCTTACCAAATTTGCAGATGAGGTCGTGGTGATGGTCAGTGAGAGTCGAAAGGGTCAGTGTGTTGAGCGCTTCTTGATATGTAGAGTAGGAAGGGGAGAGAATGATTTTGCATGCCCTCTTTTGCACTTTTTCTAGGTTTTTACGTTGTGTGTGTGTGTGTGTGTGTCGGGGGCGGGGGGAACTCTCCAATTTCAGATTATTTACATTTTTACTCTGGCCTTTCCCCCCAATTAGTCCGAAATTGCGAGGGTTTTACCTTATATTAATTAACTTTCAACATAAAGCTGTGTGTGTGTGTGTGTGTAATGGTAAGTTGGCAGGTCAGACGACACTGGTTGGTGGGCCCATTAAGTGCAAGAGCCGCTCTCAGGTGTTGATAGTGACTTAGGTGATGATGATGGTGATGACTTAAGGTAATGATGATGTTGATGACTTAAGGTAATGATGATGTTGATGACTGAAGGCAATGATGATGTTGATGACTGAAGGTAATGATGATGTTGATGACTTAAGGCAATGATGATGGTGATGACTTAAGGTAATGTTGATGGTGATGATAGATTGTACCTTATACTATAGTGAAAATGATGACCTATGGTGATGATTGTTATGGTGATGGTGATAGTGATGAGGATGGCACTTCACTAAGGATCGTTTCCTCTGAACTATGCGTTGATGGTGATAATAGTGACGAAAATGCCTCACTATAAGAAGAAATAAGATCAAAACTCTATCAACTTCCTCACGACGCTCTGACGTGGAGAGATCTCTCGAGTCTTCTCTCTCCTGCCTTCCAATATCTGTTGTTGTCATTATTTGATGATAGCTGTAGGGGAGGTGAGGGGTGAGGGAAGACAGTGTTGGGGAGGAGGAAGAGGTGTTGGGGAAGGTGAGGGTGGGGAAGGCCGTGTTGAGGAGGTGAGGGTGAGAAGACAGTGTTGGGGAGGAGGAGGAGGGAAGGGGTGTTGGGAAGGTGAGGGGTGGGGAAGGCCGTGTTGGGGAGGAGGAAGAGAGGAGGGGGGTGTTGGAAGGGGAGTGTTGGGAGGTGAGGGGTCAGGGAAGACAGTGTTGGGGAGGAGGAGGAGAGGAGAGGAGTGTTGGGAGGTGAGGGGTGGGGGAAGAGGTGTTTGGGAGGAGGAGGAGGTGGAGAAATGAACAATACGGAAGAGTCAGGGTGTCACGGGGTCACATCTCCTTTAATCTTCACTACTTAATAACTTCTCTGCGTCTCTAAGAACTTTTATCTTCTCATTAATCGGTATAACTCCTGCTGGGGTCGTCCTCCTCCTCCTCCTCCCCAATGAGTCACTCCTGGGAGGTGAGTGACGGGGCAGTAGTGTTCATTTTCAAAGTTTTATTACCTTGCCCTACCGACTTTCCTCTCCTCCCCCTCTCTAAGGGATTTATTTACGAGAGCTATTGGTATGACCCTGTGTGTGTGTGTGTGTATACAGGGTGTAAGTTTCTGTATACAGGATGTCTCTTTGTCTGTCTGTCTGTCTGTATATACAAGGTGTCTCAAAAATATACTGTATACACTCTGCCTTATTTCTCACTAACGGTAAATATTATCATTATGATGTTATTAGACATTACATAACCCAACACCTTGTTTCTCAGCTCCGCCCACCCATCACGTCATAGCCAAGGCTTCAAGGAACACCAAGGATTCGAATCACTTCATGAACAAAGCTCCGAATCATGGAGCTGTCAGTCTAATTTGTCACGATCCTTATCTATGTAAACGTGACTCAGTGTCTTATTATATCGTTAGTGATCCACAAGTTGTAGTATTTCTTCCCTAACGTAAATTTCACGTCTTTTACTGATGATGTTTTAAATGGAGGTGCTTTAGTTTATTGTGAGTGAGTTAGTGAGTGATGTGTCTCGAAACTTGAGCGGCAAACTTGAGAAGGGATTAGTGTAGGCAGGTGTGGTCCCGCTGGCTCACAATTCACGTCACTTCCTGCCGGGATGAACCACACTGCTCTTCGCTGTACTGGCTGTCTGTCGCAGCTAAGGACATTTGATAGTGGTGCTGGGGAAGTGATCGTGGTAGTAGTGTTGCTGGGGAAGTGATTATGTGGTCGTGGTGCTGAGGAAGTGATGAGATAATCTTAGTACTTCCTTCCTTCCTGCCCCAGGGTCGACCGTCAGAGAGTGAGGAACGAGCGAACAGTACCCGCGTAAAAACACTTTTGCGGGCGAGTTAAACATTCCCTCCCCAAGACTGGTCAACAGAACCCGCGTGAACAGCGAGCGTTGAGATGATCTGGTTGGAAAAGTCTCATAACCAAGGCCGTCCGCAATGAAAATTACGATGTACGGCCAAGAATTTTGTAACATATAGTGAAACAATCTGGAACAAGGTAAGTACATTATTTTTATCGTATAGTGTGTGTGTTTAGGAATGACTGTGAAGGAATACTGATGACATAGGCTTCACTTTACACCCAGTTCCTTTCCTTCAGTTCCTATAGTGCTTCTGGCAGGACCCAACCCTCTCTAAGCTCAAGTCAACAATGTGTAGAAAAGATCAAACCTTGACCAAAAGTGAGTGATGGTGATTATTAATAGTATTTTAAGTATAATATTTATATCCCCTTTGAACTGTGATACTATACCTGACAGACTCTTGGTAATGTGTATAATACTAGTGTAATGGTGGACCTGTACCTGCCAGTTTCTAAGATACCAGGTAATTTGTATAGTTTTTAGCATAAGATACTAGTAATATATATATATAGTTTCAAGATATTGGCAATTTATATAGTTTCTAAATGAGATTTCCCTAAAAACCATAGTTACATTAAGTTAGTGTGTATGCTGAGTGTTGATACTGATGCATATATACATCAGTTAATATTAATGGGTAAAAGTGAGGGTAGGAGAGCCAGGGGAAGACGAGAGACTGTGAGGGATGTCAAATGATAGGGAATAAGGGGTTAAGTGATAGGGAATAAGGGGTTAAATGATAAGGAATAAGGGGTTAAATGATAAGGAATAAGGGTTTGAATGATACAGATACTAACTAGTAAGTGAGGGGAGCCCTTAGCGACAACGCCCACCTGCGCCCTTCACCTCCTCCGCTGCGTCTTTCTTCTGTGTTCAACCTTCCTCATAAAGACGTTAACTGATTTGATAATAATTAACCTCTCGCCAGAAGGACAATAATTAAACCTTCCTTAGCAGGGCGGAGATGTCTCGGAAAGCTAAAGGCTTAAGACACAAAACAACGATAAAACTGACTATACTTTAATTAAAAATCCTCTCTTGACAATATATGTTTTGATAACTCTGCGACCAAAGCCTCACAAATGCCCTCATTATCAGAACAATAAGGGAACGAACACGTGCAGTGATGACAGTAGCGGCGCGGCGGTGTTTAGAGCAAGTCAACAGCCTAACCCTACAACACACATGATCACACTAGGCTGAGTTACGTGTCCTTTAACTACAGAAGATGATTAGATCAGAGGATTTTTCGTACTTTAGTTTACCTTTTAATGTATTCTAATTAATTCAAGTTCTACTGTAGTTTACGGAGTCGATTTCGCTATTCGCCCAACCTTCCACTTACGAAGAAGCGTTACGTTTTCTATGTATTTACCTGAGATAAAGTTTACGTTTTCTATGTATTTACCCAAGATAAAGTTTACCTCGGAAATCTTAATAAGTCATAACTTTCTCGTCACTCACAAAACGTAAATTAAATCTGTCAATGTTTTGTTTGGAAGTCGTGTAGTCCGAGGAGGGGGAGGAGGACGATAATTAGATGAGGAAAGAGGAGGAGGATAATAAGTTAGTAGGTAGCAGGGGTGGATCAAATACTGATGTTTTAGCGGTCAAATACAAATACTTGTGACATTATGATGCAAAAATACAAATACTTTTATTCCTCAATTCAAAAATACAAATATAAATACAAATACTTCTGAAATTAAGATGTAAAAATACAAATACTTTTATTTCCAAGTTCAAAAATACAAACCCAATACCTTCATATCAGAATTACATTTTATCATCATTAATGCCCGGAAGATTTCTGGGCTCAACTTAGCTTGCTCAGGAGTGCAAAAATTACCAGAATGTTCAACGTTACATCTTGCAGATAACAATAGCAGTAATAAAAATAAAAAAAAATAAAAAAATAAAACAAATTCAAGTGTTTTCGTCCACACAAATTGTCTGTAAGTAGCACTACAAAATATCAAATTTTCTTTTGTTTATGGAAGAGGCAAAAGGCAGTAGCCTTAAACTAGCCTACTGCCTGTAACACTAACAAAGTGTCCAAATACAAATACAAAATACTTTTTCTTCTGGGTGCCAAAATACAATTACAAATACAAATACATTGAAAATGCATTTAAACACAATTAAAATACAAATACAATTGTATTTGATCCACCCCTGGTAGGTAGGCATAATAATTCTATAAGTTTATTTTTATTTTTTAATATAAACATAATCAAATATCTCTCCCTCGGTCCACTACTCCTGTACGCCCAGTCTCTGTTTCTCACATAGTAATTGTCTAACTTGACGTCCCGGCGCTGATCCCTACCAGTGCCGTATGTCACCAGGTCGCGTGAAGGACACCACGAACATTATTATTAATTATAATCATAACGTAACAGAAACAATTATCGACAGAAATAACACAATCTAACAAAATTAACGCACACACACACACACACACACATGTGGTTATAATTATATAACAAAAATAAGACCGTTATATAGCCCTTGTATGATACTTTATAACGAGGCAAAAATAGCTTACCCTGAGCCCTCGTACTTATCCCTGGCAACGCGGTCTTCCTTAACGTCACCCTAACTTTGTTATCGTCATCCATCCCTCCTCCTCCCATCCATCTATCCCTCACCCACTCACTCCTTCAATCCCCCACCCACCCACTCCTTCAATCCTCACCCACCCACTCCTTCAATCCCCCCACCCACTCCTTCAATCCTCACCACCCACCCTTCAATCCCCACCCACCCACTCCTTCAATCCCCCCACCCACTCCTTCAATCCCTCACCCACCCACTCCTTCAATCCCCCACCCACCCACTCCTTCAATCCCCCACCCCACACGTGTAAGTAGCAGTAATCCCCCAGAAGCGTGGCGGTGGTGAGGCAGGAGCGAGGTGCATCAGTCAGTCTACATCATGACTCTGTGGACGACTAGCATTACGATGCCCCTCCGTCCCACACATCTCACTAGGAACTTTGCTTTCCTCACTTCACTTCTTCTCCTCCTGCACGACCTCCCTCCAGTCTTCACCACTCCTACGCTCACCACTGACCAAAATAACCAGAACATTAGTGTGAGTTTTTATGGGTCCAACGCAAGTGACCCTTACACAAAAACCCAGAAATCTCTTCGAATACTGCCCTACACCCTTGACCCCAACACCACACTAACTCACACACTCGACCCCAACACCACACTAACTCACACACTCGACCCCAACACCACACTAACTCACACACTCGACCCCAACACCACACTAACTCACACACTCGACCCCAACACCACACTAACTCACACACTGACCCCAACACCACACTAACTCACACACTCGACCCCAACACCACACTAACTCACACACTCGACCCCAACACCACACTAACTCACACACTCGACCCCAACACCACTAACTCACACACTCTGACCCCAACACCACACTAACTCACACAACACTGACCCCAACACCACACTAACTCACACTCGACCCCAACACCACACTAACTCACACACTCGACCCCAACACCAACACACACTCGACCCCAACACCACACTAACTCACACACTCGACCCCAACACCACACTAACTCACACACTCGACCCCAACACCACACTAACTCACACACTCGACCCCAACACCACACTAACTCACACACTCGACCCCAACACCACACTAACTCACACACTCGACCCCAACACCACACTAACTCACACACTCGACCCCAACACCACACTAACTCACACACTTGACATAGAAGAATCCAACGACACAATGACTGAACTTTTTGACACATTAAGCCTGATTGACGATGAAAACAACGGGACTCTCCTAATTGATCAAAAAGGGGAAGAGGACAGCGAATTCCTGGTCTATGCAGAAGAGGAAGACAACTGGCCATTAGACTACGACGAGTGTTCCTATAACGACACCCTCCAAGACGACGAAGACGACGGAGGGAACCCCGCAGAAGACCTCGCCGACTTGAAGGAGGCTTATGAGAACATTCTGGAACACGTAGTGGGTGACCGCCAGTCTGACCCTGATGATATAAGGGTGAGAGCTTATGTGGTGGTGAGGAAGGTGCTGGTGGTGATGGATGATACCCTGACCCCACTCTGGGAGGACGAGGCAGTAAATGAGACTACTGGAGAAGATGCTGATGATGAGACAACGTTGGTGGAAGACGTGGGTCTTCTTGAAAAAGTTTTGGAGACTGACGGTAATGACACTGACGACATTCAAGTATTGGAGGAGGCTGGAAGTAGCGCTAATGGCACTGATGAAGTGATGGGAGAGAGAGTGATGCTGGGGGGCTGGAACACCACCTTCAACGTGTCCTCCCCACGAGTCAGAGAGGCGGAGGTGTCTCGAATGACGGAGGAGACGGTGGTGGAAGGCGCCAGGGTGAGGCTGGTCTGCAATGTTACCGGGGTACCGCACTACTGGGTGAGTACCGCGACTCTGCGTTATATAGTACGTAGTAAAAATTATGAATAAATGTAAAAGTGATCGGTGATTGGTTACTTAGTTCCCCGTTGCTTAATTTAATGGTTGGGCTTTGTTGTTTCGTATTATATTATACTACGTACTATAGTAAACAAACGGCCTTCGGTTGCCAGCTGTCTCCAGCAGTGTTCGAAGAATCTTGAACGAGACTGTACATGGCCGGGGAGAGGTTACCGAGGCTCGTATAACGTGTGTGTGTGTGTGTGTGTGTACACTCTTCAGTTCTCCTTAAAAGCTTCTAGAAACGCAATTAGGTCATAGGAAACTTCTGAAGAAAAAAAGTTGAGGTTGTAGCCAAGACAAAAATTAATACTTTGGTACTTCTGTATTATAGTGGTGTGGTGATGACCTGGGACGCCGTGGAGGTAATTTTAGTGGTGATCGCTTAAAGAAATTGAAAAATTACTTGACACGCCACAACAGTACCTAATAATCACATACAGGTTTAAGCACATATAAACTATGATTTTTGTTTTCCATCCTCATAGAAAAATAATAATCTGAATAAGGAAAAAATTCGCGTCATGCGGGTTAGAAGAAGCGGGAGGCGAGTGTGGGAGCTGTGCCCGGTAATACAAGGGATGATGTGTCTCGCCGAGGTTTTAATATCGTCTCAGCCGGCGGCAATACACCAACCTCTGCAAACATCGAGTGTGACGGACTTTTATGTTTCATTGTCCAAACTTCATCAGCGTTCCCGAGTTCTTGATGTCAATATGAAGCCGCAGGAAAAAGGTCAATATTTGTGAGGTAAAAATGAGACCTTAGCCTAGTGTAGATATGGCGATAAAATATGAAGAAATATATTAGTTTTTTATCACTTACCTTCTTTTTATAATTATTCTGATAAAAACGAACTAACTTAATATTAATAAATTGGTCTTAAGCTTACGTGTCCTAAACATTCACCGAATTCTATTTTACTGATAATAACACAAAAAGATTACACAAAAAAAGTAGCCTCATTGAAATAGTACAGACCTGTGTGCTGTACATATTTAGGTCAAAATTATAGTGAGAATTTACACCATGATTTTCGTATGTAAATCGTACCTTTAATACTGACGTTTTACGTAATAAACGACTCACCTCAAGACCACACTAATTGACTCACTACGAATATATACTGAAAAACACACAAAGACTCCCAGAGCAACACAACCTGGATCTCTGCCGCCACACCATCGTCTCCTCTGATTCGTGTTTTATCTATAAACTTGAAAGTTCACCTTTAATTTGCTCCCTGTATATCGTTCCCCAACCGCATACTTTCCAGCCTCCTCTTCTTCCATCTCCCAAACCCTCTGTTGTGTCTGATGATGACGGTGTACAATAATGCTCTGTGGACCACCTAATGCTGAGGCGCTGAGGAGCATCTGACGCTATCTGATTGGGCAGAAGGAATAGGAGAAATGAGGAGGGGAAGCTGGAGAGAGACTTAGATAGTGCTGGGAGGAAAGCTCTCTCTATCCGCCCACCTGTGATCATGAGACAGGTATTTAATTAAGGCAATATGAGAGCGTCGCCCAGACAGCATTATCCCCTGAGGTGAATTTTACGTGTGTGTGTGTGTGTGTGTGTGTGTGTGTGTGTGTGTGTGTGTGTGTGTGTGTAGGGTGACTGTCTCGTACCTGCTGCTACTCCGTGCTCGGGAGGGCTAGGGAAGAATTTATATTACTGGGGGAGTACTTGAAGGGCTGGGGAGAATTTAGAGGGCTGAGGGGAGAACTTGGAAGGCTGGGGAGAGAATTTAGGGGGCTGGGGGGAGAACTTGGAAGGCTGGGGAGAATTTAGAAGGCTGAGGGAGAACTTGGACGTCTGGGGGGAGAACTTGGAGGTCTGGGGGAGAACTTGGAAGGTTGGGGGGAATTTAGAGGGCTGGGGGAAAACTTGGAGGTCTGGGGGAAGAGAAAACTTGGAGGGCTGGGTCTTACCATGGGTTGAATAGAACTGGGAATTGAAGAACAGGCCAGGGAGAAGAATAACATACGTAACTGAAGAGGAGGAGGAATGGTATTGATAATATGGAAGAAGACAACAGAAGAGTTGGAGGGGAAAACCGAGAATTACCTGCTGTCCACAGTGGCGATGTGGGGAGGGAGAGTGTGTTGGGGGAGGTTAAGTAAGGTAGGTGAGTTAGAAAGTTGTGTGGGGTGGGGAGCTGAGGAGGTGTGTGGGGTGGAGGTGGGGTGGGGAGAAAAATGTTTGTTGATCGAGTTACAGCGTCCAAATGTATATGGTAACACACACCAGGGTTTGTGTGTACATGAATAAGAAAGAAACTGTAAACAACCATATTACCAAAGGTCTTCACTTTATAAATGTTCTTTGGGTCAAGTTATTATTAGTCTCTGTGCAATTTTAAACTAATTTTGGTTGCCAGACTCTTGTGTCGCTGCAGAAGTAAATCAACCAGTATAATTGCCCTCATACCTTCAGTTCCGGGTGAACTTTATCATCCCAATTGATAGATTTACAAATTGTCAAGATCACTGATAAGTGATAACCAGTCAGCGGCTGACGCACAATGATCACCCTCGGTAACTCGGACTAACGACTTCGGCTTTACCTCAAGCTTACGTAACGAACCTTACCTAACACAACCCAACCTAACCTAACATAATCTAATCTAACATAATCTAACCCAACATAACCTAACCTAATCTATGAGGTAAGGTTGAAGTGGCCCGTTAAGCTCACAGAGGACAGATGATCACAAACATCCTCTCGCTCAAATAGAAATTTAATATTTTCGATCATTTCTCATCTAACTCAAATTCAGTCGTTTGCCATTTGGATTTTAATTAATATTAATGATTGAATCTGAGCATGCATACCGGTGAGATTATTTGGGGGATATTTTTGTAGATCACGCAGAAACGATATCGTGAGACTAAAAATAATATAGGTCTGGTGGGATAGCCTCATATAATTCAATAATAAACGGCGTACCGCTTGTTAATGTTGCCAATTAAATTATTTCAGTAATGTTTAGTACGGGAAAGGCTTTACAAACGCTACATTAGACTTAACAGGAGGCGACACGAGCTCTGGTAATAGTTCTACAAATACGGTTGTGTTTGTTCACCTCACACTGCTGGCCAGACGCTGCTAAAATATACGTCCCCTGGGCGCTGCGCCGCTCCTGCTGTTACGTGTGATCGCTCTGTTTAGAGTTTAGACTTTTAGACACGCATCAGACCTTTAATAATTTTACATTTTCAGTTTAGTACACAAAAAGCGTCCAGCTGAATGCCAGATTTAGTACGGCATTACAGGACAACCACCCATCAGTTTAACCTAACACAAAAGATTATAAATACATACAGAAGATTTTATCCTCTTTTTTGATGCTTTGTTAGAGGGATTTCCATTAACCTCTTGGGTGCGGGGTCCCCTCTGATCTGAATAAAATCCTGTAGGGGACTGGAGGTTAATAATAAAAGGATTTTTTTCTGTGATATTTTCCGTTCACTGCGTTAGTTACCGATTTATTTTGTTTTCGTTTCAAATGCCAGTCTTGATATATTGGCACCGAAATGATCCCAGTTAGATTTTTTTATTAATTGTTTGTTTTACACTAAATCACGGCCCTACCAACACAGTGATTGATCCACACCAAATCACCGTGTTAGTCAATGACGTTATTGTTTAAGATTAAGATGCCTTCAACCAGGGTCTAGTGCAGCACTATCTTGGGCTGAGGCGTCTGACCTGCAATTCCTTCACCCCGTCACGTCCTCACCCCGTCACGTCCTCACCCCGTCACGTCCTCACCCCGTCACGTCCTCACCCCGTCACGTCCTCACCCCGTCACGTCGTCACCCCGTCACGTCGTCACCCCGTCACGTCGTCACCCCGTCACGTCGTCACCCCGTCAATCTCTTATAACAATAACTCCGCCGATTAAACTGTATAAGAGCCAGGTTAGTTTAGGCTGAATTTAAGACCTGAGTCATCTGATAGCCACCTGGCCATTATAAAATCTGTGTAAATTAATTGCTCTTGTCACACTGCTAAAGAGAACTGAAGGACAAATATATAAAGTTCCTCCTGTTTTTGCTGTGTTTTATTTCCCGCCGCCCACATGACGCCCTCTTACCCTTCCCCGTGGTTCCCAGTGGTCATGTACTCCAGTGTTTGTCCCGAGCAGCGCGTCACAACTCATGGTCACCAATCTATATTTGACCAATCGATATCCGTGTAAAGAAAATAATGGTTTTAAGGGAAACTATATCGTCACTCCCCCACGTCTTCAGCGTCACTCCCTCACGTCATCATCGTCACTCCCTCACGTCTTCATCGTCACTCCCCCACGTCTTCATCGTCACTCCCTCACGTCTTCATCGTCACTCCCCCACGTCTTCATCGTCACTCCCTCGCGTCTTCATCGTCACTCCCCCACGTCTTCATCGTCACTCCCTCACGACCCCAACATCAACTCGCACACCGTTCCCATGGACCGCCATGTAGTGTTATGGTGTGTGACAAAAAAATGACGCTTAATATTATTCAGATGCACAAACTGACGAAATATATCTGTCAGTTTACCAATAAAAGGCAAAAAGATTAATCAGCGGGTCTTTATGGCCGTCAGTCAATGTTTATCCAGTTTACACTTCGCTACACACATGTTGACTGACGCGAGTGACAAATATAATCCATAATGCTATGAAAAAAAGCCGAGTAAATGACGCCTTGGGAGAGAGAGAGCGCACTAATATCGTTGTATCATAGCCAAACCTAACTTAGCCTAGTTTAACTAAGACTTGCCAAAACTGAACTTAAACAACAGAGATCGGACGGCGAAAAAAAAGGTTAAAAATGACCTTGGCATAATATTCCCAAAATTAAAACTCGACAACTTCATAACATAAGGTTAGGTGTTTTATAAGCAGCTAAAGTTACCTCTAATGTACTCAACACCTTCATGGACGTGTCGTAATGCGTGACCTTGTGTCAACCCTTGACCCTTGTGATAATGACCTACAAAACAGGTGAGATTCCTGACGTTAATCTGAGGTAAGGATGACTTTGGTCGACTAACTTACTGTGATAATACTGACACGCCTTGAAACATCCTCAGAACATCTTGACACACCTTGGAGAAGGAACAAATACAGTATATCAAAGAGTTTGAGTGCAAGTGTGGCACCACCGAGGCAAAGGTTGTGGGGTTTCCTCGTCCCGGGGCGGCCTACGAGTCACCTGGGAAGCCCCGCGTGTGCTGCACCACAGGGTGAGCCACGTGCCATTGCCCCGCCAGGCCATTATTCTCAGTGTTTGTGTCAGGACTCAGGGGTGATGGCGTAACGTGTTCTCACTCTTGCTTACGTTACCTACAGGGATTCTTTCTAGTTTTGTAATAGATTTTTCTTTTCTTTTAGCTGCGTAAACGAAATTATTTTAAGAATCTTAGTTTTACAAAATTATGGTCTCACTGGAGCAAGCTTGATGCACCAAACTTTGTAAGGAACTGAAATAATTGGATTTCTGTAGCCTAAATATTTCTCTGAACTTTGTGGAGGTGGTGCTCGCTGCCACCTGGTCCATGCTGACAAGTGAAACAAGCAAAATATGGATTAATAGTATTTTATCTTGACTTATTTAACTTTAGGTTATAATGTTTATAATTGGAGGATTATTAAGTCATTATCTAGTGTGACAATGTAAGAGCTGTCAAATATCTTCTCCCTCTCTCCTTGCGATAGATTACGTTACGTTTAGAAGCAAAGTCATGTGTTTCAACCAATCAGGTGGGTCTAGGTTAAAGCATGATCTAACTAACCCTTTAGACCACGGGTGTATTTAGACCATTGGCCAGAGGACACGACTAGACCTAACCTAACATAGCCAATCTTAAATATTTTCTGCGTTTAACCTAATCGACCAGAAATATTTCTCGTGTTAACTAAACCAACGTCAAGTATTTCCTGCCGTAATCTACCTCAAATATTCCTTGTTTAGCCACAGAAGATAATTATTGAACTTTGTATGTTTGTGTGTTTTGAGTGAGTCAGAAAACAGAAGTCATTACTCATCAGCTTTAAAAGAATTTCCGTATACAGAGAGAGAGAGAGAGAGAGAGAGAGAGAGAGAGACCACATTATTGACCCCCCAAAATTAACTTGTATTATTTCCAATGTTACAGGCATAAGAGGACACTCAAATAACACTAACAATTCCCCCCAAAAAAATTCCCTTCCCTTTTCCTTCCGGACAGGTCGAGTGGCGGCGAGAGGCTAACCTGACCTTTCCTGATGGGTCGATCATGATGGGAGGTCAATCAGTGCTGCTGGAGTACGTGGGGAGGGAGGACGCTGGCATCTATGTCTGCACGGCTCGCAACTCACTCGGTCGTACACACTCCACTGCCCTCACCATCCATGTACACTGTAAGAATAAGTATTTATCGTACAGTAGCACTCTCGCAGGCTAGTACAGTTTGAAGGCCTGTGTCAGAAGGAGCAAGCTAAAGAAAAGTCGTTCTTCGAGCCGATCAGTGGCGAGGAGGATGAAAGTTAAAAGTCCCACACTTTATGGCTAAATACATTATAACTTTACTGTAGTGTCTATATGATACTAACTCATAGTTTCCTCAGGCCTCTCATTATGAAGGTTCCTAAACAGTCTACAGTAGCCTGGTGAAGGAGAACATCTCTATTAACTTTGGGGGTCAACGGGCATAAATGAGATCTCTATTTCCTCACGACAGCTTATGATTGAAGTTCACAGTTATAATGATTTTGATATAGGGACATTCTTTGTAAATTTAGCGTTTAAGGAGTCACCCGAGCCTTAAGGAGTCACCCGAGCCTTAAGGAGTCACCCGAGCCTTAACTGTGGTCTTCCATGATAACTCTTGTTCCTCATAGACTAAAGGAGCGATAAAAATAATCACTAATTACCTGACTTGTAAACCCGACATTTACTTCAGTTTTTGTTAAGGACACGATACATTGTTGTTCATCATTGTAGAGTATTTTGCGTACACCCAAGTATTTAGTTTCGTAATTAAATGTATCTTATATAGAAAAAGTATTAACCAATTATGTATAGCGGGAAGTACATCAATTAATCTAATATTTACTGAACTGTTTCACATTTATGTCCCCTGGTAATCTCTTCTGACGACTGCAACACCAACATCAATACGTGAGCACTCAGTTGGGCATCAGCTTTGACAAATACTGGGCTGCCTAGTTGCATCATTTCTCATTTAGTTAGACGCGCCATTGAGCTCAATTAGCGCTAATTACGAACTATTCATACACGTATGGTCTCCAGCTGACGCCGAGCAATGTGTTTATAAGATGATAATTAGCAGTGATGAAGTGGCGGGCCTAGCTAGCTTAAGGCTCCCTACCGAGGCCTCTCTCTATCCTGGGTCAAGTGATGAAGCTTCTTATGTGCGTGTGTGCGTGCGTGCACGCGCGCGCGCTATTAATGACTACAATTTTGTAGAGTTGAAATAATTTAGCATGGATATACGCCTGCTCCCAGAGGTCTAGAGGGTGGTGAAACTGTAACTTATGTAGATGATAGTTGTAGTGAATGTAATATAGATAATGGATAGGATGATAGTGCAGCTATAGGTGTAGTCTTATGAGTAACGCCGGGTTTCCTAGCTGGTATATACTGTATGTTCCTATAGCTTTTCAGAATTAGTTGGTTAGACTATTATTTTTTCATTCCATATTCAGAGTGTATATAATTACCTAATGGTTGTTTATCCTATACAGTGTGTGTGCTGTACCTTGATCTAGCTCCACGGGAGTAGGAACGCGTCTTTATTGATGAGTGCTGGCCCAAACCTGCAGAAAGTTTGTTAAATCAGTTGAAAAACGTAACCAAGGATAATGACTAAACTTACAAACAAAACAAAAACTTACTCCTATACCAAAGCCAAATTACCGGCACGGCAAAAAGTTAACTTATATCAGCTCTAACATTTTGTTTTACGTGTTTCTAAATTTTTCCTTCTACCCCCTTGATGGTCAGACCCGCCGGTGGTTGGCGTGTGGGCGCGAGACGTGGGCGTGTCTGACGTGGAGTTGGGATGTCTAGTGGAGGGTAGACCACGCCCATCTTTAGCCTGGTACAGGAACAACACTCGCCTCTCACCTCCTTCCTGTCACGGGTAAGTAGATAGTGTTGGCCGTGATGGTAGTTAGTGGGGGTGGTTGTTGGTAGTGGTTAGTGTGGATGGTTGTTGGCAATGATGGTGGCCCAACCGTCCTATATTTGTCTTTATCCCTCTCTTTCTCAGTCTTCCTCCTCTATTTCAGTAATACATTCCTTTCCTTCTCTTTCCTCTCTTTTCTGCTCGATTGTTTTTGTCCCTCTTCTGCTCCTGTTGGCATTTTCCCTTCCTTCAGTCCCTTGCTTTAATGTTTTACATTCTCAATGTTTTCCCTCCTCACCTCCTCAGGAATGTGGAGCTGCATTCATCAGTGTTGTCGCCAGCTTTCCTGTTGGCCATTGTTCGCGTGAGCAACACCAGTGAGGCAGACTTTGCTTACTATCACTGCCGTGCCACAAACTCTGTAGGCATCTCCCGCGCCTACGTTATGCTACACGATGACTCAGGTGTGCTTTTCTAGCCATAAATCACTCTCCTGTAGTTGATCTAGGCTAGCCAAGTGCTTAAGTTTATATCCATAAATGTGTGATGGTCATTTTTTATTTTATTCAGGGAGTAAATTTACTGCAGCATGATACAGTACATATTAACCTGTTACTGGAGAGTATCAAGTCTTTTTAGTTTCACTTTTGCCTCCAAGATGCTGCAGATGGGCGGAATACTGTATATAAAATACCGTCCCGTACCTCCGAGGTTAAAGGGGGGACTAATATTCTCTGTCCTCGGAGCTTGGAGTGGAATTAAAGAGGTTGTAGAGGTGATGTTCTAAGACTTTCTCATTTGTAAATTTCTCAACTAGGTGTAAACATTTTGACTCGAGCCGACTTTCCACTTAATCACCGATGATACTGTAGTATCTTATGTTAAAACAATAGTTAATTATGTCACCTGTTCTGTAACATTACCTTTACACCTTAGTAACCTGTTTTATGAACCACCAGGGGGAATGAGCCTCGATAAACTGAAGCCCAAGGTGGTGACCAAGTACAGAGCTGTGGAGAACCCCCGCCTCGCCTCCTTCCTGGTGGGGATGGTCCCGCCGCTCTACATCGCCCTCTACATCATCGCGTACCTGGGCTGCTACAAGACTTCCCTGACGGGCGGTGGTGGACACGGCAGGTTCGGTACTAGTATGGATTTAGACCAATGAATAATAGAGAAATTCATGATGATTTTGTTTAAATTGTTCTGTATATTGTATGTCACTGTGTAAGACAAACCTTCTAGTTGTTAGTACAGGTGTGTGTGTGGCTGATATCAGGATGGATTATAATAAAGACAATATTTATTGTAGTTTTATCCTTAATTTAACATTTGAGAGCGTATTATGTGTATAATTAGTCTCATTTGTCAGAACGTAACATAACGTAATCAAGGAGTTTCAACTTTGTCTTGATTAAGAGTTAACCCTTCACCAGACCATATTAACTAAATTTCCGTGTAACCTTTAGCCTGACTGAACCACCAGAGATCACTACTGAACCTTTATCACGGCAAAACTATCTCAGATCACAAGTAACCCTTGCCATGACTAAACACACACATTTCACTACAAGCACAATAAGCTAGTTAAGACCTCCTGCTGCTTCAGGATATCCACGACATTTCTGGTTGTCCTACACCAGTTTTCCCATGTAAGGACGGCCACCTAACATTCTGAGGTCATCATCCACATCATCAATTAATTCATTCTTGAAAGTTTGCCCCAACATCATTTTTTCACATTATGTGTCCTGTCCAACTCTCCTCTTGATGGACGAGATCACTAGCTTCCTTTACTTTACTTTTACTTTTGTCCTTTTCACCACTGATCGGCTCATTAGCCGTTTGGGCGATCGGTCACATCTCTGTTACGCACCGTTGGCAAGTACTGGGCATGCACTGGCTCTTGAATGTATCTGAACCTGCTCCAGTGCTTGTCAAGTCTAGTCTTGAAAGAGCTCACACTCGGTGCCGTCACAACGCTCTGGCAGATTGCTCCAAGAGTTCACAACCCTCACTCCGAAAAGGTTACCCCTCACAGTTTTCTGGGTTTGTGGCTTCTTCAACCTTAAGCTGTAACCCCTTGTTGGGCGATCGTCCGCCAGCTGCAGGTAAGGACACTCGACTGAGTAGTGCCCTTTGAGATGTTTATACACCCCAGTTAGGTCGCCCCTTGCCCGTCTGGAATATAAGCTAGGCAATTGCAGGCGTTCTAATCTCTCAAGGTAGCTGAAGTGCCGAAGTGCTGGCACCAGTCTGGTGGCCCTCCTTTGAACATTTTCAATCAACTGACAGTCCCTAGCATATCTCGGGGACCAGACGGGGTGACAGTACTCCAGATGGGGAAGCACTTCACTCCTAAAGATCGTTACGACCTTATAAGACCTAATAATTTAGTATCCTTATTCACCTTCTTCTTACAATGGCCTGAAAACGTCAGTTCATTGTCAACTAGGTCCTTCTCACATTCAGTCTCAATTAATGCAGTATCTTCGTCCTGTTGGGACATGTGATACGCCTACTTACCGTTGGTACTGTACGTTCCAGGTGCAGCCTCTTACACTTCGTGATAATTAATCTTAGCAGCGATTTCTGCGACCATTCTTGAACCTCACTGAGATCCTTCTACAGCTCTTCACAGTCCGCTTGGTTTTCAATTTTCCGAAATAACTTGGCATCATCCGCAAACATTTGTATGGAGGAGTGCACAGCTTCTGACATGTCATTTATGAAGCAAACAAACAACAGCGGGCCCAATACAATGACTGCCCTGTGCTACCCCGCTTGTCACGGGTACACATGACGATTTCGTGCCATTAATCACCACACACTGCTTGCAATCACGGAGAATGTCTCCGATCCACGGTAGGGCACTTCTCCGAATCCTGTACCCTTCCAGTTTAATTTCAGCTTTTCATGGGGTACGCAGTCGAAAGCTTTGGCAAAATGTCTGCATATAATGTCGATAACGCCACCTTGTTCCAGAATTTGAGTCCAAACATCCAGTACCTTGAGTAATTGTGTCAAGCAGGAGCGCCCCGGCATAAAACCGTGTTGGCAATCCTCTACAAGGTTATTTCGTAGTAGATGTTCCATCATGGCATCTCTTATAATGCTCTCAAGTACTTTACATACTGTATTGGTCAGGCTCACTCGTCTATAGTTATTCGTGGAGCCACGATCGCCCTTCTTGAAGATAGGACTCACATAAACCATTTTCCAATCTCTGGGAACCTTCAGCTCATCCAGGCATTTACAGAACAGGCTCTTCAGGGACTCAGCAAGCTCGTTGCACATCTCTTAGCACTCTGGGATGCACCATGTCAGGGCCGGGACTCTTATAAACCTTTAGCTTTGACAATTTATTTCTTATAACCTCTAATGTGAACACAAAGTGGGTCAGCGCTGTGTCGAACCGTCTGTCCTCAAACGCAGGAAGAGTGTTCGCATCCTCTTGTAAACACCGAGGAAAAGAAACTATTAAATTCCTCTGCTTTGTCCAGATCAGAATCTGCATAACTACCATCTTCAAGTCTAGGGTCCAATACTCCTACTCACGTTTGTAATTTTGACTTTGCATAGCGGAAAAATGTCTTTGGGTTTGACTCGACCTTGCTTGCAACCAGCCTCTGAAACTCTTTTTCAGCCCTTCTACACTCTGAGTTTGCTTGGTTCTTGCATACATCCTCCTGTCCTGCTCATCGTCTGACCTAACCTACGCCTTTGTTGACCTCCGTATGGTTCATGAGCAGTGGTGGTCTTGTATTCCTAGAGCCACTGGGTTTGGTCTTGGGTATATATCCTCGATCAAATGGTTCACTTTACTGGCTATGATATTCAGCAGTGTCTACGCTCTTATACCTTAGTGAGTCAGGCCACTGGATACCCTCATCCCGTCGTAACTTCCATTGTAATATTTGCACCTTGACCTGGTTTTGTCGTGAACCAAGTAACAGTTAAATCTGAAGGACATTACATGGTGGCTGGTGCCAACAGAGGCTAGGTTCTAGCTTGGCCACCATACCCTCCTTGTGATAATACTTACCTCATTACCATAATGTTTGCACCATCGTTACTCGTCACCATCACACAAATTACTTAATGAATTTTTCACTCCATTTTTATTCCCAGGTTCTTGTTACACTGCAAGGCTGTGCTGCATAAATCGACACTGATATCATAACATTTACAAAGGTAACTTAGTTTTCTTGATATTCTTGTTATGAATAAACCATACAAGTGGTAGGTGCCCAGGTTGCTGACCTACTTCTAGCACTCGCCTTAAGGCCTCTATCATTATATGGTGACATTATACATAACTCTTCAGCAGCAGGAACATGTCACTATTCCACAAATTTTCAAGTTATCACAAACTTTTCTGGAAGATATTCATCTCCACATGAATTATGTTATAATTTTGTCTATGCCACTCTTTAGGTACAGTCACTCAAAAACAAAACAAAACTATCTATACTCTGTGGGGAGGGGGGTCAGTGAATTTCAGCATGCGACTCCTGTTGTCTCTGCAGGGTTGTCAAATTCCTTCCTCTGTTGTCATATTGTCTAACATAATTTTGTACAAAAAGTTTTTGAATGACAGTACAGTACAGTACTAGTTTTATCACTCGACATACATTTGTCAACTATTAATATTTATCAGACATACAAAATATCTTACTGGCTTATGTTATTTCTTTTTGCTCAGTTGTCACTTACGATTGGTTTCAGAATATCAAGTTTTGTAAGAGGTAACCCTAAAGTTGCTCGTATTTCATACACAGAAGGTTGTTAGTGTTCGAGTATTACTGCATGCACTACTGACTACAGTACACAAGTTTTATTAGCATGATCACTGCTCTATACGAGTTGTTACCAAGACCTTAATTATTGTTGCTACAGCTTGTTGACTGCTTCAAGACATGTCAGATAAGACTTCAACCTTTCAAGATTATTTTTCCAATATATAATGTAATAAATATGTGATAGTGTAAATGTATTAGTGTATGAATTGTTAATAAAATTTATTTTTTACAATTTGTATTTTTGAGAAAGAAATCCTTGATAGTGTATTCTACACCCTCTGTGGTGGTCAGCGGCTGATATGAAATTGACTGGATTATCTACAAATGAATTTTGAAGGATTCAAATACCTCCCCAAAGAAGCTTGAGATTGAAGTTGAAATAATTTTGTAAGATTAACAATGGTAACAATACAGTACATGCTGAATACAACAATATTGACATGTTAGTGCATACTGGATTTATCACTGTCCATCTCATCTATCTTCTTTATATATCTTGGATGACTTGTTAACTCTGCTTCCTTCAGGGGGGATAGAAACTTGGTTAAATTCAATAGTAATAAAACTCAGTATTTACCCATTACACTTTCCAAATTAGATGATCTCCCACCAATCACATTTCAGGACGCTATCATTCTGCCAAATTCTAAAATAGACATGCTAGGCCTCACCATTTCCTTTAATCTGTCATGGAAGCCACACATCCTCAACATTACTAAAGCTGCCTCCCAAAAGCTGGGAATGCTGTACAGATACCGTAGCTTCTTCACTCCTGAGCAGTTGCTTCAAGTATATAAGGGATTTATTAGTCCTAACTTGGAGTACTGCTCTCAATTATTATGTGGGGTGGTTCTTCTTCTGTCTAACTGTTAGATAGGATGGAATCAAAGGCATTTCGTCTTATTAACTCTCCTCCTTTAGTTGATAATCTTTCTTCCCTTTTTCTTTGCCACAATGTTGCTTCACACTCTCTCTCTTTTGCAGGTACTTTAACGGGCATTGTTTGGTGGATTTGGCATCCTGTGTACCGCCGGCAAGGTCGTGGGCTCGTAACACTCGCCTTGCCCGCGGTCCCCACAGTTTCTCTGTGGATGTCGGTCACACTAGAATAACCCAAGGCTTTCGACAGTGTACCCCACGAAAGGCTGAAAATCAAACTGGAAGGGTACGGAATTCGGGGAAATGTCCAAGCGTGGATAGAAGACTTTCTACATGACCGCAAGCAGTGTGTGGTGATTAATGGCACGAAATCGTCAAACGCGTACCTGTCACAAGTGGGGTACCACAGGGCAGTGTATTGGGCCCGCTGTTGTTTGTTTGTTTCATAAATGAAATGCCTGACGTTGTACACTCCTCCATACAAATGTTTGCCGATGACGCTATCATGATCGTGATGACGGCTAACCTGAAAACCTTAAGGATTCATATTACGCCCAAACGTCCACAAAACCTTCCGAGTCCCCCAGTGGAAACGTCCCCGTTTTCTCTGTTTCCTTGATGACGTCATCGATAGGCCGTCTTTGTCTTAAGGGAACTTTGAATATAATCCGCGGATTTCGTAGCAAGACGCTGTATGTTGGGACCTGTTGCCATCCAACCCTTTGTAATCAATTTAATTTTGCTTTTGATAGCTCAGTCAGAGCATTGTTAGTGAGGATAATAGTAGGGAATGAAACTGAGTTCATAGTCTCAGTTTCAACGTCAGAGTGTACAGTAAATTAATTCATCGAAATAGAAGTAGGTGGACTCCCTGACCTATTTTGAGTAAGGGTGCCGCGGGCATTTCAACTGTTAGTAAGTGCTCGCCCCTTCACCCATACAGGTGGGCCATTCCACTCTGTGTTGTAATTCGCCCTTCTTTAAGTGATTTGACCCAATTAATAGTTGATTGTGCAAGTGTTACAGTAACGTAGTTGATATGCTCTGAGTGAAGTCATATTTACGTCTTTAACGTCCCCTGAAATGTGATGTCGTTGTCACTGTTAGTAAGTGCTCGCCCCTTCACCCATACAGGTCCCTAACGCAGCCTAGGCCGTGTCTGTAGCGTGGATATTGTATCCACTATGTCTGGGGAGATGTCCGAGGTCCAGTAGGATCAGTTACCTTCGTGAGACCCGACCGTCAGACACTTCAGACTACCTATGGCCCCATAGCTGGCTCGTCTGGCCCTAACGCTCGGCCTGCGAGGTGACCCTGGATCACCAAGCCACACACCACTACCAGCCCCCATCATTGGTGGATGAGTGTCTAACTCAGTAGGGCTATTTGTGTGGTGGGGTTACTCCACTGGGATCTTCAGAGTTCGTCGGAAAGTACCCCATGATGGCAGGACCCCATGGCGGTTGCTTGAGTATCACTCCTGACGACTGAGTGTTGTAGTGGCAGTTGCCCCTGGTCTTTATGTTGCTAAGTGACTATAAGAGTTATGTGTTATTGAGTATGTCCACCCAGTAGTGGTGTGAGTATGTTGAGCCTGAGGGCATAGTACCAGATTTCGTCTGTTGGTACATATATTTTTTCTCCTACTTCCATATTAATGTTTAAATAAATTTTGTATTTGTATAGTGTGTCTATTATTTACCTACAGTATCTACCGTTATTTCTTCCCTATTACTTGATACTATCATTACATATACCCACGAGCCTCCTCTCGTCACGCTACCAATGATTATAAGTATTAGAGTAAAAAGAATTGTTACTGACACACAGTCCCTTATAACGCCAAGTTATTTCGGGAAATTAAGAACCAAGCGTCCTGTGAAGAACTGCAGAAGGACCTCTGTGGGCTCCAGGAATGGTCGAAGAAATGGCTGCTGAGATTCAATGTCACGAAGTGTAAGAGGATGCACCTGGGGCGTACCAACGGTAAGGAGGCGTATCATATGTCCCAACGGGATGAAGAAACTGCACTAGTTGAGACTGTGTGTGAGAAGGACCTAGGTGTGTATGTTGACAATGAGCTGAAGTTCTCGGGCCATTGCGAGAAGAAGGTAAATCAGGCAAATAAATTATTGGTTCTTATAAGAAGGTCGTTCAGATATCTAGACGGTCCGTCCCTCGTAAAGAACATCAGGAGTGAAGTGCATCCCCATCTGGAGTACTGTCACCCCATCTGGTCCCCGAGATATGCTAGGGACTGTCAGTTGGTTGAAAATGTTCAAAGGAGGGCCACCAGACTGGTGCCTGCACTTCGGCACCTCAGCTACCCTGAGAGATTGGAGCGCCTGAACTTGCCTAGCTTATACTACAGACGGGCAAGGGGGACCTAGTTGAGGTGTATAAGCATCTCAAGGGGCACTACTCAGTTGAGTGTCCTTACTTGGAGCTGGCGGACGCTCGCCCCACAAGGGGTCACAGCTCAAGATTGAAGAAGCCGCAAGTCCAGAAAACCGTGAGGGCAAACTTTTTCGAAATGAGGGTTGTAAACTCTTGGAACAATCTACCAGAGAGTGTTGTGACGGCACCGAGTGTGAGCTCTTTCAAGACCAGACTTGACCAACACTGGAGCAGGTTCAGGTACATTCAGGAGCCGGTGCATGCCCAGTACTTGTCAACAGCGTGTAACAGAGACGTGACAGATCACCCGGGCGGCTAGCGAGCCGATCTTTTGGTGAAGAATATAAATGAAAAGGAAAAGTATTCAGAGACGTAACAAGCCGATCAGTTGCGAAGAGGATAAAAGAGAAAAATGCTCCTCACTGCTCTTTTGAGCTACCCAAGGTTGAATTGACTTACTGCCCCCCATTATTTGTACACAATCACTGTCTATATACTGTATACATGTTATTCAATGTGAACTTTATATATATTTTACTGAATAATTATCCACGTATCTTTCAATCTATCTTTGTATTTATTGCTTTTCACTTTCATTTTTGGGCTACCCTTGGTTGAATTGACTTACTTTTGCTATTATTTGCATTATTTGTACACTAATACTGTCTATATACATGTTGATCCAGTGTAAACTTGTATATATGTATATTTTACTGAAAAATATCCATCTATCATTCAATCTACTTTTCTAGTTCCAAAATGATGCAATGGTAATATATTTTAAGTTTCGCGGCAGAGGAACACCAATGGAAGGGGGACCAGTACCAGGACCTCACAGTGACGTGAACACTGTCTTGGTAGTGAGTGTGTCTGACGTAATATAAATACAGGCACACTCTACAATGATCATTCATCACTGTAGTAACCTGTAGAAGAAGTTGAATACTGTGGGAAAAGTGTGTGAGAAGTAGAAACATTATATCGAAGTTATATCATGGACTGTCGACTATAACAACAACATTATAAATAAGAAGATAAGATAAACTATTATATCGTGATCTACAGTACAAGTGAGTATATTATATGTTAACTTAATCTCATAAATAATTTCTCTTGAGTATAAAATAATGTGATATATAGCTTTTTGGTCTTGACTGACAAGTAATTAATATATTTGTTCATTACTGATTATGTATGTACTGTATATTTTCCTATCTCAATTTATCAGTAAACGTAAAATAATGAGTAAAATAGAAATAATTCATAGTAGAGTAATACCTTGAAGTCTTATTACATGGGTAGAATTTGACTTTTTCTATGTAATGTTAAAGTTTTGCTGCTTCCATTTGTTAATTATATATCGACTTAAATAGAGGATAAAATAAGTCATTACATGTGTTCTTTGGGGTTCTTGGGCTTAATAAAACTATTGGTAATCTGGTATTTAATGGGGGTGAAATCATGAACAAAAAATACTTTTATTGGCATTTAGTAGATTGGGAACATTGTGAAGTACTATTGAATACTGATACCTTATATAATTGATCAAACTAACCAAACTAACCTAGCTAACCTAACCTAACCAAAGTAACCTAACCTAACCAAAGTAACCGAACCTAACCAAATGGGAATAGGCTTGATGGACTGGGATATTATCTAAAAGACACCTTTACAATAAATCGCAGATTGCAAAATCGTCTGTGATTCTCGAGTGAGTATTTAAAAGCTCTGTGCATCTCTAGTTAGTGAAAACAAATCGCCACTAAACTACTGTATGTTCCATTTTAGCAGGAATGAAGCACTGAAAGGAAATATTTTGTTCGTTAAAATTATTGTTTCGGTTTTGCACCTATTTGGAAGTCATTTGAAACATAAAAAATCATCTGAAAACTATAATTTCAACCTAACCTAACCTTAAAGAAAGGCAATTTTGGTCACACAAAGTGCACAGGGCCTAGAAGTATGCAGAGGGAAATTGTGTAGGTAAAACATGCAAAAAAAATGACAAAACCAAACCTAACGATTCTCAAATATTAGTATACATGTTTATTTTTTTTTACCTTCTTCACCACCGATCGGCTCGTTAGCCGCTTGGGCGATCGGTCACGTCTCTGTTACACGCTGTTGGCAAGTACTGGGCATGCACCGGCTCCTGAATGTACCTGAACCTGCTCCAGTGTTGGTCAAGTCTGGTCTTGAAAGAGCTCACACTCAGTGCCGTCACAACACTTTCTGGTAGATTGTTCCAAGAGTTCACAATTCTCACTCCGAAAAAGTTTGCCCTCACAGTTTTCTGGACTTGCGGCTTCCTCAATCTTGAGCTGTGACCCCTTGTGGGGCGAACTGTCCACCAGCTCCAAGTAAGGACACTCAACTGAGTAGTGGCCCTTGAGATGCTTAGACACCTCAACTAGGTTCCCCCTTGCCCATCTGTAGTACTGTATAAGCTAGGCAAGTTCAGGCGCTCCAATCTCTCAGGGTAGCTGTGGTGCCGAAGTGCAGGCACCAATCTGGTGGCCCTCCTTTGAGCATTTTCAACCAACTGACGTCCCTAGCATATCTCGGGGACCAGACAGGGTGACTCAGACAGTGAAATACATTTATCACTGCCATTGAACTGAATCTTAAAGAGCATTCTTGAGTGTCTCCTAGTTCCTTCATGACCCACAGGCTGAAAGTAATCATCTATGTCTAAAATTTGTCATTGCCTGTTAGTATTGTATAAACTTGTAGCACAGTGCATCAGTTCTCTTCCTCCTGTAAGATAGACTTGGCAGTTCAAGGTGTCTCTTTTCTCTGATTAACATTAGTCTTTTGATATTGTACCTTCTCCAGAGCACCACCATCTGTCTTCAACATTGGAACCCAGACATTAGAGCAATATTTCAGTGGGGTAGATGAACCAGGTGTCTTATGCAACAAAATTAGGTTCTTGGTGGTCCTCTGTCCTGAAGCATCCCTGTATAAAGACTTGTATAGTTTCAGTTGATTTATTAGTACTAGTTAACATGGCTACCCAGTCACCATCTACCAGAGTGAATGGGTTACATATAATCTTCTTTCCTTTTCAGCCATAAAATAGGAATTCTCAAACTCAGTGTTTCAACATTTATGTGAAGACTGTATTACTTAAACTATTTATCTTTGTAAAATTTATGGTAGTTATTTCTTTCTTTTAGTAGAGGCAACAGTAAGACAAGATGAGAGAGAGAAGTATTAGTATGATGTCTCCTGTTGCATTGGGGCTGGTCTTGATAGCACTGTGCCCAGGAACAGTGCTGTCAGCGTGGGGATTCAACAGTGGCAGTGTCCTTCTGAAAGACATAGAAGTACTTACCTTATACAATGGCAAGATGACTCAAGGTTAGTTCTAATCCATCATTAATTAAGAGCTTCTAACATAACTCTATTTTAAGTTGTTATTTTTTCTAGTTATTTTTATAAAAATATATTGAAAAAGTAACTGATTTCTCTCTCCATATAATCTGTTTGTTGGAGGTATTGTATTTCATTAAATGGAGGGTTCATATACAATAGACTCTCGATATAACGGATTTTCCACTCCATTTAGTCCATTAAATAGAGGTTTCACCAGCGTTGTAATGACTTTGCTTCAGACATTATAGTTGATCATGAAGTTCAAATTTATTTCTGACTACAGTATCAATTTACACTATTTTTCATAACACAGGACAGCGTTCTTCACCAGTACCTCAGTTGGAGTGTGTCCATGGTGGAACTGCCCCTTGTAGTGCCTTCAAACCCCGGGTAGTGCAGTGTTACAACCGGGGGTGGGACGGGGTGGATGTACAGTGGGAGTGCAAGACTGACATGGACAATGCATTCAGGTATGTTATGGACCACTTAATCTTTTTCAATGAACATGATTATTGTATAGTGAAGCAACTTTTCATGACTTTGAGCATTTGTATTATAAATTAAGTGTTGAAGCTCAGGTTGATTTACAGTAAACTCTCAGTTTATGTGTCAATTATGTTCCTGGAAAACAATACTTAAAGGGAACCTTGGAGCAGTGGGGAAAATGGAGTTAAGTATCAGATTTTTATTAATTCTTTATGACTGGCCACAGGAAAGGTTGATTTTACCAATACAGTACTTGGCCAGTGTAGACATAACCCAATTTAGTTAAAATTCATGAACTAGGCAATTATTTTACCCAGCTTGTGATGTGGATTACTAACCCAAGCTGACCAAACCGAACTTGGGTAGGATTGGAGCCCATTTTACAAACTAGGCAAATGACCCACTTTAACATAACATAGGTTAGGTTGGGTTCAGCTTGGTTAGCTTAGATCGTCAATTTGGGTTAGGTGCCCATTTCACTAACTGGGCAAAATGATTACCCAGTTCATTATATGCACATATACTACATACAAAGTTCTTTGATCCTAAACTATTGGTGAAAATGTTTATGTTGTGTAAGTCTTCTATAAAAGGCCATGATTCAACCAAAATCATTACAAGAACTGTGCTAAAATCTTAGTGTTTTGAAGTTTTGTGTAAATAATAATAAAAATTATAATTAACTGTATATTGAAAAAGTCAGCAGCCCAAAGGCTGAAAATATACATTAAACAAAATTGACTTATTACATACAAAGACATGGGGTGGGTGGGTCGTTTAACTAAAGCTTTCATTACTAAAAGAAGAAGGAACAATGATTGAACATACGAATTATTATAGTTTACAGTTGATGGCCCGGGCCTGGGCTGGTCATGGAGACACCAGGTGGTGTGGTGTTCACGTGGTGTAGTAACTCGTCCTCGGGTGTTGATATGAAGGACCTCACGTGGTCATGGAGACATCGGGTGGTGTGGTGTTCACATGGTGTAGTAACTCGCCCTCGGGTGTTGATATGAAGGACCTCACGTGGTCATGGAGACATCGGGTGGTGTGATGTTCACATGGTGTAGTAACTCGTCCTCGGGTGTTGATATGAAGGACCTCACGTGGTCATGGAGACATCGGGTGGTGTGGTGTTCACGTGGTGTAGTAACTCGTCCTCAGGTGTTGATATGAAGGACCTCACGTGGTCATGGAGACATCGGGTGGTGTGATGTTCACGTGGTGTGATAACTCGTCCTCGGGTGTTGATATGAAGGACCTCACGTGGTCATGGAGACATCGGGTGGTGTGATGTTCACATGGTGTAGTAACTCCTCGGGTGTTGATATGAGGGACCTCACATGGTCATGGAGACATTGGGTGGTGTGATGTTCACGTGGTGTGATAACGCGTCCTCGGGTGTTGATATGAAGGACCTCACGTGGTCATGGGGACATCGGGTGGTGTGGGGTGGTGTCATAGTACCTCGCTCTGCTGGGTGGTGTTGTGTTATCCCGTAGTCAGGTGCATAGCTGGCCAGCCCTCTGTTGTTCCCAGGGTGGACGGATTAGCACCTCCTGGTCAGAAGATGGTGGTTAGTTCCCAGGGGTGCTTATCTCACTGGTACTGTCTAGTGCTGAATTCACTGGCTTAAACACTGTTCAACACTGATCCCACTTCTTTCCGAAACGAAATTGTCACTTTGATTATGTAGATATCCTGGTGGTGAGGATGGGTCCGGGAGAGGGACTTGGGGAATGGGCCGACATTGGCAAAAGGGGGCAGCTGCGTAGCGGGAGCAGCGCCTGAATAGGTCTTGACCCTACGGTGGTCAAGGATGTAGTGTGTATGTGTCACCCTGCTTCACTCATTGTAATTAGTTGAATGTTGTCAATTTTCTTTTCTTTATTCCCTGTAATGTTATATTCTCAGTTCTCTTTCACTTTTTTTTTTTTAGAATATTTAATGCTGAAAACATAAATTATGCCAATAAACTAATTTAATTGTTTGCTAATACACCTGTATATTTTTCCTTCAATAGGTTTGGCGACATTGAAGTCTCATGTGAGGGTTACAGCAGCCGGGATGACCCTTATGTGTTGAAGGGATCTTGTGGCTTGAGGTACTCCATAGACTACACCAAGGAGGGACTCAACCAGAAGCAGGGTCATCATCACAATTACTATGGTGATCAAACCACAGGATACGAAAGTCACGCAAGTCCTGGAAATCACGGAAAACAGAAATTGTCAAGTGCAAGCTACTTCGCTGATTTGATTGTGCTAGTTGCTGCAGCTTTGATGTGTTGGGCTTTCTACAAGACTTGTATTCAATCTTCTCGTCGAGTTGGCCAGGATGCTCACAGTAACACCAATGATGATTACCCAGCAGGAGGAGGTGGTGGTGGTGGTGGTTATGGATGGTTTGGTCAGGGAAGTGGTGGTGGTACACCTCCTACAGCCCCACCACCACCTGCAGGGTTCCAATCAGGATATAGAGATGATGCCTCTTGCAGAAACCGTACTGCTGGAGGTGCAGCAGGAGGCAGTAGTGGTGGAGGAGGTTTCTGGAGTGGAGCTGCTGCTGGTGGTTTACTTGGGTACATGTTTGGAAGGGGCGGCCAAAACAACTACGGAGGAGGTTATGGTCGGCAACGTCCATGGGGTGGCAACTCAGGATGGGGGTCATCTAGTTGGGGAGGTGGTGGAGGTGGCTTCTCTGGTGGAGGAGGAGGAGGCGGGTCTACAGGAACCCGTACTTCTTCAGGTTTTGGTGGTACTAGTCGACGCTAGATTCTTGTGGACACCTAAAATGTAACTTTAAACCTGAAAAATCAAAGAACATAAACATTTACAATGAATATTACCATAGATGGTCCTATTTTGTATTGTGGAGTTTTTGTGCTACGGAAGTAACTCTTTCTAATAACCATTGATTGATCTTTAAATACAGCTCTTGAATGTTGTGTGGGATTTGTAATTTTCCAACCGGTGTGAGATGGATGGAACTTACAAAAGTTTTTCCAATGTACTGTACTGTATACTTGCATTACCAACGTGTCTGTTTACTGTGCAGTACTCGTCTTACTCTAATTGCTTCTCTAATAAGATGAGTGTATGTAGTGATGAAGATTGTGTATGTCATATATGCCTACATTATTATCTTTATAAGTTTTCAGTACATTAAGAAGGAAGACTTTGATTAGAAATATTAGAGTAAATTTTTCTTTCCAACACAAGTATAAACCTGAGATTGAATAAAATGTATGGATATTTTATTTTATTTTTTTAAATTGTAAACTTTCACTGAATACACAATGTAAAGTTTAATAATACTTTACATAACTTCATTTTTAAAGGAGTACTGTACATGTCTGGGCTAATACACTACAGTTAATTTTATTGTTCTGTACATTTTTGCACATTCTGTTGTTGAGTTTTGTTCTTTTGTTGATGCTGACAAAGGTTTAAGTTTTTGTGCACAAACTATTTATTCTCTGGTTACCAAGAATCTTCATTTCAATGTTTCCAAAACTGCAGTACTGCACATGTACAATAAAACACAAGTTTTATTTAGAATGCTTTTATCTATAGGAGTAATGAAATTTACAGCATTTATGGGCCAGAATGGACAGTTAATCATTTGGTGGTGACGTACGAAGACCAATAAATGACATTTTGCAATCTGAATTGACAGTTGTAAAACATGAACTAACAAATATAACATTCACTCAACACAGTGAATGTCTCCTACATCATTTGTTGGTGTATTTGTTAGTTCATGTTTTACAACTGTCAATTCAGATTGCAAAATGTCATTTATTGGTCTTCGTACGTCACCACCAAATGATTAACTGTCCATTCTGGCCCAAAAATGCTGTTATATTGATTAGATTTTGAGGACTATTATTTTAATAATGGTGCAGTTGTTGTTTTTTTTTCTTTTTTCTTTTTTTTAGGTTGGTGGTGATGTTTGCATTATCTGGTGATATGTAGGGTATGAGTGTTAAAGTCCTGGGCTACAGTATTTACTTCTTACAATATGTTACAGTTGCCAGGAGATATAATATATGTTATTGATATATATGTTTATTTATAAGTTATTACTGTTTATTCATTATTTATAATCACTGAATTATCTTTTTTACCATGTATGTATTCCTTTAAGTTACTTACTTGTTTCAGCATTTTGATTATCCAGAATCTTTATACAATATATTTAGTACCTTTGTTCATTGGTTTAATGTAATGAGAGGAAGTATGATATGAAGCTTTCCGTAATGCTAATTGAACAAATGTGAATATTAGACAGTATGTTGTTTTTTATTCTTCCTCTAAATGTGTTTGTCTTGTTATGTGATGTAGACGATGCTTTGATGATCAGTACTACCACGTAGGAAACACCGCTTCCTGTCTGATCAGGAAGTTAAGCAACATTGGGCCTGGTTAGTAATACAGTACTTGGATGGGTGACTGCCTGGCCCCCCTAAGAACACCATGATGCTGTTGGCATAAGGACTACTAGAATTAAGCATCTCATGGGTTTGTCGGCTATCCTTGGTGATCAATTTGACTAAAATATCAATTATTATTATTATGTTTCTTTTGCTGTCTAATACAGATGATGCTGTGATGTGCTGTCTTAAGAGAGATGTAAGGTGTGGATTTATATTAAAGTGCGACAGCTTCATACTGCCTAGTTACTTGTCAATTTGATCACCAAGGACAGTTAGCCACGAGATGCTTATTTCTAATAGAGTCCTTATGCCAGCAGCATCTTGGTGTTCTTACGGGGGCCAGGCAGTCACTAGCCAAACCTGACACGTTAAACTTTGCTGATCTGGTGCTTGACAGGATGTAAGCAGATGTTCTGGAATGGAAAGTGTTGAAATTAGTGAGGCCGTCAGATGTAAGAAAGATAATGTGGATGACCAGTTGGGTGGAGAGGTGAGTGTCATCAACTCCAGATGAAGCAAAGTGATGTACAGTGAAACCTCCAGATAACGGACTTCTCTCTCCGTATAATCCATTAGATGGGGGTGTCACATCTAATAGACCCTCGATATAACAAACTTTCATATAAGAACATAAGAAAATAAGGAGTCTGCAATAGGCCAGTTGGCCTGTGCATGGCAGCACCTGTTGAGAGTTACTACCACTATCATCCATGAATCTATCTAGCCCCCTTTTAAAACTTTCCAGCACTTACTACAAAGTGCTAAGCTTGTTCCACTCGTCTACCACCCTATTTGTGAACCAGTTCCTTCCTATCTCCTTCCTAAACCTAAACTTCTATCTATCTAGCTATCTATCCATGTATCTATCTATCTATCTAAATTTATTTATCTATCTCTTTATCTATATCTATGCAAGTAAATGACTGTAGGTGCGCGTGATCTAGGTACTGTATATGCTTCGTGTGTTCTTCTTTCCTTGTGGTTATCAGCATATATCTATATCTATCCTTAGGTCTTTGTTCTTCCTTCAAAGGGTTCTTAGGGTTCATTTGTGGGTTTAGGAGTCCTTGGGTTCAAAGGGTTCATTTGTGGGTTTAGGAGTCCTTGGGTTCAAAGGGTTCATTTGTGGGTTTAGGAGTCCTTGGGTTCAAAGGGTTCATTTGTGGGTTTAGGAGTCCTTGGGTTCAAAGGGTTCATTTGTGGGTTTAGGAGTCCTTGGGTTCAGGGTGTGATTTGCGTGAGAGTAATGCCTTTTGTTATGTAAAACTTATCACTAAAATAATTCCAATACACATTTCAAGGGGGAGGGGTTTATGAGACTTTGGGTTCATAGGTTCAGGGGTTTGGTGTTAAGACGAGAGTGGGAGCCCCTTTGATGTATACATATATAATACTTATCAATAAGAAATATATATATAAATTTTAATGGGTTTATAGGTTCATGGGTCCAGGGGCTTAGAGGACCTTAGTTTATGGGTTCAGAGGTTGACAAAGATGAGAGTGAGAGTCTCTATGGTGTACATGTATAGATAATACTTCTCAATAAAAAAATATACATCAATTTCAAATAGTTCTGGCATTCATTCATGGGTTCAATATGGGTTCAATGTGGGTTCAGTGTTAGACGGTCGACGTGATCTAAGTCGAGGGTTGGTGCGGGCGGCGGCCAGTCAGTGTCACCATGGAGGAGATAGGTATAACTGTGCCCACTGAGAAGGTAATATAACTAATATGTCTTTGATATTATTGAACTAAACCATTGAGAATATTGTGTGTTAAGATGAAGAGAACTATAGTGAGTTATATTAGTGATATGATGGTAATATAAGGTAGTGAAAGCTTTTGTGTTATAGTCATGGTCTTGTTTACGTATTGTAGGTAATATAATTCATAATATATTATTGAACTAAAGCATTGAGAATATTGTGTGTTAAGATGAAGAGAATTATAGTGGATTACATTAGTGATATGATGGAAGGAAAAATAAGGCAGTGAAGGTTTGCTTTATACACTTGAATTACCTTAGCTGTAGGGTTAACCATCCTGGTGTGTAGTCTAGCCCAGGTTGGGAAACAATTAATTAATACACTGTGGCTATTAAGACGTTACCGGTTGAATATCCTGGTAGTCTAGTAGATACAGTATACAGTTTGTGCTTAACATACCAGGAAGTTAGGTCAGGTTCTGTGTATTATTGTTTTGTATCATGCAGGTACCATCTCCAGAAGAGTCGGTGTAACTATATATTTCAGGTAGTGATTTAAATTTTGGGGTAATGGTAGAGGAGACAGTCAACAGTCAGCACTTGAAGGCCTTCATAGAATTGCACCATATATTCTAGAGATTTTAAGACATATATACAATATATAGTAAGTTACCCGTGTGCAGAAGCTGTTTATCTCGCTACAGAAAATTAAACTTACAAGATTAATTATATATTAATCACAACCAGCTTAACTACTATCCTTGGTCAAGTTGTCGTACTGTTCACCTGCAGCACTGTCTCGGCGGTACAACCAATTACCCAAAAGTATATTAATCAGGGTAAAATCTTAACGGATAAATGTTTTACATCAATAAAACCTGATTAATAATGTTTTCATTGAAATGTAGTCAAAATAATGAAATAATAAACAGCGAAAAACGCTAAATTCCAAAGAGTCACCTATCCAAAATGGAGATATAATTACCGATGTTTCTGTTACTTTGGGGTATTTAACATGGCCGTAGGATTTACTTTTCGTTAGGTTAGGTTAGGTTAGCGAAGTGCATCACGATGGATCTGAGTTATCTCCCTTGTTCACGAACTCTTTGGAATTTAGCGTTCGCCAGTACTGAAAGTTTTTCGCTGTTTATTATTTCATTTTACAAATTATTTTTGCAAAATTACACTAAAAATATTATTAAGCATGTTATGTGTATGTATAACAGATATATTTTACCCTTATTTGCTATACTTTTGGGTACATTTGGGTAATTCGTGGCTCCCCTGTCTCGGCACACAGGACACTGTATACTCCCACGGTCTACCTACACTGTATACTTACATTGTCTACAGTATATTCATGTTGAACTGTATACCTGCATAGTTTATAAACATGTTTATTATTATTATTATTTTTATTATTAACTCTTTAATTCTAACAGGTGGAAGAAACGGTTGATGTGAAAGGTCCTGTTGTCGGCGGGTTTACAGTGGTGAGCGATGAGTCCGCGCGGGATGACTACAACACCTACAAACGCCTCCTGCAGAACCTGGAGTACTTACGTGTTCAGGAAGACTATATTAAGGATGAACTACACAATCTAAAGAAGGAATACAGACATGCACAAGAAGAGGTGATGAATTTGGGTTAATATTTGGTGGTTGGGTCTTTGGCTTCACTGTGATATTATGTTTAGTTAGATTTTCAGATTGTTCACAGTGGTTGGGTATGTATGTGACTAATTGACCCAAGTCATATAGTGACATAGCCTACAGGTGTATACAGAAGGGTTGTTTATTGTTTCTATTGATGATATACCTAACCTAACCTAATTTAACTGAACTAAACCGAACTTAACCTAACTGATGCTAACTTAACTGAAGCTAGCCAAATGGAACTGAACCTAACCTAACTGTGACCCCTTGAGCCATTTTCCTGTCTGACGCAACTCAATAGCCACTTCCATATAAATATTATATGTTAATTAATAAAATAACACTTGGTTTGGTTGACTTATTTATTGTCAGTCAGACCTTATGGGTTGATAATCCAGGTTTGCACAACATTTGTGTTTCATTGATTCAATGCATCTTTGACATGGGAAGTAGCTTAATTCCTTGATGAGTATTTTCTGTATCAAGGATAAGGATATACAGTAGACCTTTGCCATTCACGGGTTTGGGATTCACGGTAAGCAGATGGTGGCTAGCTTGTGGGCCTCTCCTGCAGCCCAGCGAGTCACCCCACTCACCCACAGCGTCTCCTCTTTCTTGTTTGCTTTCAATCATTGCCTGACACAGCATCTCTTGTGTTGTACTCTCAAAACTTTAGTGTTTCTGTGTGATATGGCCCCTAAAAGACTGCCTAGTGTCAGTGCTAGTGATGCTAGTGGAGTGAAATGTAAAAGACAAAAGTCAGTGATGAACCTGACAAGGAAATTTTAATTATTAGATAAGTTAAAAGGGGACTAATGCTGCCGCGGCTGGTTGGTATAGGTATACAGTAGTGCACTGAGATAGTAAAAGTTGCTATTCGTGGTTTTGCCTATTTGCACCATTCCTTGGAACCTAACCCACGCCAAAAACAGGGGTTTACTGTACAGTGAAATCTCCATATAACAGACTTTCATCTTTATATAAATTGTTACATGGAGGTTTCACATCTAACGGACCCTCGATATAACAGCCTCTCCTCTCCATGTAGTTTGTGAGGTAGAATTTTCACTTAAGTTAGATTGATCTAGTCCCATTGTAGAAACTTGGACAAGATAACATTGAAGTGAATGGGAAGCGAGCATTACAGGTGTATGGTACTCTGTTGAACCATTGGCAGCTGATAAATATTTTTGGGGACTGTAAATTTGAATGATAAACTGTACAGGTAGTCCAAGAATTACTAACACCCGCGCTTACTAACGGGATCCCAATATGTTCATCCCAAAAATCTACAATTAAATCCCCTTTTTTTTACATGAGTTTATTTACAGTATTTACATTATGTTATATGTCTGGGATATTATTATTGTTTTGTTTAGGCAGGGTTGTGTTTTAAACCTAACTTAATCTATAGAATTAACACTTCTGACTTACGAACAGATCAACTTAGGAACAGGGTCAAGGAACATACCCGTTCATACCTTGGGGACTGTCTGTAATTAGAAGCAGCCAATGTAGTTGGGTTTATTTATAATTGAAATAATTAGTTTTTGTCAAAACTATGTTGATGATTAATCTCTCCCGCACACAAAAAGAAAATATTGAAAACTTGACACAAAGATTCAGAATTTCAAAGCATTGCTGCTGTATCTCATGTCTTTCAGGATTGTCAGTATGAACCTTTTTCATTTATAATAATGATTGGTTATAATTTCCATTTGAGTATTTGCTGTGTTCTTAACCCTGTCAGTAACCTGTCAGTTAAAAACAGATATTGTACAGTGAAGCCTCTATTTAACAGACTACAGTATATGGAAAGGAAAGTCCATTACATAGAGGGTCCATTAGACGTGAAACCCCCATGTAATGTATTACATGGAGGTTTCACTGTATAGCTTACAAAGTTGCAGTGATGAAAGTGATTAAATTGCTAATTCTAGAATATACTAAAATATAGCATGTAGAGGATAGTAGTGTTTTTCGGGTTATATTGTACACCAAGTGCTCTCCCACCAAGGTGTTGCCACAAATGTGTTAAGAGTGTCCCCTTGATGTGTTAGACTGTCCCCTTGATGTGTTACACTGTCCCCTTGATGTGTTACACTCCCCTTGATGTGTTACACTGTCCCCTTGATGTGTTACACTGTCCCCCTGATGATGTGTTACACTGTCCCCTTGATGTGTTCCACTGTCCCCTTGATGATGTGTTACACTGTCCCCTTGATGATGTGTTACACTGTCCCCTTGATGATGTGTTACACTGTCCCCTTGATGATGTGTTACACTGTCCCCTTGATGATGTGTTACACTGTCCCCTTGATGTGTTAGACTGTCCTCTCGATGTGTTACACTGTCCCCTTGATGTGTTACACTGTCCCCTTGATGTGTACCATGATTTATTTTTTTATTTCAATATCTTAAACCATTTTAAAATATATAATTGGCAAACATAGGCTCTTGGAAGATAATCTTGTACTGACAAAATCTTTATTTATTCAGGTTAAAAGAATTCAAAGTGTACCATTGGTAATTGGACAGTTCCTGGAGGCAGTGGATCAAAACACAGGTATCGTTGGATCGACCACCGGCTCCAACTATTACGTCCGAATCCTATCGACAATAGATCGCGAATTATTAAAGCCGTCAGCGTCTGTAGCACTCCATAAGCACAGTAATGCCCTCGTTGACGTCTTACCCCCAGAAGCAGACTCCTCTATATCTATGTTACAAGCAGATGAGAAGCCCGATGTTGCCTACTCAGATATCGGAGGTCTGGACATGCAGAAGCAAGAAATTAAGGAAGCTGTAGAACTCCCTCTCACACACTTTGATCTGTATAAGCAGATTGGCATCGACCCTCCCAGGGGTGTGCTCATGTTTGGACCTCCTGGCTGTGGTAAGACCATGCTGGCTAAGGCTGTGGCACATCACACCACGGCATCGTTCATTCGCGTCGTCGGTTCAGAATTTGTGCAGAAGTATTTGGGCGAGGGACCGCGCATGGTGAGGGACGTGTTCCGACTAGCCAGAGAAAATGCCCCGGCCATCATCTTCATCGATGAGATTGATGCCATAGCCACAAAGAGATTTGATGCTCAAACTGGTGCTGATCGTGAGGTGCAGCGTATCTTGCTGGAGTTGCTCAACCAGATGGATGGTTTTGACCAGACAACCAATGTTAAGGTAAGGGCTACTGCAGTTTTATTACTTGTAGTATTTTATAGCCTTATATACCTGGGCTAGAGTGACTCTTGTTTACCTAATTAGCAACCTTACATGTGTAAAAACTTACCTGGATCCAATTAAGCGACTGGAACTGATGGAGTAATTTCATTTAATTTTTCACATATAACTGGAGAGTAAATAAGGAACAACTGGCAACTGGCTCAGTGACTGTGTGATGCATGTGCACTACTTGTCTTCATACGAGTTTGAGGAATATGTTATATGGTGGTTGTAGGAGAATGATGTTACATTGAGAGCTTATTTGTAGACTTGGTAACATTGAGAGTGTAGCTGGTTTTGTATTTTAAGAGCCACCTGGATTCAGGATGTTCCTCTAGAAATGGAAGATTGATCCTAGTACTGTATACCTTTTATGGTGGAGCCCAAAGCCCTCCCTTAGATTTGTGTCTAGTCAGGTGATAACTGAAGGAGATTGTGAATAAAACACAGATTTTCAGGAGTTTATGAAGGGCTGGACTGTTGCTAGCAATTGCCTGGTGAATGTTGATTGGTCACTCACCAGCTTTTCCCCCTACACCAGTTATTTCATATGTGGCTGGGTGGGAGAAGGGAGGGTGGATTAATTAACTAATCCTGGCTGGTTAGGGTGGCGCTGTTGTAGGACTCCAAATAAGTTGTCAACAATTACAAGGGATTTTAAAATTTGTCCTCCATTTTTCTGAAAGTACGAGAGAAAAATGAAGTTGTTTAAAATTTTTTTATCATTTCTCTCAGGTGATTATGGCGACAAACCGAGCCGACACTCTGGACCCTGCTCTCTTGCGGCCCGGACGACTGGATCGAAAGATTGAGTTCCCAGTGCCGGATAGGCGACAGAAGCGTCTCATTTTCACAACCATCACTGGAAGAATGAACTTAAGTGACGATCTTGACCTAGAGGATTATGTGGCACGTCCAGATCGCATCTCAGGAGCTGACATCAATGCTATTTGTCAGGAGGCTGGTATGCATGCAGTAAGAGAGAATAGGTATATTGTCTTGGCCAAAGATTTTGAGAAAGCCTACAAGAACAACGTCAAGAAAGATGAGTCTGATCATGAATTTTATAAGTAAGATTTATATTGGTATATTATTGTATACCAAGAGTAACAAAATAGTGGTTTGAATGCTGTGGATTAGTTTCATGAACGATTTTGTCTGCAGAATGGAATGTAAGTTTTGATTATTTCAATATAGGATTAAACTCCTTGTATATCGTGCTAACCTCCATCTCGTTATCACCACAAAAGAACTGTACTATGTAGTCTTGCAAGTTTGCAGTTTATAAGATTATATGGTTTATCAGAGCTGTTCTTAATAGTGTTGTGTTTTCTTGATCCTTATTTGACTTAATTTTGAAGTAAGATTTCATTCTGAATTGTATATGTGACTTCACTTGTGCAGCCACAATCTAAACTAAACTGTTGTCTCTGTCTGCTGATCCACAAACCCTGAGATTCAGACTCATGAGCTCAAAGCAGTATTGTCTCTAGATGCTGCGGATTCACAAGTCTGACTTTTGGGGTTCACGGAGCATCAGAAAAGGTAACAGTTTTGTTCACGATTGTACATTATTCTGATATCTTGAGTCTGCTTAGTTCTTTAGTACTGTATTAATAAATGAAAATGGCTGGAGTATCTGCAAGTGAATTTTGAAGGATTCAAATACCTCCCCAAAGAAGCTTGAGATTGAAGTCGAAATAATTTTGTAAGATTAACAATGGTAACAATACAGTACATGCTGAATACAACAATATTGACATGTTAGTGCATACTGGATTTATCACTGTCCATCTCATCTCTCTTCTTTATATATCTTGGATGACTTGTTAACTCTGCTTCCTTCAGGGGTAATCATATGAGGAACCTTCTAGATGATGTAGAATACACTATCAATGATTTCTATCTAAAAAACACATTGTAAAAAATAAATTTTATTAAAAATTCATACACTAATATATTTACACTCACATATTTATTACATTACAATGATTACATGTTGGGAAAATAATTCTGAAAGGTTGAAGTCTTATCTGACATGTCTTGAAGCAGTCAACAAGCTGTAGCAACAATAATTAAGGTGTTGGTAACAACTCGTATAGAGCAGTGATCATGCTAATAAAACTTGTGTACTGTAGTCAGTAGTGCATGCAGTAATACTCGAACACTAACAAACTTCTGTGTATGAAATACGAGCAACTTTAGGGTTACCTCTTACAAAACTTGATATTCTGAAACCAATCGTAAGTGACAACTGAGCAAAAAGAAATAACATAAGCCAGTAAGATATTTTGTATGTCTGATAAATATTAATAGTTGACAAATGTATGTCGAGTGATAAAACTAGTACTGTACTGTACTGTCATTCAAAAACTTTTTGTACAAAATTATGTTAGACAATATGACAACAGAGGAAGGAATTTGACAACCCTGCAGAGACAACAGGAGTCGCATGCTGAAATTCACTGACCCCCCTCCCCACAGAGTATAGATAGTTTTGTTTTGTTTTTGAGTGACTGTACCTAAAGAGTGGCATAGACAAAATTATAACATAATTCATGTGGAGATGAATATCTTCCAGAAAAGTTTGTGATAACTTGAAAATTTGTGGAATAGTGACATGTTCCTGCTGCTGAAGAGTTATGTATAATGATAGAGGCCTTAAGGCGAGTGCTAGAAGTAGGTCAGCAACCTGGGCACCTACCACTTGTATGGTTTATTCATAACAAGAATATCAAGAAAACTAAGTTACCTTTGTAAATGTTATGATATCAGTGTCGATTTATGCAGCACAGCCTTGCAGTGTAACAAGAACCTGGGAATAAAAATGGAGTGAAAAATTCATTAAGTAATTTGTGTGATGGTGACGAGTAACGATGGTGCAAACATTATGGTAATGAGGTAAGTATTATCACAAGGAGGGTATGGTGGCCAAGCTAGAACCTAGCCTCTGTTGGCACCAGCCACCATGTAATGTCCTTCAGATTTAACTGTTACTTGGTTCACGACAAAACCAGGTCAAGGTGCAAATATTTCAATGGAAGTTACGACGGGATGAGGGTATCCAGTGGCCTGACTCACTAAGGTATAAGAGCGTAGACACTGCTGAATATCATAGCCAGTAAAGTGAACCATTTGATCGAGGATATATACCCAAGACCAAACCCAGTGGCTCTAGGAATACAAGACCACCACTGCTCATGAACCATACGGAGGTCAACAAAGGCGTAGGTTAGGTCAGACGATGAGCAGGACAGGAGGATGTATGCAAGATCCAGGAACTAAGCTAAGTCAGAGTGAAGAAGGGCTGAAAAGGAGTTTCCAGAGGTTTTGTTTCAAGTAGGGGTAATGGACGTGAGGCTTTAAGATGTTATTTATGCAGATTCTGACCAGGACAAAGCAGAGGCATTTAACAGTTTCTATTCCTCGGTGCTCAGAGGATGCGAACAATCTTCCTGCGTTTGAGGACAGACGGTTCGACACAGCGCTGACCCACTTTGTGTTTACAGAAGTAGTTATAAGAAATAAATTGTCAAAGCTAAAGGTTTATAAGAGTCCCGGCCCTGACATGGTGCATCCCAGAGTGCTAAGAGATGTGCAACGAGCTTGCTGAGTCCCTGAAGAGCCTGTTCTGTAAATGCCTGGATGAGCTGAAGGTTCCCAGAGATTGGAAAATGGTTTGTGAGTCCTATCTTCAAGAAGGGCGATCGTGACTCCACGAATAACTATAGACGAGTGAGCCTGACCAATATAGTATGTAAAGTACTTGAGAGCATTATAAGAGATGCCATGATGGAACATCTACTACGAAATAACCTTGTAGAGGATTGCCAACACGGTTTTATGCTGGGACGCTTTTGTTTAACACAATTATCGAAGGTACTGGATGTTTGGACTCAAATTCTGGAACAAGGTGGCGCTATCGACAATATATACCTAGATTTTGCCAAGGCTTTCTACAGTGTACCCCATGAAATGCTGAAAATTAAACTGGAAGCGTATGGGATTCGGGGAAGTGCCCTACTGTGGATCGGAGATTCTCCATGATTGCAAGCAGTGTGTGGTGATTAATGGCACAAAATCGTCATGTGTTCCCATGACAAGCGGGGTACCATAGGTCAGTGTATTGAGCGTGCTGTAGTTTGTGTGCTTCATAAATAACATGCCAGAAGCTATACTAAAGACGGGCATGGGGAGACGTAATTGAGGTGTGTAAATATTTCAAAGGGCACTACTCAGTCGAGTGCCCTTACCTGGAGGCTGTAGCTGGCGGACGCCCGCCCCACAAGGGGTTGCAGCTCAAGGTTGAAGAAGCCACAAGCCCAGAAAACTGTGAGGATTAACTTTTTTGGAGTGAGAGTTGTGAACTCTTGGAACAATTTGCCAGAGTTTTGTGACTGCACCGAGTGTGAGCTCTTTCAAGACCAGACTTGACAAGCACTGGAGCAGGTTCAGATACATTCAGGAGCCAGTGCATGCCCAGTACTGGCCAACAGAGACGTGACCAAGCAGCTAACGAGCCGATCAGTGGCGAAGAGGATAAAAGTAAAAGTAAAAAAGGTTTGGTTATGTATGTTATGTTAGATTAGATTATATCTGATTAGGTTATGTTTGGTCACAATAAATTCAGTTAGGTTTGGTTAGGATAGGTTAAGATGGTGAGTTTAATTGTGTTAGGTTCCACTCCTATTTCTTAAGTGATGTGTTTTATTTCATTATATCCATTTTTTGGCAAAGAAAAACCCTGTTATCATGCACATGCACATTTTAATAGCTAGACAACATACATAATATATATGGTGAACGGAAATGAAGTCACATGACTTGTACACAATGATAACACAATATACTGTATATATGATGGCATTGCACGTAGGTTAGATTAGATTTTTTCCCTGCCTTTTTTTCTGGATTCAATTTATATCTATGCCTTAATTATATTTGTGAAATAACAGTACTAAATGGACATAGGCAGACATAAAGACAGAGATAGTGGGAGAGAGAGAGAAAAAAGGGAAAGTGAGTGTGCTGTGATGATTCGTCTGGTAATCCAGTGTGGTGTGTGGAGTACGGTATACGGAAACAAAGCAACACAAGGATTCGGAATGTGAGAAAGTTATTAAAGTGAGGTGAACACGGTAGTGATGTGGCGTGAGGGGGAAGAAGGCGTTGGTGGGATGCTGACGTCCACAAATTTGGTAAGGGAGGAGAAGGAAGACTAGTACCCGCCCCCCTGCCAGCTACAAGGCCACAACACTCGCATATCGACTCACAGTTTATACCTGTGGTTGCTGTTGCACTTGTTAGTAGATAAAACAATTTTGATATTGCTCACTTAATAATCACTGAGGACTGGCTACTACCCAACTCCAAGTACAGAGGAAATTTGTTTTCGTACATCCTCCATAGATATTAAATACAGTGTGTGTGTGTGTGCTTTCTTTTACACTTTCCACGATTTTGAAGACAGCTGAAACTTGGTAGGGAGGTGTTGGGACGTGGAAAAAGTGGGGGTAAAGATGAAACTGATCAGATTCAACTCGACCTTCCTCATTACCCCGGATGTAAAGTTGCACCCAGTTACAGCAGAGTGGACTCGGGATCGAACCAAAGTCTTTTAGAACAGGAGATGATTGCTGTATCCATTTCGCTGATGCACCCACATCTAGTTGACGATGACTGTGCCAAGTCTAAATAATTTGTATGAGGCAGTAACATGAGTACCCCGCTGGTTATTTGGCCATTTTGGTTTCAGGAAATCGTTATATATAATGTTACATGCCTTTATTGTGTAGGGATTTTATACGTGTTTATAACTACATGGTTGTAAAGGGTTTATATTCCAGTTCAATGTCAGCTGGAGCTGTGTTGCTCAATGTTGGATTTGTTCTCTGTACCTGAAGCAGTTGCTCATGGGTGGTTCGAACCGAGTCATAGGGCGGAGTGTAACCGTATGGCTGGTTGGTCACTTGGCTCCCTTCCTTTGACCCAGTTGGTCATCTGCTACCTGTGTCATTATTCCCGTGTTTATTCCATATTATTTATTACAGTTTTTGGTTTATGGTTCCTATGGTGTTATTTGCGTTTTAAGGGTGCCTTGTGTAATGAATTGTGTAAATATAATAGCATGTTGATAGTTACTACTAAAATAATAGGCACTACTCTAAATGGACTGTATTGTTGCAGCTTTTTATTCATGGTCACGGTGTGAACTGCCGCACTCCGAGCCTGTATGTCAGCACTCCAGCTAGAACACTTGTCAACCCTAGCCTCTGTGCTGTTCCCCCTGGTCAATTATCAAGTACCTGTGCCGGTTAGGAGGATACTTGCGCTCCTGTGAAGTTGTTGAGAAGTCTACACTCCCGACATTTGTTCCGGCAGGCAGACCGACACTTCCTTACCACATGCTTATGTTGCTCTGTACGTTCTTCATGCCGATTATCGGTGTAATACTTGTGATTGGACATCTTTTGTTACAAATATCCAGTAATCTTGTTCAATATCCTTGGTGAAAGCAAAAGTGTTCCACCTGCCAGTAATCTTTAAAAAAACGGTCAGGATTATTTGATTTTACTCTTGATTAAGAAGCATTTTTTTATCATTCCCTTTTTTACGGAGTTGTGTTTTGCAATCTTGAATTATGTGTTTTCACTGGTTTCAAACGATATTATCTTCTCTAGATGTACAAGTTAACATAACCGGTAGTTAAGGTGGGTTACAGTTTCCAGGCAACTTCTCTCATTTTGAAGCAGGTTCTGTGATGTTGTTTAACCTGTGTGTGGCGCCAACAAGGTCACAACCCACACACGCTTACCCTAAAAGCAGCTTAGATTAATACAACTCGCAACACATGCTTTTAATAACCTTATTTCTTTTTACATTCACGGTAGAAAATTTCAATAATTAATGGTCTTTGTAAAGAGTTTAAACTATATTATCAAGTCCTAGCAGCAAAATACTGACATCTCGTAGGATAAAAAGAAAACAAAGTGACTGCATTGTTTGGCTACAGTCCATTCCATTTCCTCTTCCAAATATATTTTATTGAACATCCATATGAATTATATTAACTACAGACTAACATAAAGTTGTTCGTTTAGGGATGAGGCTACAAGACAAACTAGCGTAAAATCTGTGCTAACTGGCCAAGTCCAAAGCTCACTTAGATAATTATACCGACACACACAACCCCAAAAAGCATTTAGAACGTAGACCAAGAAGACGAAGAATCCGTATAGGAGTGGAGGAACATTTGTGCAGAAAAAAAATTAACGGTGAAGGCTGAACAGCTCGACCAGCTTAGTGGAAATTACACATCTATAGTGAGAGACCTTTGTCTGACACGCCAGGCAAGAGCCATAACAATTGGATGATGATGATTAGAATGACTGATGATGATGAGTTATGATAATAATGATTACTATAATGATGACGACAACGATATTAATGCAACATGTTTATTATTCTCGCCACAGGTGAAGGTTATCTATGGTGTAAATTATACAAAAACACTGTAATAAGTAAATAATGGTGTCCCAACTGGTAAAACATCCTGTAGGTTAGGTTAAGGAACTGAACATCAATAGTTACAGGTAAAATGGCTGATATGAATGTAACGAAGAGTTCGGTTTATGTATGTAACGCATCGTTAAGGCGTGGCCTCAGGGCATGTAGTAGTCTTCAATGACTTAGTAAGTAAATGAACACAAGAAGGGCCAGACCCGTGTAGAATAGAATGCCCATGTTATGAAAACTACGCACTAATACTTTTACATCTGTCTAATGAAAATCTTTACCTTGTACTGAGAATATAGTAAGTGTGAGTGGTGAGTGTGTCGACTCTACCAGGTAACATTGACTCAGCCGTGTACTGGGAACTAACACTCACACCGTCACTAAATTACAGGCGCCATTTTATCTCGTTCTCTACCCCTTCTCCGATACCCCAGCTGTAGTCTTCCGTGTGTTAAAATGTAGGTATGTGCATGTTCCTGGGTGTAAGTGGGAACGCACGTATGACTGGTGGTTTGTTGTTCTTCACCAACCTGTTTATTATCTCGGATGTGGGCGGCGGGAGTGGCAAATCATACCTGCCTGATCACCACACCTTTTCTACCCGCTTCTCCCCCACACCCCCGGCCCCAGCTTCCTTAACGGGAATCTTTGCACCTGCGGCCTCCTCCTCCTCCTCGACAACCTCCTCACCCGCCCACCACACTAACCTCCATCCAACTCCTCCCACCACCAGTCCACTCCGGCTCACCACCACGAGCAGTATACTTGGCGTCCAACTCTCCAAGATGTCATCCCTCGCTTCATTATTGGTACGTTGTCATTCTTATTGTCTTATTGTTGACCTGTTTATGTTTTAACACACACACACACACACACATTTATATATATATTGTAGCAAAGAAATGTGTTGGACAATATACTGTAATTAGTATGTCAGTACTTATTGAATATTTTTTTGGCTGATCACACATGGTTAGATGATTTTGCTTGGAATGTGAAGGTTAACAAGAGGATTTTAGGTCATTATCAGAAAAGCTCCGTATTTCTCCATCCCTCGTCCACCTTGGCGCCACGTGCTGTGTCTGTCTTTACTTTGTCCTTGTTGATGAAGATTGTATTAAATTTACCCAAGTTACAGGTACCGATCCACTTATAAAGTATCGTGAGTGAAAAATAAAAACATTTCTTCCCTTTCCGTATTTAAGAATATAATGAACTGTCCAACTAAAACAACACAGGAATATGTTACCCTAATCGTGGGTTCCTGGGTTTTCAATGAGGAAAATTAACCTCCAACGACCTGATTACTGGAGCGAGATGTTATCGGTATAGGTAGTTCATGAAAACGACAACTAGTTTGAGAAGGCGGTGTTCGACAGACGACAAAAGCAGTCGTAACTCCACAACAGATAGTGAGTCAACGGAGTCGAGGGAATCTGAAACACTTTGTTCCTGGAAGTTGCCTCAAAATCTATCGCTCACCGACACTATTCGACAAAGGTGTTTGACATATAATGTTCTGGTCAGTGTTGACTTACTTTTAGTGATCTTCAGAGGTGTCTTTATGATCTAGTAGTAGAGAGATGTGCTAGTACCGTAAGGGTGAACTTGATCAGGTGTAGTGCTGCCCATAGCTGCCTCTGACGCCGACCTGCTGCTGCCGTGTTGACGTTACTCTGCTGCCTCGCTGACATTAACTTGCTGTTTTGCTGACATTATCCTGCTGCCTCGCTGACATTAACTTGCTGTTTTGCTGACATTATCCTGCTGCCTCGCTGACATTACCCTACTGTTTAAATATTAGTATCTTCATTCTTCGCTAACATGTGTGTTGAATCACTGATGTTAAACTGTTAGCTCGCTGACATCCTGATACAGCCTCATTAAGTCATTATATAGTTTCTAGACTCTAGATGTTGTTCCATTGACATCTTTTGTCTCCTAAGGCTTGCGAGAGAGTTGACTAAGGCTAAAGGGGTGGGTGAGTCAGGAGGAAGCTAACCTTGTTGCTGACATGAGAACCCTGTCTGTGTCCTCCCGCCGTGCAGGACACACCCCTGACATGCTGTTGCCTGTGTGCCCTGCTCCACGCCGTGCAGGACACACCCCTGACATGCTCCTGCCTGTGTGTCCTGCTGCACGTCGTGCAGGGCACACTCGTAATGTCTCCTTTCTGCGCCTCGCTTGTACAGGTATGCAGTACACAATGAAGGAGAAAGCTGTTGACGTCATTTACAAAGATCAAACATGACAAATGTGATTTCTCTTTCATTTACTCTGCAGGAATTACTTCATCTTGAGCTGCCCCGTAAATATGGATCATCATACGCTGAAAAAAAAGATACTAGATTCTAAAGAATACCTTTCAGAATTTTAGAAACTTAATGTTTTGAAAGGTGTGTGTGTGTGTGTGTGTGTGTGTGCGCGTGCGTAAACGCGTGGTGTGTCACGGACTGGCTCGTGGCCAGTTGTGGGTCAGTGGTCGCTGGCTGTGGAGAGGGAGAAACTTGCCTTACCTGTATGCTGACCATATTTGGTTGTACTGTTCTGCGGCTCTTTTGCCCCCCCCCCCTCCCTCTCCCCCAGCACGAGGCTAACACCTTTTGCTCTCGTGAAAACAGAATGTCTTGCTTCACAGGGCTCAGAACAATGTCTTATATCTAAAGAATAAGAAAAGTTATTTCTATTATTGTTCATACTAAAGGTAACTTTATACAGTAGTTACTCAGATGAAGTTTTATCTGACCCGTAACTCATACACGCATAAGAAATACATACAGGAGAAGTGACGTGTGTACAGTATCATACAATAGGCTACAAGACCAACACCGTCTACCACGTTTTAACTTTTTACTTTTATCCTCTTAGGCGGTCGGTTACGTCAAAAACACATAACTAACTTGGTAATGCGCCGATACAATTTGCATCTCTCAGCAATATTCTGGCATTCTCTGACAATAATATCTCTTTTTTTATACTAATTACATAAAAAAATTATCTTTGGCAAACGTAAATCAGTTAGTGTGAGTAGCAGTGGGTGCTGAACCTTGACCGGGCCAGAGAAACTTAGTTCCCCTAGTTTGTTGTTAGCAAGATTCACTTTCTTCTCACATTGATCTGAGAACTTCACTTCATTATTAATATTAACATCCAGATATTTGCTCCCCCCCCCCTTACACACACATACACACCAAAAAAAAAGGTATCCGTTTAAGTCGCACAGTAAGTATGTATGGACCGATTTCTCAGAGTTCTTCTACAAATGTCCTATTACTAGTATTCTTCTTGTCAGTTTCGTCGGTTTTGTACTTGCGATATACTGCTTTGATTATCCTTATACAATTATTATTTTACTTATTTTCAGTTCCATGGCGTCTGCGTAGTTTAAGAGAGGTTAAGCTGCCTGCCATATGTGGAGGCCAGGGATTTGATACCCGGCCTGGTTTGGAGACGGGATTTGGCTGAATCAATGGGAATTGAGTTTACGTTTTTATTTGCTAAATATTTATTTGTATGTGACTGGTGATTCTGTGCGGCAGATGGTGGTGTTGGCGGCGTGTGTGGTGATGCAGGTGTCATGTCGTCCACGTACTCCTGAAGCTCCCGCCGTGGAGGTTGTTGACGGCGACGGTAATGTTGTGTCTCATCAGCCTATCCCCAGCGAGCAGTACGGATACATCGTGGGCGACCTACAGGTGTGGTCTCATGACATTGACATCAGTCGGCCCAGGTAAGACTCGAACTGAAGCTGCACTGCTGTACGAGTGTGTAATTATGAATGATAACATTAATAAATCTTGAGTCATGATTTAACGCTTTATTGAAAGAAGAAATGCCAATATTGTCAACCATAAAATAATAAGAATCAACCTTAAACAGGCGTTATTAGATAAAGTCGACATTCCTAAAATACATAATTATGGTTTATTACTTTACGTAGTAAGTTTGACTAATTTGACTTGTAATTATAGAAAACAGATCGAAGTTTTCACAACACTTATTAGATAAATGCAACCGCTTGTTCTTCTATCATATATATTTTATTTTTAAATTACATCTACTGTACAACTTTTACACAGAAGCCCGTTTAAAAAGTCCCTGTTTGTTAAGGTAGTCTCTGTTGTCAGGCCCAAGAAGAAGAAACCATCAGGTCCCAGAGCCTCGGCCCTGATATCTGGACCGGCGGAGACCTCCCTGAACGTGGGCCCCGGGACAGCCGTGGGCGCTGAGCTGGCCATCGGGTCGTCGCCTGCTGTCGCTGTCTCCGGCGCCACCCTTACCTTCAACACTCCTGCCCAGGTCGTCCCTGTTGTTGGACCCTAGCCTTCAACAGCTATTCTGCAGTTCACTGAAGCTCCATACTATCCCTCCTTAAATAAACTGAAGCTCTATTCTATTCTCCCAGTTCACCAAGTTCCACTTTATTCCTCTTCCAGTCTGTTAGGGGCTCCCTCACAAGACTATTGCCCGTGTAACAGAGCCCTATCAGCCTAGCTTAGTTAGTGCTTTAAGCCGGCCCCAGTGAGAGGCAGTTCATGAGCAGATGAAATAATTTACCAATGATAAATTTTTTAGTTGAAAATTTTATAAATACAGATTCAACTAATTATCGAATTTGAAAAGATATTTAACAACACTTTCTTATATAAATCAATAAATAACTGAAGATATCCCCAACTTGAGAATTTCCCTGTTGGTAGTTTTGGAGGCTTCATTCGTAACGATGGTATTTTTTTTTTATGAAAATATATAGTGATGTCGTAGTTCCGAATGAAATCTTTAAATGATCTCCATAAAATAAACAAGTTTTCTGATGGTGAAAATTAGTTGTGATAAACAAAATATACCTGTATGTGTAATGTCAAAAAAAATGGGGGCATTTAGGACAAGCTTCGCAGCTACGGAATTTTACAGTAGTGGCCATTCATATTCTGATGCTGTCATGTATTTAGTCTCGGAGTAGGAGTAAACCAACGCTGATTGTAATGTGTCCTCTGCTGTGTCCACCATGTGATATATTATGTCCAATAAACAATGATCACACCCTACATCTTTTATTCATTTTTTCAATTTCAATTGTTTATTCCCTGATAGAGGAAGCGGGATCCTAGTGCTGTCACGAGGTGCCCCTGTACAATGACACCAGAAGAATCTGGCAAGTGTGACAAGTATATACAGTATAAATATTATAAAGGGGATTACTAAAGCCTAAGGAAGGAAGGATATTCCTTTAACACATAATCAATATTATTTACAAAATATCTGGCCAGTATGGGGAGGATCATCGTGTCTCTGTCAGGGGGTCGTGGAGTGGTGGTCCAGCAGATCTTTTATTTACTTGATTTTTCATCTTGTGTTCAAAATCCTAGATCATCTCCGAATGTCCCACGTATTAAGCTTGATATTGTATCAAAAATATTCTGTATGTATAGATTATCATATCTGATGGAACTAAGCATTTCAATAGAAGATGGTAACGTTAGATTGACACCAGTCGTTGACACAGTGGATCGTGAAATACTATGTGAAAAACTGCAAGCTCTTGTCATTGAATCTGCTGACTGGTTAATAAATCTTAATAAATAATACCGAGTCAACACCCGACCGTCATCCTGTGGAGTCATACAGGACAATAGCTGAGGACCATTGCTCTTCTTTTGCTATGTAAATGCCATGCTCATTAGTGGTAACTCCAACATTGCATTTGTTGTTTATAGAAGTGTCGTTTTAGTGTAGGGGAAAGATCTAAATGATATAGCTAACAAGTTATCAGAACTGGAGTCATGCAAACAGTGGCTCATAGACAACAAATTATCCCTACATCCTGGAAAGACTGAAGCAATGTTATTTGACAAAAAAAAAATATATAAAATCAGTACCCTGTAAGTGAATTTAATGTTTTGTGTGGTAATGAAGTGAACCAATCTCTACTGTAACCTCGGTGAAATACCCAGCCAGAGCTTATTCAGAGCTCATTCTTGACTCTTACAGAATTAATTGTAGAACAAATATTAAATACAAGTAATGTTAAGCCCCGATGTGGGTCAGTGACCTGTGCCCGGGTGGGCTAATTCCCGTAAAAAAAATAAAAGAAAAATCTTTCTAGAAATGCTAAATGTCTCTGATGATGCCCATACAACCACTTGGTCACCATATATCGTTTTTAATACCTGCACTGTCTGTATATACATTGTTCGTATATTCACACTTTCTATGTACAGTGCGTAACTGAATTAATGTAAGTTTGTATGACGATTTTAATGAATAAATGTCTATCTATGTATATATCTCGGGCCATAATCGACTTACTATTTACCATTGCGTTTCTGCTCTTTTGTTTTAGTATAAATACTAAACCAATGTGATTTTTAAGTAAGTTTTACAATATAAATTAATACAAATATATCCGTGTGTATTCAGTAATTCATTTTGAGTTTACCGCTAAAGGTTTAAAGGCTCTGGCCTGGTCTACTGCAGCGCCATCTTGTCTTGCTTACATTATCATCCCTGTGGACTCTTTAAAAGGGATTTACATCCTTATGCTATTATATTTAGAGGATTTCTTTGTGATTAACGACCAGCAGCGTTAATTCCCCGAGAGGTAAGCTATGTTGATTAGGTGCAATTAATTTTAAAAGGGGTATTTTCCCGCCACTGCCATCACCAGGTCGTTATGTTACTGACAACAACACCTGTAGTGAAAATAAGTCACGTCTAACAACACCTGCGACCTGCCTCTGTCACCCTCAATACATGTCCCCCATCAGATGTCAACACTTGGTGCCTCTTGCCTCCATCAACACCTGCCTCCCTTTAACACCTGTCTTCCTCATCACAACTGTCCCCCTCAACAGCTACCTCTCAACTGTCTCCCTCAACCATGGAGGAGGACGTCTCTACTCTCTCCTGGGTCATGCCATCAACATTCGCCTCTAATAAATACACTGACTTTGGCTAGATGTAAGTGATATAATATTAATTAACCTGTTTTGAGTCACAGATGCAGTGAACCCTATATGGCGAGAAAAGTCCTTTGTCTCTGTAGAAGATATCCTCAGGTTGATTTATTTAAGTAATTTAACCAAATAAAATATTCCAAGAAAGCTGTGGATCACCTGAAGAATAATTTTCACCCCAACTTATGTCACACAACCTAACACTGCTTGGTGGGCAGACTATACAATGCTAGTTACTAAGATGACCTTTCTGACTAACCTAACCAAACCATCAACAGGGCCGCCGTACCAATTTCCAATACATAATGAGAACTTTGTGAAGTATCAGATAATAAGCTAACAACCATGGTCCAAACGTTCACCATTCGTAGTGCATCACTGAGATACTTATGGGTAATAATAATTTACAACAGGACCCATGACAAGGAGCAACTGAGGAAAAAATTCTGTAATAGAAAAATAATTTACCATTTAAATATCAAGAAAAAGCTTGGAGGAATTACAACTTTTCTACTTTTGGTTTTGATTGTTGCTCGCTGAACATGAAGTTACCCGGCCCAGGATGGCAGTGCATTATTTTAGGTTAGGTTAGGGTGTTATTTTGGTTTATGTCCTCTTTGTACTCCCATTATGACCTAACCTAACCAAACCTAGCCTGTTCGGAAATATTCGCCATTTGCTTGCTTAGCATTGGAAAGCACATAATAAATTTAACCATAAATATGGCATCCACATGTGGGTTTGGACTCTTCTTATGTAGACCTCTTGCACAAGGTGTCAATGCAAAATGCTTATTTAAGTATAATGTTTATAATTATTTCATATTATAAGTGAACCAAGATTAGGCCATTAGCATTGTACTGAGTTTAATTATTTTCTTGGGTTAGGTTCGGTTAATTTACCAATATTTGTAAACCTAACCTGGCTTCTGTAAGTGTGTTTATGCCTAATCAATGAAAACTTTTATGATAATCTTGAATAAATAAATACCTGCATCTACCTACCCAGAGAAGATTCCAAGACCTGTGTAGAAATTAATTAATCTTGAGCTTGTTGTGTAATATATTCACTATAGTTATTGAACCCTTTAAATTTTATCACTAACTCTAATATTAATTTCTATTTGCAGGAACATGAGAGAAAAAATTGGTGGAAAAGTACAGCTCGAGTGTGTGATTTGTGGTGTTATGTTGCCGTCGGTTCACGACTACCACCAACACAACATTCGTCACCACTCGGCGGACCAGCTCTCCCGCGCCATCCTCAAGCTCAGAAACTTACAGGTGTCATTTAATGATCTACCCACAGGAGACGATGATTGGACTAAAGGAAGAAGGATGATCAAAGTTGAAGATGAGGTTGATGATGGTCAGGAGATTCATCTAGATATGACTGAAGCATTAGGTAGGGGATATAGATCTACTGTACTTGTGAACTGTTCTCATCCTAGATTGTGTGAAAGAGTGATGGTGGTGTAATGGAAGGGATTAAGTGCTTCACCTTGTAGATTACGTTTATATTATTTCTCTTCTTCTGTACTGTACATCACAAGTTCACTAGAGTCCTCATGTTCTTGTGCCTTATCCCCACTTTAACACTACCAGCTACACGACACTCACCACAGGCCTTTCTTCTGGAGGCTGGTGGTCCAAGATCAACAGGCAATAATTCTAATGCAATGTATTGTGGGTGTGTTATACTGGACAGTCAACTACTGTACTAAATTCTGTTTGCCTCTCCCCCTGAACCACGAATCCCTGAGAAATTCAGACTCATGAATGCAAAGCATTTATGAACAGAATAATGTGTCAGTCTACTGCTTCTTCAGGTTCATGAGTCTGTATCTCAGGGTTTTGTGGTTGAGGGGGAGAGGGGATGAACTTTAGTAATTGACAGTACAATACATTACTGTTACATTACAGTACAGTACGTGTACAGTGAAACATCCATGTAACGGACTTCTCTTTCTACACAATTCGTTAGATGGGGTTTCACGTCTAATGGACCCTCGACATAAAAGTCTTTCCTCTCCATATTGTTCATTAAATAGAGGTTTCACTGTGTATTTATTGATGGAAGAGGATTACTTAGTGTATTAGTGTGGTATAGAATTTTAATTTCTCTTGTAGGGCTCCCTCTTAAGGTAGACCTGATGGATGAGGAGGTGATTGAACTCGGACCGACGGACAACGCCGATCATTTGCAGGTTCAGAGTCGTCTGGTCAAGAACTCACAGGAGAGGAGACAGCAGTCGAGACAGGTGATAGAGGTGAAGGAGAACCACCCACCGCCCTGTTATATCAACCCTGCCATCGAAGATCCTGATGCTATTGTTGTCAAGTGAGTTAAATCACAGTTCTCCGCCTGAGTGTTTATGCCCATTATGTCTAATCTGAAAATGTCACTTATTCCCAGAATGTCTTACTGTCAGTTAATGATGACCTTACCTTACCTTACCTTACCTTACCTTACCTTACCTTACCTTACCTTACCTTAACTTACCTTACCTTAACTTAACTTACCTTACCTTACCTTACCTTACCATACCATACCATACCATACCATACCATACCATACCATACCATACCTTACCTTACCTTACCTTACCTTACCTTACCTTACCTTACCTTACCTTATCGGCCATATAAAATATACAGTACTTCACCATCACTACAGTACTTCACCATCACTACAATACTTCACCATCACTACAGTACTTCACCATCACTACAGTACTTCACCATTACTACAGTACTTCACCATCACTACAGTACTTCACCATCACTACGATACTTCAGCATTATATTTTGTACATGTTGTTTTCATGTGTTTTGGTGTATACAGTAAAACCTCCATATAACAGACTTTTCTCTCCATGTACAGTATTACATTAGACTGGAGGTGTCACATCTTGTGGACCCTTGATGTATATAATGGAATTTCATCTCTTTTTAGTTTGTTAGATGGAGGGTTTTACGTCCAACAGCCTCCTCGATATCATGGAATCTTCTCTTCATGTACTGTATAGTCCGCTAAATAGAGGTTTCGCTGTATTGCATTTGTCTGTATTCAAGACCGCTAAGTAAGATAAATAAAAACTAGACGGAAAATTTTTTAAAACATTTTAAAATGGATCTCTTAGTTATTGCTATTTTGTTTTCAGGTTCAACAGAGAACTGGTCATGGCACAAGACAGCAACAGTCGCCCATCTGTATGTCCTGAAGATTATCCAAGTAGTAGTAGGAAGAACAGGCCCATTAATAGGCAGATGAGAGCAGTCGTCAAAACAACTATCGAGATTCCCAACCCAGATGCTTTCATTATGGACTACAGGAAGGCCATGTCTCGGTCCAACGATAAGTACGTCATGAAGAACGTTAACGTGATGGACTCTCCTCAGAAGAAACGACGAGGGCGACCCAGAAAGGTTCCACCGGAAAGCAGCAGCGTTTACGTGCCGGCGACAGTGACACGGAGGAAGGCGGTGGGAGGCGAGTCTGAGTTTTCCGAAGAGGATGATGAGGATGACTTAGAAGCGTTAGCAGATCCTCCTCTTTTCTCTGATGATGAGGACGAAGAAGCTTCTGCTGTCATCCCCAATATTACCCGAACGCGGTCCGGAAGGGCTATCAAAATCAAGAAAGAAGACGGCACGTTTAAGTACTACGACATGCCCGGCAGACACCAGTGGGACATGGAGACTTTGAGCGGCTCGAATGACTGGGATGAGGAGGCGGCTCCTCCCACATTGGTTAGAGGAAGAAGAGGAAGAAAACGCAAACTGGTGAATGAGTCGGCTGCAGTGGCTCCTGAATCAACGGGCAATAGTGACATCAGTAATAGTGCTCACGTTAAAAACAGCGAATCGACATTATTGGTCGATATTAAGCGAGAAAATTTAGATGACTGTAGCATTGACAATTTAATGAAGGAAGATCTGAGTATGCCAACAACTGATCAGATCGTGGAAGATTCAAACGAATTTGATAAATCCTCAATATCAGAAACATTTAACGGCTACGAATGTTTTTTGTGTTTCAAGACATTTAACTTTAAGGAAGACTGTGAAAAACACATACACGAACATCTTCGGAAAGTAGTCGCCGACAGCAGTGACGCCACCGTAGCCAGTAGTTCACACACGTTCGACGAAAAGTTATCCGATGACTGCGACGATGTAAATATAAAAGATGGAAATAACGCATCATTACTTTCATCTAAAGGAGGCGAAACTATTGCAATAAACGTAAATGAAGACTCGGTAAAATCCGAGTATAATTCCTCGGCGAATTTAGGTACTCAGGATATCAAATGTACCGGTAATGAATCTTTTATTTGTTCTGTATGTAATGAAGACTTTCATTCCCAGACCGCCCTTCAAGAACACACTCACGAAAGTGTATGTAAATGTGACTTGTGTGGGAAGAAATACCAGAACAGGATCAGTCTACAAACTCACATCAAGAGGTACCACGAAGACACCGACTGGATGAAATTCAAGTGCGCAACTTGTGGAAAGAATTTTGGTTTCCTGACGGCCTTGGAGAGACACATGAAGGAACATAACCCCAATCAGAAGTTTTGCTGCGATCAGTGTGGGAAGGTCTTCAAATCCCTGACCAATCTTAAGAATCACATTCCATTGCATACTAAAGATGAAGTTTATGAATGCCCTTATTGCCCCAAAAGGTACTACATTAAGTATAGCTATGACAAACATTTGAGAACTCATCTCTGTGCTCCTAAATTTCATTGCGAGGTTTGCGACAAAAATTTTAGTGAAAAGAAGCATTTTGCCATTCATTTAAAAAGACATCAGACTGGAGGAAGTTTAGGAAGAAGTAAAAATTTTAAGTGTAATAATTGTGGAGATATTAAGACTCCTACTGAATTAGATATTGTGAGTGAGGCTGATTCAGGCCACCACAAGAAGTGCTTGGAGTGTGGCAAGGGACTCTATAAAAGATTCATGATTGAAAATATGGACACGTCATCATTGCTGACCAAAACTGACAAACCAAGAGAGCAGTGCAAAATATGTGGAAAATTCGTACTTAATCTCCACAGGCACGTCAAGTACACACACCTAGCCAACGAGTATGTACCTTGTGACGCGTGCGGAGTGGTAGTCACTAAGGGATCGTTGCCAGCTCACAAAAACCGAAAGCATGGAGGTTCTGCAGTCATGTGTGATCACTGTAACAGAGTTTTCAAAAACATAATGTGTCTACGGGAACACTTGACAAAGGTGCGAAGAAAAGAAGACCCAACCAAGAATATTTGCAAGTTTTGTAAAGAGGTGGTTGCTCCTGACGTCTGGAAAGAGCACATGATGAAACACACGACAAAATGTAATGACTGCGGAGCCTCGAATTTCCCAACTCACGAAGAGTTTATGGCTCACATCGAGTCGTGTCGAAGGTGCAGTAATTGTGGCATGACTGACTTTACCTCACGAGGGGACTTCTTGGCTCATATTGAAATGTGTGGCAGCAGCATCGACATAATGACCGGCACTTTAGATTCCTCAAACGACCAAGAGGTCGTAACAAGTATATTTGCTATAGTAGACGAAAGCACGTGCTGCGAAACATGTGGAGAGGTGTTTGAGGACCAGAGTTCTCTGGCTCACCATATCACAGAAGCTCACCCTAATGCCCTTTCATCTGGCCACATACTTGATCAGAGTGCTATGATTAATGAGGCCATCTTGTATGCTTGTCCTCAGGATGCATGTGGGGTTATTGTTGCAAGTAAGGAACTCTTGAAAGATCACGTTATTACTGTACATAATCTTGATAATTTCACTCAGTAGCTGTGTTCAGAATTGTGGTTTAATAATGACAGATGTAAATAATTATGTATTTTGATAGTAATATAATTGTACAATTATACAATAATACAAATTTATTATGAATTGTTATAATTTAATGAGTTTACAAGTAATTTTTTTGGATACAGAAATCTTACATGTAATTGAATTCAAATAATAAAACTCCCAGAATAGTTCAAAATCTTTGTCCTTTAACAGGTTCATATATCATACTGTGTGAGAGGATAATGCTAATATATACTGTATCAGTGTTTATGGACAAAATTAATCAGTGGCTCAGGTAACATTTACGATAGCTGATTCTGTAAGGATTGTGTTTTGGGGAACCTTGAGTTATGACAGACGAGCTATTTTACATCACATCCTAGATACACTACAGGTTCCTGCCTTCAAGGACCCTCTGAACATGGACCAAGTGTGCACATATCAGAAATTGTATACATTTGTATGTACAGTCAATCAAAAAAGTATTTGTACTTGAAGGGGGTGATCGATGAATTTCTGAATGAACACTGTGACTCCCGTTGTCTTGGTAGGATTGCCAAAATTCTTCATCCTTTGTGTCATATTTTCAAACAATTTTGTAAGGGTAGTTTTTTGATTGACTATACATTTACTCTCAGGAAGGTTTTATGTATATATATATATATATATATATATATATATATATATATATATATATATATATATATATATATATATATATATATATAATTGACATTAGTTTTGTAATGAGGTGCTATTTAGGTTGGAAGATTTTGAATGTTACCTTTGAGGACCTTGTACTGTGTAATCTCACAATTAAAACAAAGCAATAGGGAACAGAATTATACTTAAACTGTATAAATAAATAATTGCAGTAATATATTTATTGTATTATTTGTCTATTACCCATATTAATTTTTGGTGTGCTTCCCAAGATTTACCAGAGGAAGGAAATAAGTTCTTCAAACAAGGCTGTCTCTATATTTCGGGGATAAGAAAATATAAGCAAAAATGAGAATTACCTTTCAGTAACTTTCCTTCACTATAGATTATTAACTTATTTTTGTATTTGAATGATTAAAATAGGGAAACAGTTAAAAGATTGTGATAAACCTGTGTCTCGGAGAAAACAATTTAAATGATAATATAATGCATTGAATCAGAGGATACACAAATTTTCTTGTTTAATGTCTGAAAACTCATGCTGGGTGTCCCTCTCACAAACATATATTGATATAAATAGCATTAGCCCCCAAGGAAATTTTTTGGGAGTGAGAATCGGCTAGCGAGCCGATCTTTTGGTGAAGAGGATAATAAAAAAGGAAAAGTAATCAGAGACGTGACCGATCGCCCAAGCGGCTAACGAGCCGATCAGTGGTGAAGAGGATGAAAGTAAAGCGAAAGACCTAAACACTACCTATTGCTGGCATCAGTGGGTGACCTGAACAACAAGCTCTTGAAGAAAAACATAACTGGTAGCAAATGTCTCTCAATTACTAGTCTTTTTCAAAACACGTGAATGAAGAAATACTATAATACAAAAAAACATAGATCATAGGAAGTTAATAAAAGACGATTAATAAAAAAATATATAAGATAACACTGAACATGATGGAATTAATAAAAGAATCTAATATTCCGTATTTGAATTTGGTCCTTTATGATGACATTGGCAGCTCTGTTTAAAGAAGTTTTATCTTGCATGGTGGTGGCAAGCCTGTGGCTGAGTTACCTTATTGTTAATTTAACCTATTAATTCAACCCATTCCTTATTACATTATGTTAATAAAATGTATATTTAAACATTATAAATCAATATGGATGATAAATACATGATATAGAGATGAGGATATGGTTAAATAAAGGCGATATATGTGTGGTGAGTGAGGCTGGCAAGCAGACTATGACGCCATTGAAGTGTGTCAGTTGTTGTGGTAGGGAGTGAGGTGCTGGTGACTCTTCTAGTTAATACCTTCCCTTACTTCTCTCTCTACAACTGATGTATGAAAAGAGAGGAATTGTTTATAGTGTATAGATATAAACATGTCTGCCTTATTTGCCTGTTCTCGTTGCTTCAGTAGGCACCCTTTTGAGGAGCTCTCCCAGGGCCAGCAACTGTGTAAGGTGAGTAAAGTGCGTTGTTAACCTCTATGTCAACCGGTGGCTTTGTTTTAATGCCATATTTTGACATATTTGACCTTATTTATGTCTTTAAAGTCTAAGATTGACCTTGTTTTGTATTATAAGTTAATACTTTAATCCCCCGTGGGTAAGGTAGACGGGCGTGTTATATTAGGCTGTGTTAGCTTTGTTTGATGGCTTAATGACCTAATTTGTCTCTTTTTGTCCAATATTAACCTGTTTGACATAAGTTAATGTTTTATAATTGTTAAGGTGTTTAGTTACCATTGTTTGAACGCTGAATGACATCATCATCTCGTCTCTTCTAAGAACTACTGTGTAATGTACTCGTGTAGCTCTTCTGTTTATATTTTAATTTGGTAAAGATTAATATTGCTTCTCCTTTTAAATAAGTAAATTAAAGATATCTGGAAGCCATTATGTCTTCCAGATATCTGTAATTGTATAGTAATGGTTAATCTGGTCACTTGTACTAGAGGTGGCCATCATGTGAAGGTCAGTGGCCCTGTTGTGGTTTTCCTATGTTACATGGAGGTTTCACTATACAAATAAAGAATAAAAATAAAATAATGTCGTTGTATTTCTTTGAATGTTTTCATATGAAACTTTAAGAGTATAGAGGTATTAGGAACACTTGGGCCAGTACATGGGTGGGTTGACTGATAGTGACCAACATTGTCTGGTACACTACACCCACAGTGCTCCTGATGACACTTGGTGAATATTGAGAGAGGAAGTTACTTAAAAAAATATTTAATTTAACTGGTTTAACACAGCTAATCCTTATTTCTTGATAAACTGCTCATATAGTAGATAACATTTCCTATATACAGTACAGTATGTTTCTCACCTAAGTACTGTACATATATATTTCTCACCTAAGTACAGTAGCTAAAACAACTATCTGTGCATACTTTGCAGGAAACAATATACTGTGTGACCATGGACGATACATTTTGGTATATGAGGGTTGTTACTAGTCACACAAAATTTGGGAGCATATTGACCACAGATAGTTGTTTTAGCTACTGTACATATATGTTTCTCACCTAAGTATAGTATAAACATCCTAGGGGCTACTGTCTCGCTCACAATGCGTAATGCATATTTATAAGCCATGCAAAGGCTCGGTTGTGGGGATGTTATTAGCTGGTGATGTTTCCTTACCGATAAATGTTTAGTGCTAATAATTTTTTTTCTAATAAGTACAGCACAGTGAAACCTCCATATAATGTACCTCTCTCTACATATTATCCCTTAGGTTTGGGTTTCATATCTAACACCCTCAATATAATGGACTTAACTTTCCAAATAGTCTGTTAAATAGAGGTTTGACTTGTAATAAACTATGACTGTGTGTGTGTGTGTGTGTGTGTGTGTGTGTGTGTGTGTGTGTGTGTTGAATCTTCCCTATATTGTACTGTAGTTCTCTTTTGTTTCTTTTAAATATTTATAATTTGAAAGATCCAGTTTATAAGAACTGTTAAACCTCCATTTAACGTACATCAATCTAACTGGTATATAGTCTATTATAATGAGGTTTCACATATAATAGACCTCAATATAATGGACTACTCCCATACAGTCCGTTAAACAGAGGTCTCGTTGAATTTGCTTGTACACTACAGGTTTGTTAATACGAAAATCTGATTTTTTCCCCAGGAGTGTAGAGGATCGTTTCCCATCGTAAAGTGTACCTATTGTCGGAGTGAATTCCAGCAAGAAAGGTTAGGATATTAATTATTTAATGTCGTATTTAACTAACTCAGGTAATTCGTTATATGAGGGGTTTCACATCTAACGGGCTCTCGATATAACGGATTTTACTCTCCATATAGTCCATTCAATTGAGGCTTACTGTACTATACTGAATGGGGCAAAAATACAAAGTTAGTTTATGAAAGTTATATCTACAGTATAAATCAGTATACTGTACTGGCAAGCCTTTGTATTGCACTGTATTGTATCCTTATAATTTGTATCAGTGATATTTTCTCTTGATTTAATTTTTTGTGTTTTTTATGTTTCAGTAAAAGCAGCACTGTTACAATCTGCAAGAAATGTGAGTCTATGGTGAAGCAGTATGGTAAACCCTCGGCCTGTGAGTACTGTAACGTTATAGCTGCCTTCATCGGTAACAAGTGCCAGCGGTGTACCAACTCTGAACGGAAGTATGGCCCCCCGCTATCCTGTGACCAGTGTAAACAAAAGTGTGCATTTGACAGGAAGGATATAGACAAGAAGAAGGTAAAATATAGTTATCTTTGTCCTTTAAGGTCGTTTTTCTTTATTGTTTTGTTCTGTTTTTCTGTCATTTTGAATTTAGTTTTACTTTTCATCATTACTTTTCTCCGGCGCTCACCATATGAACCTTGGCTGTTGCGGCGGTAAGACCATTCAATACATACTCTTAATCAGTCTATTAATCTGATGTCTTTGTGAAGATAAAAAACATTTATTCTATTACATGTACAGTACTGTGTTAGGAAATGATATAGTACTGTACATACCTTTTATTGTAAGCTTTAATTATATACTAACAGTGAACCTCCATATAACGGACTTCTTTCTCTCCATATAATCCGTTAGATGCTGGTTTCACATCTAACGTACCCTCGATATAATAGGCTTTTATCTCTGTACAGTCATCCCTCACTTTACGTGGTTAATATAACCCACAGGGTACCGCGGAAAGTGAGAAACGCGTAAAGTGAACAACATAACATATGGGATTAATTGAAATAGAGACCGGGCCGACCCCCAAACTCCACTTTTTGACGACACACAACTATGTTGTAGTAAAAATTTTATCTTAACTTTATGATGGTATGAACAAACAATTAATATAGAAGAGGTTAGGTTCGGAAAAATAAAGGCTAGGTTAGGAAAACTAAAAGTTAGGTTGAACACTTACGTTAGTAGAAGAGATGGGTCGGCATACAGGGATGGAGGCTGGTTCCGAGGCAGAGGGCAGGCCACTGGTCCTCAGGTGAGTCACCATCACTGTCATCCACACTTGTCAGGGCCTCCCTGACAAATCCCTCAAAGTCATCTTCACTGTCTCTACCTCTGTCACTATCACTGGCTTGGGCTGGCTGTGGTGGGTTGCAGGCGAAGAACTCTGTTATTCTTTGCTGACGGCTGGTGTTTATGTTGTCGTGTTAAACCTTGAAGTAGGGCTCCATAGTCTGCAACAGCTGGGTAGTGAAGATTTCGTACCTGTTTGCGTCATGGTCGTCAGAAAGGAGGAGCTTGATTTTCTCAACACACTCGATGGCACCCCTAACATTACTATGGGATAAGAGGTGTTCTTCTTGGGATGACGCACCACCTGCCTCTTCACTGACGTCATCATCATCTACCATCTCGTCGGTAGTCACATCAGGATCCCTTATCACCTCCAGGATGTCATCGTTGGTGGTCTCGGAGAAGCCTGCAGCTGTAACACTCTGCGCAGCTTCTCTGGCAAGGTCCACTGCTACTGCAACAGTCTGAACCTCACCAGTCACAGATTGACTCTGCCTTACGCCCGGAATGCCTTGTAACACATGTCTCCATGCGTGACGAACAGTTGCTACAGACAGCTGATCCCATGCCTCCACCAAGAAGTCCACAGCTTTCTTGATGTTGAATATTCTCCAGAATTGTTTGAAAAGTATTTTTTGCTCTGCGAACTGTTGATCCTCGTCGTCTTCGCTCTTGCTATCGGTGGTGGTGTCACTCAGGTTACGCAACTCTTCCCTGGTGTTGGTGTAGTCATTCAGGAGCTTGAATTTTGTTGTTGAGAATGCAGCTTTTACATTACAGATTAACTCTTGGTCCATGGGCTGTAACATAGACGTAGTGTTGGGAGGAAGGAAGACCACTTTTACGTTGGGGTGACGATCCTAACAGTAGGGGCGAGTGTCCTGGTGCGTTGTCCAGCAGCAACAAAATATTGAATGGCACATTCTGTCGCTCACAGAATTTTTTTACATCGGGAACAAAACAGTCATCAAACCAGGAGAGGGACAGTGTAGAGAACATCCACGCCTTACGTGCGGTCAGCCAGTGGACATTTAGCTTGGTCATGTCCATGGTTTTGTAGGCGTGCGGCTTGCGTGCTGTGTGGATCACCGATAACTTGAGCTTACAGGTACCGGAGGCATTGGTGGTAAACAGGACGGTGATGCGTTCCTTCTGCATCTTCCGGCCCCGAATCCTGCTGGCATTCTTTACAACGAAGGACTTGGAAGGTAGCTTTTTCCAGAAAAGACCAGATTCGTCCATGTTAAACACCTGGTCGTCACTGTACTGTCCTTCTTCCATAATCTCACGTAAAAACGGAGGAAATTCCCGAGCCGCAGCACGGTCAGCACTTGCTTCTTCACCACCAATGTTTATATTAGTGATCTTGTTCCGGATCTTAAACCTCTGTAACCACCCAGAGGAAGCATTAAAGGGTTTGGGCTCTGTAATTCCCATCTTTCGTGCCACTGCGATGTACAGTTCACGTGCGTAGTCCTTAACAGAGCGCGTGTCGACTGCCATGTTCCGTCGCGCCTGACGCACCAAGTACCTCACAAGTAATTTTTCTGTCTTGAGAAGCACCTGGTTGTGAAAATACTTGATCATAGCACCTGTAGACTTTGTGATCTTCATGTGCTCCTTTATCTTGGCTGCATCCTTCTTTATTGTTCGAATCGTAGATTCATTCACACCATGCTGGCGCGCCAAATCAACCTGCCTTGTTCCTTTCTCTAACTCTTGGATGATCTTATACTTCACCTCGTAGCTTAAGGAACGTCGTGTCTTCTTGGGCTTAGGGCGGCTGGGTCCAGGCAAGGAAAGGTTTCTCACTGGGGGCGGTGGTCCGGCGGAAGCCATTTTACAGAACAATGGATGCAGGATTACACGGTGTGGCCTGGAGGGATGAAACTGCCGCGGCTAGGTCAAGCGTCGTCTTTCCTCCCTCCCTCCCTCCCCTGGGTGGACACGTCATATTACTTTAAACCAATTACAGCTAGCAGCGGAGGGAGGTAGGGATGCATGGCCAATCACAGTCCGATACGTCATATGACGTCAGTGATAACGCAACAGAGACATGCACTGCGCAACCTTAACGCGCGGCTTGCCCAGGCGGAGGAGGCAGGAGCAGGCGGGTGGGGTGAATCTAAAAATAGCGTCGAGCCGGACACACTCCGCGTAAAGGGGTACACGCACCGCGGAATGTGAGCATCCTGGGTTCCGGCAGGGTACCGCGTAAATGTGGAAACGCGGAATGTGGGACGCGTAAAGTGAGGGTTGACTGTAGTTCATTAGATGGGGATTTCATATCTAATGGACCCTCAATGTACAGTAATGGACTTTCCTCTCCAGATAGTCTGTTAAATAGAGGTTTGACTGCAAAGAATTTTTGTAACTTGATTGTCCAACTCTTTATAGAGCAAGATTCCCTAAAACAACATTATTTTAAGACAACACAATTTAGATTGGAATTTGTACCCCAGTATGTGAGCGATGGTTAGGTAAAGTGACGTACTTAGGAAAGACATAAATAGAAAATTTGCTGTAGTTGATTTTTTTTTTTTACGGGAATTAACCCACCCGGGCACAGGTCAAACGACCCACAACGGGGCCTGGGGGGCAAAAAAAAAAGAACAGAAAGAAATTGAAAATAGAGAAGAAAAAGGTTATACAGTACTGTATTAATCTACACCACGAAGATGCTGGAAAACCAGCTTTTTAAAGTGAGACATTGTATAAGTATGGAAACACAGAAGAAGGCAGAGCATTCCACAGTTTGGCTGTGTGAGGAAAGAAGGAGGTACTATAACGGGTTATTCTTGTGTGACCGACATCCATAGAGAAATGGTGGGCACCGCGGGCAAGACGTGTGTTACGAGCCCACGGCCTTGCCGGCGGTACACAGGATGCCAAATCGACCGTACGTTTCTCATATGAATTGGAGTTTGGAGATACAAGCCTGGCACATCCTTATTTATGTCTGATTTTTGTTCCTAGGTTGTTCATTACACATTTGTTCCTAGGTTGTTCATTACACATGATGAAAGTGGTTAATTATATGTTAAGATTGAGTTATGTTTATTCTTAAGTAGCAAACATACTCTACTATATATCTCATGAAATTGGAAAAAAATAATCTTTTTTTTTTGTCACCTGCAGGTAGATGGTAAATTATTATGTTGGCTGTGTACACTTTCATACAAGCGAGCATTGGCAAAAACAAAAGTCACCGACCCGGGTAGACATTCGCACATAAAACTTGGGTCGCGCTCAGGTCACCACAAGGATAAGGAAAGGTGAGTTTAAAGTGTGTGTTGCTATGTAAATGTTGTCTTGCTCTGGAACAACCTCAGGGTAATGCCATTATAATGGACTTGCCTCTGTATAATCTGTTAGATGGTGGGTTTCATATGTAAAGGATGTGCTTTTGGGTAACCTGTACAGTACTATAATGGGGAAAGCCTTGCAAGAGTGGGTAAAAAAAAATGATAAAAAAATTATTAAACAGTTATTCATAAAGAAGCTGATTGCACATTATTCTCCTCCTCCTTACAGCAGACACAAGCTAAGTGGGCACAACAAGCGACCCAACCGCCCCGATGTCACCAAAATGCCGCAGGAGGAACCCCCAGCCAAGGTAATGCTCGCTACACCTTGTGCTCGCTTAATTAATTCACGTAGCTCAGTATGATTTGCAAAAAAAAAAAAAAATTATATATATATATATATATATATATATATATATATATATATATATATATATATATATATATATATATATATATATATATATATATATATATATATATATATATATATATATATATATATATATATATATATATATATATATATATATATATATATATATATATCAAGAGAAAGTGAGAAAGTATTATTAATGTAATCAAATGCAAGAGTAAAGGTAAGTGAAAATAAATTACGATTAGATATTAATTTCTAGTTTGTAACATGTTGCCATTGTGTGTCATCTTAAACAGTTTAATAAAGACATTTCTTTTTAAGGTCATTTATCCCTTTAGCATAAGTTTGATTTGCTTGTATTATACTATTACCAGTTTGATATCCACTTTGCTCAACCTCGGAAATTTGATTATTCGTCACTTCTTAGGTGAGTACTGTAGTGTTTGTGCATTATTCTTTTGAGATAGGTTACAGTACAGTAATACAGGAAGTAATACACAGCCGAATGAATTCATTATATCTCTACCTTATTTAAAGAACCAAAAAAAAAAGTCACTTGGCCAACCCAGTTAGTTTTGAGAGGAGAAAAATTGGTCATCAATTGAAATCATTCTAAGATCAACTCAATCAATGCATTTGAGAAATTTGTTGAAAAACTTTCAATGCTGGATTCCCGATAGCACAGTGAAACCTCCATATAACGGAGTTATCTCTCCATATATATTCCGTTACATGGGGGGTTTCACATCTAACGGACCCTCGCTTTAACGGATTTTCATCTCTTACATAATCCGTTAGATGGAGGTTTCACATCTAACGGACCCTCGATGTAATGGACTTTCCTCTCCACCCAGTCCGTTAAATAGAGGTTTCATTATATTTTCACCCCTTTGTCCACACTTACAAGTCTTTTTCATGTTTTCAGCTGGGAATATATGATACAGACAAAGACACACAGAGTATGGATATTCATGACAATTTTAAGACTGTGGTAAGTGTCCGAGATCATGATGAAAGATAAACAAATGGTAGAAATGAATGAACTTATGCAGAGATATTTACTATACCAAAATACACTAGACAGTAACATCGTTTATGTCATAACATGGCTCAGTTGGTTAGTGTAGGAGAAACTTCTTATATGTTAAGATTGGGTGTTAAAAGCTGTAGTAATTGGATTATATATATTTTTTGGTCTTTTATATTGACACCTACTGTTTGAGTTCATATTCTGTAATCTGACAACAAGTGTGACGCACCTTGCTCTCAGCTCGTCCGTATATGAAGTCTAACGTTATGTAGTTAATGTGAGATGATTAGATGATTAATTCACAGCCAAACACATTTATTATACCAGTTTTAGTAGGATGAAACGGAAAACAAGATTAACCCTTTGAGCATGGTTTTGTGCTGGCATACTTGACAATCACAGAGAGAGAGAGAGAGGAGATCATTGATATATACTGCAGCAACACTGTGCAGTCACTCATATGATGATGATGAGTATTACTGTATTTAAAATATTGAGACTTTTGCCCTTATGAAAATAATTTTTCTTGGCTTCAGGACTGATAAGTAGATATTTATTATCAGATCATAAAAAACAAAAAAAGGGGATGGATGTTCATAGCATCCACTAAACTATTGTTGTCGTCGTTATTAACGTTATTAGTACGTACTGCGCTTCAACAGCGAAGGAGGTCTTTAAAGTGTGTAACAAGGTTAGTTAATTATACTAGTCCAACACTAAAAAAAATTATGAGAGATAGAACTCTCTATTTGTGTCAGAAGGTTGGTTCTGACCTGCTTGTGTGCCAGCCACCATAATGTGCTTTATTTACTTTATCTTCGAGTGTCAGGACCAGTGTGTTGTTTTTTATTGACAGTGAAACTTCCATATAACGGACTTATCTCTCCATAAAATCGTTAGATGGGAGGTTTCACATCTGAGGCCCTCGATATAACGGATGTTCATTTTGATATACTGTAGTTCGTCAGTTGGAGGTTTCACATCTAACGGACTCTCGATAATGGATTTTTCTCTTCTTATAGTACATTAAATAGAACTTTCATAGTACAGAAATTGTGACATTAAGGATTATCCCAAGCGGTTCCTGCGGCATTCAATGCATTAGTAGTGAAGATGAATGAATGTTCCCAGGAGTGAGATTAACGATAGTATTTATTTCTGTAGCCAAAAAGTGAGACAAAGTCGATGTGTCAACAAACAAGCTACAGTGTAAGGGCAGCTTGATGGGTGAGTATTGCTTAGATTATCTTAACGTTTTTATTTCAGCAGAATTAGATTACTACCGGCTAATGATGCTGCAGCAGCTTATGGGCATTAGTAGCAAGGTGATGCAGAGGAAATGCAAGAGAAAATATATAATGTTAAAGGCAAGCCAGAGGGGTGGTAAGAAATAAAAAAAATGAGAACAAAGTGACAAATTGAGTGTACTGTACAGTCAGCTACTAAAGTCCGTCCGTTTGCCCCTCTCCCTGAACCACGAACCCCTGAGAGATTCTTCAGACTTGTGAATCTGAAGCATTTATGGACAGTATTATGTATCAGTCTACTGCTTCTTCAGGTTGACGAGTCTGAATCTCTCGAGGGTTCGTGGTTTAGGGGCAGAGCCGAATGAACTGTACAGTATCAAATGTGACTGCAAAAGCAATTCAGGATATCACTAAGAAATATGTATGTTAATACTTCTTGTGTGAGTAGCAAGCAATAGGGAATGGCTGAAGAACTGGAGTGTGATTGTGCACCAATATTTCTAGAGAGAGAGCATGGCATGAAGATCTACTATATCAAGCAACTTTATAATACAGTGGTCCCTCGGTTAACGAGCACAATCCGTTCCAACAGGTTGCTCGTTAACCGAAACCATTGTTTCAATGGGTTTTTAGGTAATTGGTTCCAGCTCACCGAAAGTTGCCTAAATTCAACAAAAAGGTAGAAAAGTGCACTTACTTTGAGGTGTGTATGTAGAAGGCTCCTGGATGATGATGATGATGATGATGGGAATTAGAATGGGGGTGGAGGAGAAGGAAGAAGAGAAGGCATTGGGGTGGAAAAGAAGTCACCCCATAGCACCATTTCACCAAAAAATTTTAGTTCTCTTGGTGTATTTCAAGATTATTTTCTTTAAATCAACACTGCACTGCATTATATATTGTCAATATGTAAAATATATTTCAAAATGACCAATAATTTGCTTGGAAATACAGAAAAAAATCTTTTAGTTGAAGAGTCTCAAGCAAGATGTTACCTCCACTGAAAACAGAGAGAGACTAACGCCTGTCTGGTGTGTTAACAGGCTAGATGGCACGCCAGAAACTAGTTTCTTTACCTTCAATTATGTTCAATAATTGTTAAAATGACTAAAAAAGTTAATATTAAACTTTTAAAATTATTAAATAGTATAAACTTCTTGATATTTACTAAAATAGTAAGGCATTTAAGCCCTAAAACCGATTACTGTATTGGCGGACTAATACTACAGCTGGTGGACCGCCAAATGCAAGCGAAAACATGTTGAAGTCGGCTCGTAAAAAACTCGTTAATCGAGGGATTGCTCGTTAACCGAAGTTAAGAATCTTATGGAAGGTAAATCGTTAACCGAGGCGCTCGTTAACCAAGGGACCACTGTACAGTACAGTACTTGCTTTAATATTCTCTTGAAGGAGTGGATTAATCATTGTCAAATTTTAAATGGCTGAATATATTATAGAAAAGATAATAATTAAGAAAAGTATAGAGTAAATTACAGATAGTTTAGTAGGAAACTAACACTGGATGGCTGGCTGGAACGATGTACAGTACCGTATACTGTAGTTGTGTGTGGATTGTGTTTGCAAAATTGGAATGAGAGTTGAGATAATGTTAGTTCAGAAAGTGTCGATGCATTATTAATAGCTCGCACAAGGGTAACGATTTCTAATTTGGAAGGACTGGTTAATTTAGTGAATGTTGAAGTGAAGATATTGAATTGCTTCTAAAAAATTAAAACAAAGAGCACATCTGTGAAGTGAGAATGGATTGGATATATGACTGTTGACATTTGAAGACCTTGAGGTAGTGACAAGAGGCTTTGACTAACAGTGACTATTATAGACAGTAAAATAGGTGGTTGTGGTGGTGGCGGAAGAAATTATTTAACGTAATTAGTCGAGGAGTTATAGGCAACAGTGCGACAGTTTGGAGGTGTACATAAAAACAACAATGACATGAACGTGACTGAGAAAGTGAAGTTGAAAGAGTGTGAAATATATACAAGCTGGAAGTCTAAATTATTTTTAAAGATTGATAACCTTTGGAAGTTGTGAGGTTGGGTTATGTTAGGGTAAGAGAGGATGATATAGTATTTTGCTAATGCCATTGTACAATACGCTGGTGAAGTGAGTTCATAATTAAGGACTATATACTGTACCATGTAAGAGTAGAGTACAGTACAGTAGTATAGTTTGTTGGGGGAATGACACTGTTGAGAATCTTGGATATGAATGTGAAGAGAGGAGAATGAGGGAGTTTGAGATTGGGAACTGGTTGTATTGGCTTATGGGGAGAACTACAGCTTGAAGGAGAATTACGAATAGTTTTGAGTGAGGTAAGTGGTGAAAGTTGTTATAGCTGTTGAAGATTAATAGATTATGTAGTAGCAAAGTCAAATCAACACAAATTATGTCAATACAGTATTGAGGTGTATGGGAATTGTATTTTGTCAATGGCTGTGTTATTAGAAGGGATACAGTATTATGTCTGTATTCTGTACTGTACTGTACTGTAGGTGGCAGGCATGTTGTATAAAGTAGAAATGATCCTAAGCTCAGTGTGGGCGGATATGTGTGGACCTAATGCTATTGTTCTAAGCAGATGGATATTGTTTGTCAAGTGAACCTTAGAAGCAGAATGAAAACAAGAGATCCACATCATCCACACACCCACACACATCTTTCACCAATATTTTATTCGTGTCCTTAGAAATGAATCTTCCTGTACGGGTATTGTGAATTTATTTGCGATACAGTATATAAATTTTAATCGAACATTATATATGAGCCGATGAGCCGCAAGGGTATTGTGCCGTCAACGAAAAAACTGAGACTGTAGTCTTGTGTCCATTGAACTTTTTCATCTTAAGTGTTTAGGTGTGCAAGTTTTTGGCCAAGTTTTGAATTACAGTAATACCAAATAAAGGAAACTCCAAGTTTGGGACAGAAAGACATTTGTGTTTTGGCTTGGAAACAGTATAATGGATCTTGTCACTGTCTGGCTAAAGTGGTATTATAGTACAATGAAACCTCCATATAATGTACTGTACTTCTCTCTCAATATAATCCATTAGATGGAGGTTTCATGTATAATGGACCCTCAATATAACGGGTTTTCCTCGCTCTATAGTCCATTGAATAGAGGTTTCACCAGATACTTATACTGAGTTACAATAGTTAATGAGAAACCTCCAAAGTCTATATTTCATAAATAATGATTCAGGTCACTTTTTGTTGTCTTTGTTTTGATAGTATTTTTTCTTTTATATTCTCAGGTCCTTGACTTTGTAATATTTCGAGCGCTAGTAAATTATTTAAAAGAACTGGCACAATTGCAAAACAAAAGACGTAATTAGACTTACACGTGGGTTGTTCTCTAACCATATGTGATCTAAGGGATCCTGCAGCATCATTAGCCTTCCTGAGAGGAGCGTCCCTGTAAATGGATCTTGAGAGGATTATTGTACAGGCACTCAAAAAACTATCTCTGCTGGGGGGGGTCAATGAATTTTGAATTTCAGAATGAACACTATGACTGTTGTCTCGGTAGGATTGCCAAAATCCTTCATCCGTTGTGTCATATTTTCTAACAATTTTGTAAGGATAGTTTTTGAGTGACTGTACCTGTAAGGTGTTTGGTAATGATCTCTTTGAGGTGTTGTCTAGATATAGAGAGAGTTCAGTAGAGGAACCTTGTGTGGCTCTTGGGAGTGTAGGTAATGGAATGATTCCTTACATTAGGTTTAGTTACCTACTCCATGTGGTACGAGTGGTCAGTTACGTGTGGTTTTATTTTGTCTGCTCCTTCGTATGTCTAGCTGGCTTGAGGAACATGAGAGTTTTTGGATAGTTACCGAAGCCAAAAGAGTATACTGTACTGTACAATAAATCCTCTATTTACATGATGATGATGATGACTATGGTAATAACAATTATGATGATGGTGACGACATCGTTTCGCTTGGGAATAAGTCCCAATTAAAATTGCGTTATCATAGATTAATGTTGTTTAAAAATATTAAAATTTGTGTGCCACTATCACTACTTCTTTGAGCTGCGTCTACATTAATTTCCTCGGCAATTTCTGTTGAGTGTTGAATTCTCTGTACAGGTACAGTAGTACAGTATATACCTGTATTCAGTAGCTACTTGACATAATATCCATGCATAAATAAGGCTTTGTTGATCTTGTTTTCTTATTTAGTATATAATTAATAAGAGATATAGAGAAAAAAGGTCTTGGCTCCGTCTGCTTACCATCTGCGACCAGCTGTTTCACTACTGCTCGGCGCCATTAACTGATATTTACTTAATATACTGTAATATAATTGTTCACCTTTACTTCCTCTGATAAATATGTAACAGTTCAACAGTCTACTATCTTGTTATGTTAAGATTCCTGGTTAAGAGTGACCCAAAAAGAAACACAATAAACCAAGAAAACGTCTGTCGACAAGATTGATTGAATCACCCGGCACAACACATTATCACTTGAGAGACCACAGTGAGCTCCTTTACACAACAACATTACAGCAAGCATGCCCTACACTGCTGTACATATACTCTTACTTAAATAAATAAAATCTGAGACTTTAAATTTTTATTTATTTTTTATACAGTGAAACTTCGATTTAACCGGACTATATGACGAGGAAAGTCCGTTAGATGTGAAACCCTCCATCTAACGTATTATATAGAGGTTTCACTGTAATATGGTAATATTAATGTTTGTTTCAACTTGCTTAGGGTTGCCATATCTGAATATTAAAAAAAGAGGACGTTCCCGAAGACATCCTGCCCCCTCTCCCCCTCCTGGCACACACTTTGGCGCTATGTAACCTTGATGCAGCCGTGACAGTTTTATGCTCTGGAAAAGTACAACAAATCGTAAGCACTAGTTGTGGCACCAAGCGACAAACCCACAACAAAGACTAAGATCAAACACTGTCACTGCAGGTTAAAGACTGGCCAACCACCGGTCACCGTCATTGTTGTCAACACACGTAAATAATATAGCGAAAGTGGCTAGATTATGGTTGAAAATTGCTAAAATGCCTTAAATGCAGGACAAGAAAAACAAATGCTAGTGTAAAAAAAAGCCATAAGAAAAAATGGTATACTTTCAACTTTTCATTTATGGTTGTAATAGCACCACATACAAAAAAATTATAATGTGCATGGCTGAAGAACAAGGAAAAGCAGTACAGTACATGGCACTACAGGCTAGCCCAAAAACTGCTAGCAGCTAAGTTGACAACACCGTACACGTGACTTATCAGCTGACGAAAACTGAACGAGATCTCTACTGTTTCCACCTCCCCTCCCTCACAGTCTCTCTCTCTCTCTCTCTCTCATCATTACAGTTTCATATTTCTTTCCGTGGAGAAAATGATGGAAGCTGAAATTCCGGACTTTTGAAGAATTTTGAAAATTACTTCCGAATGAAGATTTCTAGACTTAAATGGAGGACATGTCCGGGAAAATACTGACGTATGGCAATTCTAAACTTGCTATATGTTATTGTATTTTTTCTGTGACGTACGACCAACAAAACGTGCAGCACCCCAGTAATGCTTCATCCTTGCATAACGTTAAGTCTGCGGGGAAATACACGGCGATTCACATCGTTTTATCCAGTGTCGTGTTTTTTGAGGAACACGTCCATGGTATAAACAGAAAACTTACTGTATCAAGAGGTCCCGGATAATATACAGTATTTGATAACTACCGTAAATAAGAAACAGAGGAGAAAGAGAACCTTTCTTCCTTCTGTAGGTTCTAGTTGTGGAGTACAGCCGGACTGAAGTTTGGTGCTGGAGCTGTACAGGTGCTCCTCTACTTAAGAACTTTCAGAGATACAAACATCATCACTGAGGGGGGTTACCTGCCAGAACAGGTGTTTAATGTGGATAAGATTGGATTATTTTGAAGAAAATTCCAGATAGAGCAAACATTATCTAAGAGAAGAGTGAGCCAGGTTTTATGGCTGTATTAAAGGGTATAGCTGTACTAAATATCCTCAATCTTTTAATTTTTTTTTACAATATTTTTGGTGTCTACAAGAGTAAAGTTGGACTTACAAACAATTGGACTTACAATCAAGCCTCAGGAACGTAACTCATTCGTAAGTAGAGGAACACCTGTACTGTATAGTGTTGTGTGGCTGATGATGGTCAAGGAGAGAAAGGACTTCTTGTCGCACCGAGACTCGCTTAACCTCTCAGTCTTTAGTGGTAGAGTTAGGTACACTTCCCAGACTTCTCTTGAACCCTTTGACGATGATGGTTAATCCCTTTGACGACGATGGTTGATCCCTTAGACGACGATGGTTGATCCCTTTGACGACGATGGTTGATCCCTTTGACGACGATGGTTGATCCCTTTGACGACGATGGTTGATCCCTTTGACGACGATGGTTGATCCCTTTGACGACGATGGTTGATCCCTTTGACGACGATGGTTGAACCCTTTGACGACGATGGTTGATCCCTTTGACGACGATGGTTGATCCCTTTGACGACGATGACTTAACCCCTTAAGACTCAAAAGAATAAAATAAGTGTGTGTTCATTTAGTGATACAGCTGGTTGAATTGATTTTAATTGTATAGCCATACATTGTGTGTGTATATATATATATATATATATATATATATATATATATATATATATATATATATATATATATATATATATATATATATATATATATATATATATATATATATATATATATATATATATATATAGTTAGTATTTGCGAAATCACTTTGAATCCGGCAGTAAGAAAGATTAAAAACAAAACAAAAAGACAATGATTCCGAGAAAGGGCTCTCAAGTTTATGGTAGTAACTAGCATATGAATTCTTTCAAGTCTCCCGTGATATGTCTTGAAGGAAGGAATTACAGCACTGTATATATATATCATACATTACAGTGTACAATACTTGAAAATAACAAAGGAAGATAGATATGGTCTGCCCTTGTCTCTCTTATGTGATAATATTCTCAGTCCATGAATCATAGAGGAAGTAATGCACAGCCAAAAATATTTCTACAGTACTCACCTCACCCCCTCGAGTGAGACAGACTGTGTTTAAGATAAGACTGTAGCTCTTTGACAGTTCTGTATAGCCTACAGTGGCCAGCTCTGGGTATATATCATTGAGTTATACAAGTATACAGTTACAAGTAAAAAAAAAAAGATCCATGCTCAGGGGGTTAATAAAGTCTAGAGAGAGAGTGTGTGTGTGTGTGTATATATATATAAGGATGATGATAAATTTTTGGTTGATTGAGAGCTACAAGTCAAGAATTCATGTTTAGGGGTTTAATAGTCGAGGGAGTGTGTGTGTCCTGTGTAAGGATAAGTTTTTGTTTGGTTGAGAATGAATGAATGAATGAAGTAATATTGAGAGGAAGGTGTGATGGAGAGATGGCGGGAAGGCGGTTACAACACATTCCCCCCAATTCTGGCTCTCGGCTCAAGGTAAGAGAAAGAACGTACGACTGACCACGAATAATTAATATATTTTTCCTCAAGTTAATTCATCATTATTAGCCACCAAACTTAAGCTTAATGGATTTTCAAGTACAGTACAGTAGTTAATTACAGAGTATATATTGTACAGGTGTCTCCCGATTAATGAATAATAGTCAAGTGTGTTAAGTTGAATGCTTATACAGAAATCATGGAATGTTTTTTGTCAAGAGATTTTCCTTCTTTTTACATAGTTTCTTGTTTAATAGATCACCTAACGGTTACATTGTAAACACAGTACTGGCAGTTTGTTTAAAAAATAAAATAAAAATAGTTGTCATTAGGGAGTTATTGAACACTCCCCAACAAAAGTCCTGTTGCCTCACCTGCTTCTTCATGAACCCAGACATTCAGGTGAGGTGACAAGACTTATGTTGACAAGTGTACCTGTTGATTTGATTAATTAATTGTTTATATGTATCTGATGTGAGAAGGTTTAGTAATTGAATATGATGTCTACCAGATTTGTTTGTGTTCAGTTCTTGTGGCATTATTGGTGTTCATATTTACTGTATATACCTATTGTTCATCAGTAGTTCAGGAAAGGGAAATGTTCATTTAGATATTATTTTTAACACTCCATATACAGTACATTACCTTGTGTGTGTGTGTACATATGAGTGTTTGTGTATATACCGTATAGTAATGTGTATAGTGAAACCTCCATATATTGAACTTCTCTCACCATATACTGTACAGTATTCCATTAGATGGGTGTTTCATATCTAACGGATCCAAGATATAACGGACTTTCACCTACATATAGTTCGTTAGATGGAGTCTTCACTGTACAGTATACTGTATATGCACACACACACACACATGTATAATACAGTAAACCCTCGATTTCTACAGTATCCAAGTCCGCTCTTTTGATATACATAGTATTGTACTGCTGTGTCATGACGAACCAATTTAGACCTTAATTTCCATTTCCATGCCGCCGCCCTTCACTATACTGTACCCCAGGCGATGTCAGGAGGTACAAGCAAAAAGCGTAATCCTACACAGGTAATTTTAAGTCTCCACGGAGGAATGATTCTCCCTCCTACACATGATATTGGATGATGAGAAACTAATGCATTTTATTTTTTTATTTTTTATTTTTTTTTACTATAGGTGACACAGTTGAATTTCAGGTGTAAATGGTAATGAATAATTATCATCAGCTTTACACCAGATTGGACATACGTAAATACAAATAGTAGTGAAAACATAACACTGTCGGGATTTAAACCTGGTCCACCTTAGCTAATTACTGCAGCTCAAGGTCTCCATGCCCATAACTGTTGACCAATGGGTTAGGGCAGCCTGCCAACACACACACAGGTACCAGAAAGATTTTGATAAAATTCCCAGCACAACCTGTTATGTAAACTGGTAAATCAATATAGTGACAACATTGTTGTGCTGGGAATTTGATGAGAAGATGTAGTAGGTGGGAGGAAGAATGGAAGACAAGAGTACAGTTTGTGTGCGACAAAGACAGAAGGTTGCAAATGAACCTCATGGAACATGTACAGTCCAGCACTAGTATAGTTCTCCTGCCTAAGAAGAAGAGGTGACAAGAAAAAGGAATATGATTGTTATACAGGAAAGGACTAAATCTGTCAAGTATACTATACTGGGGAGAGATTGTGGTAGTTATTGCTGTGAAGATTGTTAGGTCAAAAATACAGGGTTATCAGGGCAACAGTGGCACAGTCTCACATAAACAAGAGGATGTATGTATGTATGTATGTATGTATGTATGTATGTAGATCAAGTTTATGTATTAAAGAACATAAATTAAAGGTTAGGTTAATTTTGGTTAGATTAGGCTGTTACATTAGGTTAGGATTTAGAGAAGGGAGTGGGTTAGATTGTATCATTCATGAATTATAAAAAAAAAAATAAGATGGAAAAGCGACATGTCAAGTATTGAAACTGTGTGGAATAAATTAGAAAACTCTTGAATGCTGTCCAGAATTTTTTTTACGAGAGTCGAGCACGTATTATAGAGATCATCAAAGAGAAACTATAGTTCATAATGGAAGTGGGACTACATAGCCTTTGTTGTGTAATAATATATTGAGATAGAGTACAGTGTAGTTATAGAAGTGAGAGCAAGAAGAATGATAGAGAGAGAGAGAGGTACAGAGTTACTGGATGTATATGAGAAGTGATTCAGCTGCTGTGCTGTTCAGTTTGAAAGAAGTGTTATAAATGTCAGTGAAGGGTTGGAAGAATTTACTGTACTTACACTGACTGTACTGTACTTGGAGATAGTTGGTGAAGCAGAGAGATGAAAAGAAGGAGAGAATGGGAGACAGACTTAAGAGAATGGGAGAAGGTGTTTCAGTCAGTGAAACAATAAGTAATGAATTAAACTATAGAGTAATGGAAGGGAAGAAAGTAATTAGTGATGGATTTAGATGTTTGAGAAAACTGGGTAAGAAGAGGCAAATATGTAAGGATACAGTGAAACCTCCATATAATGGACTTCTCTCTCCATATAATCCATTTGATGGGGTATTTCACATCTAATGGATCCTCGATATAATGGACTTTCATCTCTATAGAGTTTATTACATGGAGTTTTCATATTTAATAGACACCTCAATATAAGGGACTTCCTTCTCCATATAGTCCATTAAATAGAGGTTTCACTGCACATAAGGGAATAATTTGAGCTGACATTACCACTTGGGTGAGAAATATGGATTCTGGGTGTAAGAGCAAGGAGCAAATTTTAGAAGCAACAGTAATACTTGAGAGCAGTCCTAGGTGAATGGGATGCACCAAACACCTGTGTATAGTAACTTGGAATTTATATAACCAGTCCCATATATACAATCAACTACTAAAGTCTGTTCGACTCCCCCTGAACTACGAACCCCAAGATTCGGACTAGTGAATCCCAAGCATTTCTGGACAGAATAATGTATCAGTCTACTGCTTCGAATTCACAAGTCTGAATCTCGGGGGTTAGTGGTTCAGGGGGAGAGGTTAACAGACTTTAGTAGTTGACTGTACAGTATATGGGTTTAAAAGGCAAAAATATTGACAAAGTTTCATGCATGAGTGACCACTGAAGGTACAGGTACAGTAGTACATGTCATCACAGGTAAAATATTGAAGTGGATTAAGCACTGGTATGAACTCAAGAAATAAAGGAAGGTCATAATATTACATTCAGAATGGAAAAAAATGTTCTCATAAGAGTATTACCACCAAGGATCTATTCTTAGACCCACCCTGTTTGTGATCTACATTAACAATATCGAGAAAAATATATTGAGCCACTTTATCAACTTTGCGGATGACAAAAGATACAGTATATGGGAAGGTGAGAAGTCAAGTGGATGTTCCCTACCGTTTAAAAAAGATCTGTACGAGCTGTTCAAATGGTCACATTAATGGTAAATATTTTTTGACATTACAAAGTATATGACTGCATGTGGGCACAAGAGCCCTAATCATCAATTGAATAACACTTTCTTGGACACCGCTGATAATTATTGACAGGATCTAGGTGTTGTGAAGACCAGTTACTGAAGGTGGTGCAACAAGTGGGAGCAGTTAAAAAAACAAATACAGTACAGAATACCTGTAAAGATGCAGTACTTGTACGGTATTTGATTAAATCACTACTCACTCATCAAAAACTGTGATAGCTATGGGGTGTGTCAAGGCCTGGGTAGGGGATGGTAAGGTTATACTGTACTGTGACAGAAGCAGGATTGTTTCCCTCTTTCAGCTTCATTGTTGGCTTAGTGAGAGAAATTCTTGGTATTCTGGTGATGAGGTTGATAAATGGGGATTAACCCTTTGAGGACCATTATTTAACCCTTTAACAATGATGGTTTAAGTCTTTGACAATGACGGCTTTACCCTTTGGTGATGATGCCTTAACCATTTGATGACAGTAATTTAACCCTTGGGTGACAATAATTTAACCCTTTGGTGACAATTTAACCCTTCAGGGCTTAAGGGGTTAAAGAAGATACTATACTAAAGTCTAGACAGCTTTCTTCTTTTTGCTTTAGTAAAGATTCTTATAAGAGTGTAGCAGTGATGCAGCCATAGCTTATAATGTGTTCTATAGTGGGGTCGTCGTCCTTCTTCAATAGGTCATTACTCGTCTTTATCCAGGCTGAAAAAACCTGTAGCAATATTTTCATTGGGTGGGTTGTGGTGGTGGTCGTGATCTCTATGTCACTTCCTTTTCTTTGGTGGTGGATCATCTTGGTCATCACCCTATAGTACAGTATGTTAGGTTTGTACATCAGCTAGAAAAAATTAATCATTCCTTTATGGTTTCTTCATTATATGTTTTTTGTCATAGTAATAGGTCAGTAGTGGCATGTATTGAGCAGTGGGGTTCATTTTAGTTCTCTCTCTCTCCTTTGGTGAATCACGAGAAAATTGTTCATCTTGGACTGATATAATTGTGATCCTATTTATATCCAGGCTGAAGCATTTCTGACGTATCTTCCACTAGTGGCTAACATTTGACCTCCCACCCCCTAGGAATCGGCTTTTATCTGAACCCTATTTATTACCCTCTCTAACTTTGCATCAAAGAATAGGTTGAGCTCATGTCCTCAGTTTGATAAATTCTGCATCTGGATTTTTGTGGTACTATACTCTAGATACTTCCTTTTAGTTTATGGCAGTTAGTTAGTCATTGGTGGTGAGTGTGAGTGTGGGATCATGTGGTTCCTGTCAAATAGCACTCTACCTATTGCAGGACTCGTGCGACAAGGCGGTCTTTTCTGGGATCATCTTGCATTCACTCTGCTGTGAGAGATAGTTATGAGATGTGTGGAGGTTGTTTAAATGACTCAAGATAACAGCAGCAACAAGGGGGAGGTGTACAAAGTGATGGAATGTTTACCCTTTCTCATGCAGGCATAAAATTCTTCATTGGGAATAATTGTTGTAATACAGAACTTGGGCTTCTTAATTTTTCTTACCCTTTTGGGTCACTGGCTTTCAATTGTTCAGTGATTGTTTAGAACTGTTGCCAAGTTAGCAATGAGGGTTTGATCCTGAAGAGACAATTTATACCAGAGCATTTATATAGTGACTGTGATCCCACCTGCCACCATGAAATGTCTCCATGGAGGTTATCTGTAATGAGAGGGTTATTGTTGCAAGTGTACTGTTGTCTGCTCTCAGAATAATGAGTTGCAATATGATTCGGCACACTCGCACGTCTCTTGAGTAAATCAAGACATCTGATCTCTTGTGCTGAACTGCAGTTGTTGCAGAGGAATGATTTATGTTTGGGTTACAGTACAGTACCTTCCAGTTGGTCATGGCCAATGGGGGGGGGGGGGTTACAGTATTTGGGGAACCCTGAATAATAAGTTGGGTGTTTATGGTCTGCTCTTGGGTTGCTCCTCACCGACTGTTATAAAAATGGCCTTAGGATCAAACTCTCTTAATATTAACAAAGCGAGGATCAAACTACTGTACACATCTAGCCCTGTGGGATGCTGAGGTGAGCTCAATCTGATGAATCGATTCGTGTAACACGTTCTTGCTGCAGATGTTAAAATAAACCAGATTAAGAGTGTATGTGTATATGCTTGATGACCATAACTCTCACGCTGTCTCCTACGACAGGATTACCTTCTTAGCTGTTGGCTTTTAGAATCTTTTTAGCAGGAAGGTGAAGGATAAACTAACATTTAAATTTACTGGGGCCAGGTGTACAATGGTTACAGTTCTTGGGGTCGGGGCTCAGTGTTTGGTCTCAGCTTGGTTATAAAGCTCCATCATTTACTGTGAAACCTCCATATGGCGGACTACTATTGTCTCCATGTAATCTGTTAGATGGAGGTTTCACATCTAACGAACCCTCGATATAATGGACATTCCTCTCCATATTTAGTCCATTAAATAGAGGCTTCACTGTATTAAAGGGAATTCATAGTACAGTACAGTACGTATAAGATTTTGGTCTGGCAATACAGCAGTTTAGTATTGTAAAGTAATTTTTAGAGATTAAGACAAAATACTTTTACCATTAAATGATATCAAAACTCTTTTCTCTTTCATTATTTCCTGCAGGTGTCCAGGAACTCAGGGCCGACACGTGACAGTGATCCAGGAACGGCCGACCAGCTCGTTCTTATCACGCAGCTACGAGAACAGATAGCTCGCCTGGAGAAGCAGCTTTCAGGAAAAGATGCTCAGCTTTTAGCCAAGGAGAAACAGGTAAGTTATGATAATTGACACAGTGAGAATTAATAAATATACTGCAGTGTATATACCTGTAGTACCCTGAACCTCTTGTCCCATACACTAGACTGGTAACACTGTTCAACTTTCACACTACACTACAATAACACCTCTCTTCTTGATAGATTTTTAAACCATATCTTAAATCATCTCCAAGAGCTTATTCCTTTTATTTTCTTCATTATACTCCTTCATCTATTCAGTACTTTATAAATTTTTCTGATCATTTATTCATTTATACAGTACAGTACTATCAGCTTTATTTTTGGCATCTTCAGTTTAATTCTCTATCTCCGTTTGGTTTCACACTTGCAAGTCACCCACAAAAGTCCTGTCTTGTTGCCTTTCCTCCTGAACCAGACTTCCCCAAGATTCAGACTCGTGAACCTGAACCACGAACTTCCCCAAGATTCAGACTCGTGAACCCAAAGCATTTATGGATAGGATAGAGTATTGGTGTCTACTGCTTCGGGTTCATTCACACGTCTGGATCATGGGGTTCAGACAAGTGAATCCAACGGTTTTATGGACATAATAATGACTCGTCATGTCTACTGCTTCAGGTTCATTCATGAATCTGAATCTTTGGGTTCGTTGTTCAAAGGGAGAGGCGACAGAACTTTGTGTGGTAACCGTATCAGAAATCACCACCACTCTACCAAGCATTGTACATACAATATTTGTTTTATTTAGTTTTTTTTTCACATTCTGTGTACTGTAGGTCACACCACTGTCCAATAGACAATTCATTTTTTTTCTCCAAATTTACCTTCACTACTTTTTGAACAGAAATAATTCCAAATAACTCCCAATGTAGTCGTACTTTACCATCCTGTTACATTATTATTATTATTATTATTATTATGATTATTATTATCATCATCATCATCATCATCATCATCATCATCATCATCATCATCATCCAAATTGTTATACGTCCATGTTTTATCTTTTTTATCTCTGGATTTAATCACCATTTTTGGCTGTCCCAGGTACGGTAGTAATAATAAATAATAATAATAATTGACGGTTTATTGAAAAAGTTCTGCAGCCCAAAGGCTGAAAATATACATTGGACATAAATGACTTATTACATACATTGGTGGTTTAACAAAAGCCTTCATTAGAAGAGTAAAAGGAACATACAGTGAACATAAATTATTGTAGGTGTTGAACAGCAAACTCTAGTAGTGTAGTAACTCCTCCCAGATGGTGTTAGGAGGAACTCACTGGTTGTGGTAGTTCCTCAGATGGTGTTATGAGGGACCTGGCGTGGTGTATTAATTCCTCGCAGATGGTGTTATGAGGGCCTCCGCGGTGTAGTAATTCCCCATCAGATGGTGTTATGAGGGACCTCACGTGGTGTAGTAATTCCCCATCAGATGGTGTTATGAGGGACCTCACGTGGTGTAGTAATTACCTCACAGATGGTGTTATATGGTGGTTTTGGTCCCAGGCCTTCCTATCGTGAGCGGATTATCACATCACTGGTTGTTGTTGGGTCTCACGGGCCTTATCACTGGGTACCTGGGACCTCACTGTGTGAAGGTTAACTTGGGTACAACTGTTACTGTTGAGTTGTTCTCACTGACAACACTGTTCACCACTGTTCACCTCTGTTTAACACTGGTTCCATTCCTTCCTAAATGAAATAGTAACTTCTGGGAGAACTTGTTGATATTCCGTGGGGAGGAGGGTTCAGGGAGGGAGTTGGTATGGGTCAACAACAGTTGACCTGGCTGCTGCGAGGAGGGCGCCAGGTACGTCTTACCTTGGTGGTCAAGGATGTAGTGTGTGTGGGTGCATGGAGTACCCTCCTGTAAACATTGACTGCTTAATTTATTTTCTCTCTCTCTCTCTCTCTCTCTCTCTCTCTCTCTCTCTCTCTCTCTCTCTCTCAGGAGCCACATAGTGTTACTCTCGACTGTCTTGTCTTGATACAGTACCTCTCTTGGTGTAACAATATGTACTACCTTTATCATCGATATACAGACGAATGTTTTATTTTGGTGTTATGCTACAAAAGATCTCGGTGGGGGGGTCGATGAATTCCAGAATGAACACTGAAACTCCTGTTGTCTCGGTAGGGTTGTCAACTCCTCCTTCATCTGTTGTGTCATATTGTCTGACATATTTTTTATAATGATATTTTTGAGTGACTTGATTTGTGTAAAAGAATTTCCTGGAACAAATTTTGAGGAATTTTCTCAGTGTATTTTATGCATGGTGTGTCCTCTAGGTCTACTCCATGTGGTGTGTCCCTAGGTCTCTCCATGTATGGTGTGTCCTCTAGGTCTACTCCATGTATGGTGTGTCCTCTAGGTCTACTCCATGTATGGTGAGTCCTCTAGGTCTACTCCATGTGGTGTGTCCTCTGGGTCTACTCCATGTATGGTGTGTCCTCTAGGTCTACTCCATGTATGGTGTGTCCTCTAGGTCTACTCCATGTGGTGTGTCCTCTAGGTCTACTCCATGTATGGTGTGTCCTCTAGGTCTCTCCATGTGGTGTGTCCTCTGGGTCTACTCATGTGTGTGTCCTCTAGGTCTACTCTGTGTATTGTGTCCTCTAGGTCTACTCCATGTATGGTGTGTCCCCAGGTTCACTCCATGTATGGTGTGTCCTCTAGGTCTACTCCATGTATGGTGTGTCCTCTAGGTTCACTCTGTGTATGGTGTGTGTCCCTCTAGGTCTACTCTGTGTATGGTGTGTCCTCAGGTCTACTCTGTGTGTGAGTCCTCTAGGTCTACTCCATGTATGGTGTGTCCTCTAGGTCTACTCTGTGTATGGTGTGTCCTCTAGGTCACTCTGTGTATGGTGTGTCCTCTAGGTCTACTCCATGTATGGTGTGTCCTCTAGGTCTACTCCATGTATGGTGTGTCCTCTAGGTCTACTCTGTGTATGGTGTGTCCTCTAGGTTCACTCTGTGTATGGTGAGTCCTCTAGGTTCACTCCATGTATGGTGTGTCCCTCTAGGTCTACTCTGTGCATGGTGTGTCCTCTAGGTCTACTCTGTGTATGGTGTGTCCTCTAGGTCTACTCCATGTATGGTGTGTCCTCTAGGTCACTCTGTGTATGGTGTGTCCTAGGTTCACTCCATGCATGGTGAGTCCTCTAGGTCTACTCCATGTATGGTGTGTCCCCTAGGTCTACTCCATGTATGGTGTGTCCTCTAGGTCTACTCTGTGTATGGTGTGTCCCTCTAGGTCTACTCTGTGTATGGTGTGTCCTCTAGGTCTACTCCATGTATGGTGTGTCCCTCAGGTCTACTCCATGCATGGTGTGTCCTCTAGGTCTACTCTGTGTATGGTGTGTCCCTCTAGGTCTACTCCATGTATGGTGTGTCCTCTAGGTCTACTCCATGTATGGTGTGTCCTCAGGTCTACTCCATGTATGGTGTGTCCTAGGTCTACTCCATGATGGTGTGTCCTCTAGGTTCACTCTGTGCATGGTGTGTCCTCTAGGTCTACTCTGTGTATGGTGTGTCCTCTAGGTCTACTCCATGTATGGTGTGTCCTCTAGGTCTACTCCATGTATGGTGTGTCCTCTAGGTCACTCTGTGTATGGTGTGTCCTCTAGGTCTACTCCATGTATGGTGTGTCCCTCTAGGTCTACTCCATGTATGGTGTGTCCTCTAGGTCTACCCATGTATGGTGTGTCCTCTAGGTCTACTCTGTGTATGGTGTGTCCTCTAGGTCTACTCCATGTATGGTGTGTCCCCCAGGTCTACTCCATGTATGGTGTGTCCTCTAGGTCTACTCTGTGTATGGTGTGTCCTCTAGGTCTACTCCATGTATGGTGTGCCTCTAGGTTCATCCATGTATGGTGTGTCCTCTAGGTCTACTCCATGTATGGTGTGTCCTCTGGTCTACTCTGTGTATGGTGTGTCCTCTAGGTCTACTCCATGTATGGTGTGTCCCTCTAGGTCTACTCCATGTATGGTGTGTCCTCTAGGTCTACTCTGTGTATGGTGTGTCCTCTAGGTCTACTCCATGTATGTGTCCTCTAGGTCTACCCATGTATGGTGTGTCCTCTAGGTCTACTCTGTGTATGGTGTGTCCTCTAGGTCTACTCCATGTATGGTGTGTCCTCTAGGTCTACCCATGTATGGTGTGTCCTCTAGGCCTCTGTGTATGGTGTGCCCCAGGTCTACTCCATGTATGGTGTGTCCTCTAGGTCTACTCCATGTATGGTGTGTCCCCAGGTCTACTCCATGTATGGTGTGTCCTCTAGGTCTACTCCATGCATGGTGTGTCCCCAGGTTCACTCTGTGCATGGTGTGTCCCAGGTCTACTCTGTGTATGGTGTGTCCTCAGGTTCACTCTGTGTATGGTGTGTCCCTCTAGGTCTACTCCATGTATGGTGTGTCCTCTAGGTCTACTCCATGTATGGTGTGTCCTAGGTCTACTCCATGTATGGTGTGTGCCTCTAGGTCTACTCCATGTATGGTGTGTCCTCTAGGTCTACTCTGTGTATGGTGTGTCCTCTAGGTCACTCCATGTATGGTGTCCTCTAGGTCTACTCTGTGTATGGTGTGTCCTCTAGGTCTACTCCATGTATGGTGTGTCCCTCTAGGTCTACTCTGTGTATGGTGTGTCCTCTAGGCTCCCCATGTATGGTGTGGCCCCTAGGTCTCCATGTATGGTGTGTCCTCTAGGTCTACTCTGTGATGGTGTGTCCTCTAGGTCTACTCCATGTATGGTGTGTCCCCTCAGGTCTACTCTGTATGGTGTGTCCCAGGTCTACTCCATGTATGGTGTGTCCCTCTAGGTCACTCTGTGTATGGTGTGTCCTCTAGGTCTACTCTGTGCATGGTGTGTCCCCTAGGTCTACTCCTTGTGTATGGTGTGTCCTCTAGGTCTACTCTGTGTATGGTGTGTCCTCAGGTCTACTCTGTGTATGGTGGTCCTCTAGGTCTACTCTGTATGGTGTGTCCTCAGGTCACTCTGTGTATGGTGTCCTCTAGGTCTACTCTGTGTATGTGTGTCCTCAGGTTCACTCCATGCATGGTGTGTCCTCTAGGTCCACTCTGTGTATGGTGTGTCCTCTAGGTCTACTCCATGTATGGTGTGTCCCTAGGTCTACTCTGTGTATGGTGTGTCCTCTAGGTCTACTCTGTGTATGGTGTCCTCTAGGTCTACTCCATGTATGGTGTGTCCTCTAGGTCTACTCTGTGTATGGTGTGTCCTCTAGGTCTACTCTGTGTATGGTGTGTCCTCTAGGTCTACTCCATGTATGGTGTGTCCTCTAGGTCTACTCTGTGTATGGTGTGTCCTCTAGGTCTACTCCATGTATGGTGGCCTCTAGGTCTACTCTGTGTATGGTGTGTCCTCTAGGTCTACTCTGTGTATGGTGTGTCCTAGGTCTACTCCATGTATGGTGTGTCCTCTAGGTCACTCTGTGTATGGTGTGTCCTCTAGGTCTACTCCATGTATGGTGTGTCCTAGGGTCACTCCATGCATGGTGTGTCCCCAGGTCTACTCCTGTGATGGTGTCCCCAGGTCCACCCATGGTGTGTCCTCTGGGTCACTCCATGCATGGTGTGTCCTCTAGGTCTACTCTGTGTATGGTGTGTCCCCAGGTCTACTCCATGTATGGTGTGTCCTCTAGGTCTACCTGTGTGCATGGTGTGTCCTCAGGTCTACTCCATGTATGGTGTCCCCAGGTCTACTCTGTATGGTGTGTCCCCAGGTCCACCCATGTATGGTGTGTCCCCAGGGTCTACTCTGTGTGGTGTGTCCCTCAGGGTTCACTCTGTGTATGGTGTGTCCCCCAGGTCTACTCTGTGTATGGTGTGTCCTCTAGGTCTACTCTGTGTATGGTGTGTCCTCTAGTCTACTCTGTGTGGTGTGTCCTCTAGGTCCACTCTGTGGTGTGTCCTCCAGGTCTACCTATGTATGTGTGTCCCCAGGGTCTACTCTGTGTATGGTGTGTCCTCTAGGTCACTCCATGTATGGTGTGTCCTCTAGGTCTACTCCATGTATGGTGTGTCCTAGGTCTACTCTGTGTATGGTGTCCCTCTAGGTCTACTCCATGTATGGTGTGTCCCTGTAGGTCTACTCCATGTATGGTGTGTCCTCTAGGTCTACTCTGTGTATGGTGTGTCCTCTAGGTCTACTCTGTGTGGTGTGTCCCCAGGTCTCCTCCATGTATGGTGTGTCCTCTAGGTCTACTCCATGTATGGTGTGTCCTCTAGGTCTACTCCATGGTGGTCCCCCAGGCACCTGTGTATGGTGGTCCTCTCAGGTCTACCCATGTATGGTGTGTCCTCTAGGTCTACCCATGTATGGTGTCCTCTAGTCTACTCCTGTGGTCCCAGGTCACTCTGTGTATGGTGTGTCCTCAGGTCTACTCCATGTGGTGTGTCCCTCAGGGTCTACTCCATGTATGGTGTGTCCTCTAGGTCTACTCCATGTATGGTGTGTCCTCAGGTCTACTCCATGTATGGTGTGTCCTTCTAGGTCTACTCTGTGTATGGTGTGTGCCCTCTAGGGTCTACTCTGTGTGATGGTGTCTCCCAGGTCTACCCATGTATGGTGTGTCCTCTAGGTCTACTCCATGTATGGTGTGTCCTCTAGGTCTACCTGTGTATGGTGGCCCAGGTCTCTCTTGATGGTGTGTCCCCAGGTTCACTCCATGTATGTGTCCTCAGGTACCTGTGGTGTGTCCAGGTCACTCGTGCATGGTGTGTCCTCTAGGTCTACTCTGTGTATGGTGTGTCCTCTAGGTTCACTCCATGTATGGTGTGTCCTGGTCAGGTTCACTCATGTATGGTGTGTCCTCAGGTTCACCCATGTATGGT